CACTGTTCTTCGATGTCGAGTCAATGGTGTAATCTTACGAGCGTAACGCGGGTAACGAAAGGGAACGCACATATTAAATTTACTTAAAATTTCAGGACAGTCAATAACACCACTAATAATTTTAGAAGCAAAAATCAAATCAATAATATCCCTGCGGTTTTCTAGAGAAATCATTTTGAAATAGATCAAATTATTTTCATATGATACACACTTCTTATTACTTTTAAATCCACTTGCGTATGACTGCTTGCGAATGTCTTATAAATCTATTTTGAATCCGCTCGATTCTCAGTGAATGTGTTGCGTAATGAGGTCTCCAGATGATAGCACAGTACTCTAATATACTTCTTACCAAACTGTTAAATAAAAGAATTTTAATTTTAGCGCTTCGAAAGACTTTGATATATCTTATGACAAAACCCAACATTCCAGATGCACGTTTAGTAATGTTTTCAATGTGGGGTACAAAAGTTAATTTTTTATCAAATATGACCCCGAGATCTCTAATTTGGTTTTGGTGGTTAGAAAAAGTAACACTATAGTCGATAGTGTTACTTTTTCTCGCATATTGCACATAGAAACGTTTACTAATGTTTAAGTCCATACGATTTATTTTGCACCATTTAATCAGTTGATCAACATCGTTCTGTAGCTTCATTGAATCGTTCGAAATATTTAATGTAAGTATTTAGACGACATTCTAAATGTTACCTTGAAGTTGTGATATTGCTTTATAATCATCATCATTACAGTCCTTCATAAGTCCAGTGCTGAATGTATGCCTTCGCCACGGAGTGCCACGAAACACGATTCCGAGCCACCTGCATCCATTTACTTCCTTCATGTCTTACTAAGTCACTCCATTTGTTGGGGAATGCCCCACACTTTGCTTACCGGTACTAGACTGCTACTCGATATCTTGTCTGCCAACGTTTGTGGTATCCAGCTACACGACCGTCCTACTGCCACTCCCCTCTTGTTATTTTTTATTAATATCGTTAACCCTCTAGTATTTTGCTAGAGGCACTTTACACACATAAAATGCACAAGGACGAACTCCAGAACCGGAAAAATTATTTGTAGGCCACACAAATACTTTTTTCCGTGTAGAATTAATAATTCATTACTAAGCTACTACGCTGCGAAGTTGTCAACTTACTGATCCGTCCGGTATCGCCTCGTCGTTTACTCTGGTTTTACTGCGAAAATCTTCATATCAAATTCTATCACTCAGAAAAACTTCAAACACTCCAATATTACTTAGTCTACTCAAAAGGGATTACATAATTAAACTTTAAAAAAAGTTACAACGAGCTTCCGAAATAATAAAAATAATAAAATGTTAAAATAAGTCGGTGTTAATACAGTGGATGGGACAATTAATGTCCCAACTTTAAAAGCCTTTCTTTTTTTATTTTGTTTATAAAGTTTAACTATATTATTAAAAGAAAATGTTGGTAACCATAACTCCCTCTAGCTCATTGTATGACATAACAGATATATACAGTCTAAACGCTTTTTAATATTTATAAAGTGACGCCTCTTTTCCAGTCTTGTTCTATAATTTTTATAAGCAAGGTATCGTTTGAAAATTACGACGACTGAAAACGGCAGACTTCATAATTCACAATTAATTAAAAGTTAATACGTACTGACAATTAAAAATGTTATGTGTAATCTCTTATTCGAATAATTTTGAAATGTTAGAGAGCACGTACAGTATAATATATTTTAATACACACTGTGAGGTTGAGACGTTTTTTCTTTAAATTAGATGTTTCTTTTACATCATATAGGAGTTTTATAAACATAAATTACAGAATATCTTGATCTGACACAGTTGTTTGAACGTGTACAGTGTAATCACGCTTTAACAACAAAATCCCAAAAAATGTTCAGAGTTCGTCAAGCAACACATTTTACTTATTTATTTTTAAAAAAGAGGTAATTATAATATTAAGGAACACACGAATGAAAATAATCCTTGGGAATGATGGAAGTGATCGCTACCGTACTGGTTCTGGTAATTCATGAAATAGATTGTACAAAACTATTGTAAACTTATATATGTCTAAATAAATATAATCCTGTTGGGATTCTTGCCTGCTGACTCTCAATAAATGTTATGTGTCAATATAGATTATTGAATAAATTATTATATTTTCCTATGAGTGCCAGAACGAAACCAGCAGCTCCACAACCAAGCGCTTAGCGAACGTGCTATCGAGCCGTCATTTCAAATAAATAATAAAAAATAACTTTAGTTTATTATCATTATTTTATTTCAACAACCTATAAAAAGTCCGTTGCTGAACATGAGATAATATTCCTAATAGATTATATAAACCCCACGGACTCGGCAGGCAGGATAACAACCGCAGGTTTCTTATTTATTTTGAGCTGTTTCAGGAAGATTTTGCTACTCATATGCTGTTTCAGTTTTCCTCTGTCGCCTCCTACGACAGCCAAGAGATAATATGGGTTAGTGTATTCTCTTACGCCGCCACTACACGTTTACATGGCTTTTAGATTTTTGTCGTATGAACAGTTTAATTATAAATATTTTAATACTTTTAACGTAGAGCCATCCTAGCTCAAAGCACTCGCTGTTAATTTTACACCCCGCCGCGCCGGCACCAATGAAATTGTTAATTGCTATTTTAAGTGCTGATTTACCAAGTTCTCACTGATGAAGAAAAACATTGTAATAAAACCAGCAAATCTGCATAATTAAAGAATGTGTTCATTTTGGTAGATCCATGCTGCAGCTATGTTATGGTTGAAACACGAATGGGTCGGCTTGGTCGGGGAAGGACCACGCTCTCACAGAATACCAGCGTAAAATAGCAGCTTAATGCTATTGACGTTTCGTATGGTGAGTGTAGAGAACCGGAGACCTTTTTACTGGAAATGAGGCATTCCACCTTAGTCCTCAATTGTGGAAACTCATCTGCATTATAATGTAGATGTCTGTGGACCACAGCATCCACTTACCATTAGGTGGACTGTGTGCTCGCTGATCACCTTTATACTATAAAAAAAGACAACAAGTCACGCATCGGGACGCACTAAAAAACCTCTCAAAAGAAAGAGGAGGCCACGGTCCAGGAGTAGGAGGTATATACGCTGTAGTTTTAATATGAATTACTTTTTAACGTGCAACAACAATAACTGGGCTAAAATGTTTCTAAACGAATAAAGCATATTGTGTCAAGACCACTTGTGACATACTCTCATCATCATATACTCTATATTAAATCGCAGTATGCCGGTACGTGTTAATTTACTGCAATATGAACTTGTTTTAAGTGGCCTTTTTTAATATTGTAGACAATACAACCACGTCAACTTTACCTTTTCCTTTATTTTAACAATAAATGTGTTCTAAAATATTTCTGAAAGCAATGAAATGATAAATGCACAGAAATTACGAAGGCTGCACTAAAATCGTATCTAGTGCACTAAAACTAGTATCGGGAATGGAATATTTCCACTGTTCCTGTCATATTAAAATCTTTTTGATTGAAAACTCCTTGGTTTTAAAAATCGAATACCATTTATTCATTTAAAAAAAGATTCTCGGTCTTGTCACAAGGTTTTGTCAAACTTGTTTAGTCGTTGAGAAAATGGAATTGACTCGAGAAAATTCAAGAGAGATGATTTATTATGACTTTCGAAGTGGTTTAACACAAAAACAGTGTGTTGACCGGATGATTTCTGAATTTGGTGATGAAGCCCCGCTGTCGCTGGTTTGCTGAATTTCAACGTGGACGTGTCAAGCTCAGTGATGATCCCCGTCAAGGTCGTTCAAAAACTGCAGTCATCCAAAAAAACGTTGATGCTGTGCGTAAGCTGATTGAGGAAGATCGACATGTGACATACCGCGAAATTCAAGCAACTTTAGAAATTGGCATGAGTCAAATACAAATAATCTTGCATGAACAATTAGGTGTAAAAAAGTTGTTTTCCCGATGGATACCGCATTCGCTCTGTGAAGAGCAAAAAGCGGCTCGCGTTACTTGGTGCGTCAGAACTCTCGAAAGATTCCACGCAGGATCCTCAAATACTGTATACAACATCGTATCAGGTGACGAATCCTGAATATACGCGTACGAACCCGAAACAAAAAACCAGTCACGAGTTTGGGTGTTCGAAAATGAGTTAAAGTCAACAAAAATTGTTCGTTCACGGAGTATTGCAAAAAGCAGTTTAAATGGTGCAACTATTCCTTTTGAGGAACAAAGAAAGGTTAATGCAGAATGGTATGCTAGCATTTGTTTTCCACAGGTCGTTTCTGAACTCCGTAAAGAGAACTGCAACCCCGTCATCATCCTCCATCACGATAATGCGACTTCTCACACCGCACACAGAACAAAAGAGTTTTTAGAGCAAGAAAACATAGAATTATTAGACCATCCACCGTACAGCCCCGACCTAAGCCCTAATGATTTCTATACTTTCCCTAAAATAAAAAATAAATTGCGTGGACAGAGATTTTCATCACCTGAAGAAGCTGTGGACGCCTACAAAACAGCCATTTTGGAGACCCCAACTTCCGAATGGAATGGGTGCTTCAATGATTGATTTCATCGTATGGAAAAATGTGTCAAATTTCGCGGAGAATACTTTGAAAAGCAATAAATACATTTATAAATAGTAATGTTGTGTCACTTCCTTGATTCCCGAAAATTTCAGTGCTAACAGTTACATTATTTTGCACTTTCCCGCAAACAGTGTAGTCATTTTAAATCTGCTTCTACCTTGAAGCAATCATAAATAATAACAGGTTCTAGTTTTGATTTTCGTTTCTCCTTGCAAATTCTACATATCAGAATACATGGGATAGTTGTAATAAAATGCACTACACTAGGCTTTTTCAAGCTTATAGCCCCACATACCTCAATCAAATCTTCCCAGACAATGGAGAACTCCTAAAATTGCTGCTTAAGAAAGAAAATAAAGTTATATTAAAAAAAAACTGTCTTAAAGAGCAATATGTTTTATTTATTGGGTGGTGGTGCGTTGACTGCGCCTTCGCTTGCGTTTATTAGTAAAAAAGCTTTATTTATGTAAAGGAACTTCAGAATAACATTGAAGACAGTACGTCTTCGTACAGATATGCCCCTTACTTTGCCAATATTTTCTAAAAAATGTGAAATCCTATTAGATTCTACCAGTGTACTTGATGATGAAGACAGGTTTTCGTATTGCCTTTGTCTTACGGGGAAACGTGAAGTGCTCGTCTGTAGTTGCGCTTCACGTGTTTGCTGCTGAGCAGGTTCAATTTGCAATAATCTCTTCACAATTGCTTCATTTGCCGCCAAAACAGTGTACCTTTCTTTTTTTTCAGGGTGTAATTCATTGTAAATTATCATAGAGTTTATCACTGCTATGGCCAGCAAATCCGTTGCAACTTTTTTGTACCAGATTAACGTTTTTCTAACAGGCGTGTTGTAACTGGACAGATGATCAGCAATGTCTATTCCTTTTTTAGCTTTGTTGTAGGTAAGTATCATATCAGGCTTCAGCTTTGGAGTGCGTGCTGTCGTCATAGATAGTCCTTTGCCGTGACAAGTCGACAATATACAAACATCTCGCTTGTCTTTCCATTTTAGAACAGTGATATTTTCATTTTTTTGTTTGACGGCAATTTCTCCTACTTGCAAAGCAGCATTTGTGACATCTTATGGTATACCTCTCCTTTTTTTATTTAGAGTACCACAGAGATCTGTATTACGAGAGAGAACAAATTCTGCAAGAGGCACACTCGTGTAGTAATTATCCGTGACCATACAACGACCTTCATCTAACAGTCCTTCTGATAATTTTACAACAATAGTTCCTGTTGTATCTAAACCAAAAAGCTGTTCGCTCTGTCCGCTATATATTTGGTATCCCCACGTAAAGCCATCTACAGTGCATAACTTATATATTTTGATCCCGTATTTATGAGACTTCGACGGTATAAACTGGCGAAAAATTAATCTGCCACGAAAATGCACCATTGATTCGTCAACAACTATGGTGTCCCCAGGAGTGTAAATCGATCTAGAATTATCAATAATAAGATCTAGCAAGGGGCTAATCTTGTATAGTCGATCATTTTCGCGTCGAGACGCTTCATTGTCGCAAAAATGCCAACATTTTAGTATAAGTGTGAATCTGTTGTACGACATTTTGATATTATGAAGTAATGGATGATAATAAATTACATCCTTTTTCCAGTATGATTCTATCGTTGGGAAGGGTATTATACCCATTAGTAGAATTACACCAAGAAATTTTAGCATTTCTGATTCGTCGACATCTGACCATCGTTTTTTGCGACTGTGTGGCTTTGCCGGTTCTTGTAAAAGCCGCGTGTTTGTTGCACCATTAGTTTTTGGACATCATCATCAACAATTTTTCGGAAAATTGTATAAAGATCTGTGTTTACATCGAAAAGCAGATTTTGGCGAGTTGGTTCGTCGTGCCCTGTGAAAGGTTTTCTCGATAAATCTTTTACAACTACCTGCCACTCGGAGTCAAGAGACACTTGTGATTGTATTTGTCTTGACCTCGACGTTCGTGAAGATACATTTGGTGGGTTACTGATGATGATGGGGTTGTCTGGTATTTCAGCATTTTCATGTTGTCCACTAAGTATTTCAGAGTGTGCAGACTCACCCATTTCTCCATCATGTTGTACCTCTCTGGCGATCGCTTCGACTGTCTCTTCTTCACGTTCATCAATGTCCACATCATCGTCCTCGACAATTTCCTCATGGTCATACACATTGAACAGTGAATCTTCACCATCAGACTCCTCCAACACTCTCCTGATATCTTCGTCGTCAAAGTTCTTCATATTTACCTAATATTATTCACACAACAAAAAATTGGTGCTCAAACGGACAAAAACTTTGAATGTGAGTTTTCACTTAGCCATTTGACAGTTGACAGAATTTAAGTCTTTTTTACTTTCTCTCAATGTCAATTTGTGACCATAAACAAGAATATTAATAAAAAAGGTGTTATTTTTTAAATAATTAGCCGTTCATAAGTCCACGGTACACGGGTAAAAGGTGTGATAAACCGAGTGATTTGTTATTAATTAGGCATATTTATACAAAACTAGTTATTTTGTATTGAGACAGAATATTACAAAAAAAGATTGGGACATTTGGGGTTATCGAAAAATTACAGTTAACGTGTTAAGGGGATATATAAAGTCAGCTCAAATTCTAATTTCGTCCCCACTTCCCCGCGCGTTGTATGCTATATACCAGCATTTTTGCAATCACTGATACTGTAAGTAGATAGGTCGTTAGATACTTATTTCATTAGGTTAATCATATTTATGCCTGTTTCTTCACGCCAACCCAGTCTTTTCTTATTTTTATTACGGTTATTTCCCATTTTAAGTTTACATCTTCCTATTGCGTAATGTGTATTCTGATCGTAAGTGACACAGCTTCTCCGTTCAAAAGCCGAAGCAAGACTAACCCGGTGGCAGGAAACAAGCTTCAAGACGCCGATAGTTTAAGTAATTCCTTTTTACAGTGAAAATTAAAAAATTAAAAGTTAAAAAAAAATTAAAAACATAAGCCCTGCTTTATAGTTATTTCAGTTAGTATGCAAAGTTTCATGATCTAATTTAAAGTATTTTATGAATACCAGCGGTTTATATTTCAGTTTGGAGGTAACTTTGGATTTTTTTCTATCGAGAAAATTTTTCGGAATCGTGTTTTCGCCTAACATAATTACTTAACATTAATCCTCAACTTTACCATATATTTTTTTCAAAATTAATGCTGCAATATTTTCGGCATAACGGAGGATCTTACTAAGCCACTTGAGGTAGTATTTTTATTATTTCCCCTTAAGTCCGTTTTTGGTGAGAAAATATGAAATGTCAAAGCTAAAATATTTAAAAGTATTAACAGCCACAGTAACAGCTTACTGGTGTATTCATTTTGCTGTCATTATTATCGATCGAATAACAAAAGACTAAGGAAGTTAGTAGAAAATCGGGATATTTGGCGTCCCGATCAAGGATGGACGGGACGTTTCACTAAATCCCATCGGGACTTCGTTATTTGTGCATGAATTTTAAGTAACTTTAATTAAGTATACATGAATATGATGGTATTGCACCATACATATAAGATAGAATTATCTTACTTATTTTTTGCTATTTTATTCGACTGACAATTTTTACGCCCGATTATGAGGCACATCTCTAGTTTAAAAAAAATACCGCTAGTATGTATAATATGTAACTGCGTACGCAAGTGAAATAAATTTAACTTTTATAATTTTATTATTACGAGTAAAAAAACTAGGTACATTAGGCGAGATTTTTAAGTTAATGTTAATTTAATAGTCATAACAGAATAGAAAAAAAGATAAAAACAGATTCAGTGTTATCTTCTCATATTTAAAAATATTTTCGTAATCTTGTAAACGTACACAAGTTACGTTCTAATTACCTGTCAAACTGTCACCCGCATCATGTTATAACGCAAAGTCTATAATAATAATAACAAATAAATAAATAGTTATAACAGCGTTTGGGCAAATATATTACTATTAAGCGTTATACTTCACAACCGTATTATATCTTATTTCATTTATTCGACAGTCACACAAGATAATGGATTGGGTACCAACGTTCTTCAATTAATCAACTGATTACAAGTAGTGACTTGAACGTAAAAGCGCTGAAGGATCAGTTCGATTGGGATGTGTTTCCTTCAGTTAATCTTGATGGATTCTATTACAGTTGCAAGTTGAGGAATGTTATCGAAGCCGTCTAACCTAATATGTTTATTTGTAACGTAAAGTAGTATGGTTTTTACAATCTACTGTAATTCGTAATGTGTAAATTTATTAATATAGAACCTCGAATTTTATTTTAAAATAGATACTTATCTACAATATTAAAAGTTTTTGTAGAAAAATTTTAACATAATGGACAATAGACATATATTTTTATTTTAAGGTCATGACATCAATTATATAAATGAAAACCTTAAGGAAACACCGATTTTATTAAGTTTCATGAAAAGATTTGATATATAATATTTTGTTAAACAATTTTAATCTTATCCCGTCTCACCCAGTCTCATCTGGTCCCATCCCGTCCCGTCCCGTCTCATTTCGTCCCGTCCCATCTCGTCCCATCCCGTCCACCCCCAGTCTATCTCCCCCCCCTCCCCTGTCCAGATAGGTCTATCTCATTACTTCCCGTCCCTTGCTATCCCGTCTCGTAACGTCCCTCCCGTCCCGTCTCATCCCGTCCCGTACCGTTTTGTCTCGTCCCGTCCCATCCCATCCCACCTTTCCATCCTATTTTTTTCTATCCGATCCTATCCTATTTTAATAATACTTAAACACTTTCTTTTAGTCTTCCCTTCGAATTTTGAAAAACCTACCCTTTTACTTTATTTCTTCAACTATATCCGATTTCTTTACGATATTAAAACCATCTTATATACTTTAATATGGGTTGATTGATGGTACTTGATTTTAATTATGTTTTCAGTTTAGGAGGCTTGTCAGGATTAAGTGTGAACATTTTACTCTGTTTTTGTCGGAAACGTGTTTTGAATAAATTACGATAAAAATAAATTTCACTAAAAATTGCGTATACAGTTAGACAATTTAGTCTAGTATTAAGAGGTAAGGTTAGATGTTAAAAACTGGAGTAAAAAGTGTGAAACGGAACGGTCAAATATCAATCGTCATTCCGTTTCTCTAGTGGTCACACGGGATTGACTATAGACGTCCGGTACTTGATTTTGATTATGTTTTTAGTTAGAAAGGCTTGTCAGGGTTAAGCTTGAAACTTTTATACAGTTTTTTGATGTCGGAAATGAGTTTTGAATTAACTACGATAAAAATAAATTTCACTAAATAATGCGTATAACGAAATTTTTTTGTTTACCATAAAAAATCCACAGGGGAGAGCAGTCAAGAGCTTTTCCGGAAAACAAAATTACGGCAATTTACAAAATTTTGCAGACATGATAGTAAAGTATTTGTATATGCGAAATGTTGAAAAATATATGCGAAATATTGAAAATTATAAATAAGAAATTATGCGGGCAATGATGTAAGTATATACAATAAATGAAATAATTAAAACAAAAAATTACATTGTTTAATTTATTACAATCAGATCAGAGATTAGGGGAACCTGACTTTATAATTAAGATAGGTCAAATCAGTACTAAAACCAAATCAGCACGCCCCGACTTTAGATAGTATTGTCTGCTCTGCCCCTAGAGTGTTTTTGTAAAGCCGTAGGCGCGGAGAGAGAACAGCTCCCATCCACCGTAACAAATCGTGAATAACCGTGTAAGCCGTAACGGTCGAGGCTGGTGACCAGCAAGCCAAAGCTACTGAGGGCGAAAGGCGAAGGGGCAATTTCGCCGTATTTCCAAAGCCGTTGCAAAAGTAACTTTGGGTCAATATTCCTGTTTAAAAAAAGTGAGGTCATGATTTTACAAAAAGAACATTACTATGCTTAATATAACTATACTTTACTAATAACTTTACTTTTGCGATAGGGGAGATGGGTAGGGGAGATTCCCATGCACCCTCCCCTTCTCCCGCCTCCGTACGCAAGTACCTGATGTCTATAGTTTTAATCTTAATATCTTTATCTTACAACTAACAAGGACATCGTTGTCTTAATACAGATACATATATATATATATATATATATATATATATATATATATATATATATATATATATATATATATATATATATATATATATATATATATATGCAGAAATTTTAACCAAACCAACTATAATCTTATTTTAACTGTGTGTGCGTACGTGCATGCGTACCCACATTCGTGCGTGCGTGCATGTGTACTTAAAATCGACTACGTGCTTATGTTCGTGAGATTATGCGTGCGTGCGTGCATTATAAATCCAATCAAAACCTCGGTCACAGGGTGACACTACGTTCAGTTACTTGGAGTAATAGATTATATTTTATTCTCCGTTTCTCGAAATTTTCAGTAAAATTATAATAAAAAAAGGATAATCAATAAAACGATACACTCATATAAAAATACTTATTTTTTTAATGAACTTCAGCTTCACATTGAATGAGACTAGATTGATCTGAGGCAGCTGGATTATCAGCTAGTGGTCGTAGAGGTTCGTCCACAACCTCCATACCAAACTGAAAACAAAGCAATCAACTTTTTAATTTTAATTTTCGCTACTCAGTTTGCGGTAGTCGCTACCCTTGTAATACATATAAATAATATCATTTTTTTGCTATATTGTTTTGTAAAGGTAATTTTGTTTTTATATAGGTTGTTTATGTAGTTTTTGTGTTTATTTCCAATCTATGGTTTTGTTCTGCAATAATTGTATTGAGAAGGTTTACCGGAATTATATTTAAATATGCCAGATGGATTTAGTATTGTAGCACAAGAAAATTCGCCTCTTCGATTCTGCTCGGCGAATTAATGCCCTATAGCGTTGTCAGCTATTAAACATTGTCATCATGTCAACCCTTAGTGTAATCAAAAATATACCTTTTACGTTGTTTTAATTTCTACAATAATATGCAATACACATTTACTGTACGGTATGACTTTTTTCCTAGAAGTACGCTAGGGTGGGTGCTACACTCTTAGCTGTTCCTGCATGTTGTGTTCCAGCTAGAAGTGTGCCTTAGACTGTGAAGCATTTCATCTTAGTTCTTAGATGTAACTACGTACCTGTAGTATTTTAGTTAAAAGTTGGTCAGGTGTACGTGGGCTGCAATACTCACTTACCATATCCACTATTTTATTTGTAATGGATTTTCTTCTTTGAATAATAAAAGAGCGTAATTGATATTATAATCACTTACGTTTTCCGGTTCATTGTCCGCCTGAGTATCGTTTTCTTCATTTCTTCCTATCGTAGATCTTCTCTGTAACGTTTAAATTGTACTCTTTAACGAATTATATTTTAATATGTATCGCAACAAACTTATAGTTAAAAAGCTTTAAAATGACACAGAAAAATGTATTTGTAGAAATAAAACAGAAATAAATAAGATTTTATCAACCGGATGCGTGGTACGATAACTGTGTTAAAGTTAAGCGCTCGCCGTAAGTGAAAATCCCGGATACGATTTTCAACAGCACCAATGAAATTTTAAATTAAAATTTTAAGTGCTGATTGATCTTGGTCTCGGGGGTGAAGAAAAATATCGTGAGGAAACTTTAACGTCTAAAGAATAAAAACACTCTAAAAAATGAAAGGTGCTTCTGCTGTGGAACGTACTCGGTATATACCCGGTAGACATTTACCTTTTAACTTTAATTGGTTGGACTTCATGTTATTATCATAGGTAAAAAAATGAAAAAAGTAGTGGATAAGTCTTATAGATACGTTATATACGTTTTATAGGCGGTAGAGCCATGCTGCAGCCTTGGCTGTAGCACGAATAGGTCGCTTCAACCGAGGAAGGATCACGCTCTCACAAAATAACAACAAATAGCAACTTAATGCTGCTGTTATTCGTACGGTGAGTTCAGTGAACCGGAGATCTTTTTTACTAGAAACGAGCATTCCATCTTAGTACTCAGGAGCGACAACACATCTGCATTTTAATTCTTAATCGAGGATCTGTCTATGAGCCACAACAGCCATTTACCATATATGTGCGAACTGTGTAATCGTTTGTTACCCTTAATTTAAAAAAGATTTCATTCATTCATTATAGCTCATCAAAAGTTCACCGATGAACATTAAGTCTCCCTCATAGATTGCCTCATAGGGGAGATATTTACCACAGTTGCCACACTTGTTGAGTTTATGTTCATTTCCATCGGTCCTACCTCTAGTAGATACTCTTAAACGAATTCAACATTATTTTATTATTTACATTAGAAATAATTACTGTAATGTGGAAGTGTTTTCTAAACCTAAATTTTATAAAAGCAAATCTGATTATTCATCATTAGGCTGCTTCTGGGGAACCGGAACGTGCGGGATCGAGCCCGTGACCTGAGCGCTGTATCCAAACGCTTAGCCACTGCGCCATTCAGTCATTAATTTATAGAAATGTATGTCAAAAACATGAAGCTAATACAGAAGTCAAAACCTACAAAACTCTTTCTTCTTTCATCGTCTTTTTTCTCTTCTATAAGTTTTCTCTTTGTTTCCCTCTTAAAGAAACCGATCTGCAATGTTAAAAAAACATTTGATAAAAATATACATCAATTTCATAATATAAGAAAGTGTTTGGATAAAAGTATTTATGCATAACAACTCCTTCCAAGAAATATTATAAGACGGGCCTGTTTTTAAACGTTAAATGAAATCATGAAAAAGGTTTTTTAGAAAAGGATAACTTCGCACGAATCTAATGCTTTGTGTTAATGTTAATTAACTTTAATAATTAATGTACATTTTAACATTAATTTTTAATTTACTTTTTGTAGTAATCAAACTTTTGATAAAAATAATTATTTTATTCATGTACACACGTTTAACCTTTTAAATTAAGTCTGCGTATATTTTTTTAACATATAGCTAAACTGTTTTTACTTTATTTTGAAGTTAAGTAAACAGTAAAGTACTAGCTTATATGGCATCCTAAACACACAAAAAGCTTTTAGCAAAGTAACTTAAAACATAAAAAACGTTGTGAAGCTTTCTCGTCGTTGTTTTCAAAAATAATACAAGCTTGTATATTTCACATCACACATATTATATCATCAGTCATATTAAGGCCTTCGAAGATTAGATATATTTCTAACATATCCTATAGTCGCATCTTCCAATCGCCCGATGACATTACAATCATCCAAAATTACCAAACCTAAATTGCAGACTTGTGATGGAAAGCAACAACCTATGTAATAGCACTCCATCATAGTCCATTTGAGTAGTTAGCAACCTCTTACTATTTTTTGCTGCAAATCAGCAGTAGTCCACTACAGTGTTACGGTTTGAAAAGACAGACAGCCAGTATAACTACTACAAACAAAAACAAATAAGGTCACCTGAGGCAAGTGTGACATAAATTAATTAAAGTAGAAGTATTTAAATGTCGATTATAATCGACATTTAAATACTTCTACTCTGTACGGATTTATTATAGAGAATTCAGTTTCACAACATCAATTATTAAGTGGTTGTATGTTTGATCAAGCATTTTGGTACCTTCAAGTAGCATTTTGTAATTTGAGGTAATTAAAACTAATTAAGGTGGAAGACCCCAATGAATAAATACCCCCCCCCAATGAATAAATACCCCCCCCCCCCAATGAATAAATACACAAACAGACGGCCCCCAGTCCCCGGCGGCCCCGCTATTCCTGGCTACGGTGGCGACCATGGTAACGGCGGGGCAGGGGGTGCTAAGAATCTCCGGTGGAGGTTCGGTTGCCACCTACGACGACTCGACCTGGCAACATATAACGCACGCACCCTGAGGACTGACGAGAAGATACTAGAGCTGGAAGAAGAGGTAGACAAGTTGCGCTGGCATATTATTGGATTATCCGAGGTCCGAAGAGAGGGGGAGGACACGGCAATCCTGGAGTCCGGCAACTTGTTCTATCACCGGGAGGGCGACCATCTGTCCCAAGGAGGTGTCGGATTTATCGTCCACAAGTCTCTCGTCAACAACGTTGTAAAGATTGGGAGTGTGTCGAAGAGGGTCGCGTACCTGATACTCAGAATCACCAAACGGTATTCGCTGAAGGTCATTCAGGTTTACGCACCAACCTCGGCACATCCCGATGAGGAGGTGGAGGAAATGTATGAGGATATTTCCAGAGCCATACATTCCTCCAAAACCCACTACACGGTGTTGATGGGAGACTTCAACGCAAAACTAGGCACAAGAGAAAGCGGTGAGCTGAAGGTAGGGAAATTTGGAGTAGGGCAACGGAACCGAAGGAGCCAGCAGCTGGCCGACTTTATGGAGAAAGAGGGACTCTTTATGATGAACTCTTTCTTCCAGAAGCAGCCCCACAGGAAGTGGACCTGGTCGAGCCCCGACGGTTCGACAAAAAATGAGATTGACTTCATTATGACGACCAGACGCCAACTGTTCAGTGATGTCTCAGTGATCGCAAGGGTGAAAACTGGCAGCGATCACCGAATGGTTAGAGGCACACTGAACCTAAACGTTAAGTTGGAGAGGTCTCGTCTAATGAAGTCAACGCTCCGTCCCCCTCGTGCTCTAATCCAGAATCCCGAAACCTTTCAGCTCGAGTTACGTAACCGCTTCCAGTGCCTAGAAGATTGCAATGCAGTGGACGATATGAACGACAAGCTCGTGGAAACTGTCCATGCGGTCGGAGCTAAGTTCTGCAAGACCCGCCGCAGAAGAACACAAAAACTCTCCGATCACACTCTTAATCTCATGGCTGTTAGACGGGAGATGAGGCTGCAATCGTCAACAGATTTGACAGCATACAGGCAACTGAACAGACAGATCTCCAAATGCATGCGGCGAGACTTACGCAACTTTAATACTTCTCGTATTAAAGAAGCAATCGAGCGGAACCAGGGCTCCAAAGTCTTTGCCAGAGATCTGTCTGCCAGAAAGAGCCAACTGTCAAAGCTGAAGACTGAGTGTGGCAACATCGTTTCCGGGACACCTGAGATTTTGAGTGAGATTGAGAGGTTCTATGGGCAGCTGTACACATCATCGTTGGAGCCACACGTAAGTGTGAGTAACGATCCAAAAGCAAGTCTTATCCGACACTATTCCGATGATATCCCGGACGTCAGTCTGAGCGAGATTAGAATGGCTCTCCACCACCTTAAAAACGGCAAGGCCCCGGGCGAGGATGGAATTACAGCGGAGCTTCTGAAAGCGGGTGGAAAACCGGTACTTGAAGTCCTTCGGAAGCTCTTCAATTCCGTCCTCCATGGTGGCACTACTCCGGAGGCGTGGAGTGGAAGCGCGGTGGTTTTGTTCTTTAAGAAAGGCGACAACGCTCTTTTGAAGAACTACAGACCGATTTCCCTTCTGAGCCGCGTCTACATGCTATTTTCGAGAGTCACTACGAATCGTCTCGCACGCAGACTCGACGACTTCCAGCCTCCCGAACAAGCCTTTTTCCGAAAAGGCTTCAGTACCATAGACCACGTACATACCCTGCGGCAGATTGTACAGAAGACCGAAGAGTACAATCTGCCACTTTGCCTGGCATATGTGGACTATGAGAAAGCCTTTGATTCCGTCGAAATTTGGGCGGTGCTACAGTCCCTTCAGCGGTGCCAAGTTGACTGTCGGTACATCGAAGTGCTGAAGTGTTTGTACAGTAGGACTACGATGGCTATCCGAGTACAGAACCAGAGTTCGAAACCTATCCAACTGCAGAGAGGTGTAAGACAGGGTGATGTTATATCCCCGAAACTCTTCACCGCTGCGTTGGAAGACGTTTTCAAGCTACTGGACTGGAAAGGATACGGTATTAACATCAATGGCGAGTACATCACTCACCTTCGATTTGCCGACGATATAGTCATTATGGCAGAATCGCTGGAGGACTTAAGCATTATGCTCAATGACCTCAATAGTGCCTCCCAACGGATAGGTCTTAAGATGAACATGGACAAAACAAAGATCATGTTTAATGTCCATGTCACACCTATGCCGGTAGTTGTTGGGAGCACTATGCTCGAAGTTGTTGACGAGTACGTTTACCTGGGACAAATAGTCCGACTAGGTAAGTCCAACTTCGACCGAGAGGTCAATCGACGGATTCAACTCGGCTGGGCAGCGTTCGGGAAATTACGACATATCTTTTCGTCAGGTATACCTCAATCTCTAAAAACTAGATTGTACAACCAGTGCGTGTTGCCAGTGATGACTTACGGATCTGAGACGTGGTCCTTCACTGCTGGCCGTATGAGGACGCTTAAGGTCGCTCAGCGAGCTATGGAGAGAGCTATGCTTGGAGTTTCTCTGCGTGATAGACTCAGAAATGAGGATATCCGCAGTAAAACCAGAGTGATCGACATAGCCTAACGGATTAGTAAGCTGAAGTGGCAATGGGCCGGCCATATAGCTCGAAGAACCGATAACCGATGGGGAAGAAAGGTTCTCGAGTGGCAGCCTCGTACCGGTAGGCGTAGTGTAGGGCGACCCCCCACTAGATGGAGTGACGACCTGGTAAGACATGCAGGAAGTCGATGGATGCAGGTGGCTCAGGACCGTGCTTTGTGGCATTACTTGGGGGAGGCCTATGTTCAGCAGTGGACTTGTGAAGGGCTGTAATGATGATGAATGATGAAGGTGGAAGACTGTCACACTTACCCATAAATGAGGCAAGTATGACTGTACGTTTCTTTTTGTAGTTACTTCTTAATTATGTGTGGTTTTTAACAAAATTGATGAGATAATACTAACGTCGATATATTTTATGATCTGTGGAAGCGATTTGAATGCCCATTTTTGTGTAACAATGCATTTTTCCCGACATAGGGCAAGTGTGACTGTTTTTTACCGATATAGTGGTGTGCCTTTAAATAGATTTACTACACTAGCTCTGGATGTTTCTTAAGTATAATGAAAGCAATGCCAAGTGCAAAATAAAATTTTATTCAGAACGTTAACAATTTATAATAATATAATCATAATAAACGTGACTCACTTACCCCGATGTTAGGTATTAAGTGAGGTAAGTGTAACTGTATCCGTATTTCAAAGAATAGTAAATTTCAGGTCGCAGAAACATATCACTCCATAAGTACCAATATTATTCTTTATCAATCACCTTGTATCTGGTCTAAAATAACTTAACGACATATCGAAACACTTAATAACTTCACCTCTTAAATTTGCGTTGTCTGTCGCCGGTTGAGTAGTTTTTAAAAATAACGACTATTGATAAAACAGTTCAAGCTATGTACTTAACCGTCAGTTTAGTAAATAGCGTAAAAATTCCTGTGTTGTTTCATAGATGGAATCAAACCAAAAACCATGTTTAGGCCGCATAATATGCATTTGTTACACTTGTCCCACTGTCACACCTGCTTTGGGTGACCCTACCAATCCTCAACAAAAATGTGAGAACGCACTTTTAGCTTTCTATGTTTGAAGTTGGTTGAAGGTGTCCAAGTGCTTCAGTAGTCACTTGTCAGGCTGTAAGTTCGTTTGTCTTTTCCAGTTTAATAAAAAAAACTACCAGTACGTGAATATAGACTCCATGTGGTACACTCTTAAACTAGTAAGAAGGGATACTTCCTCAAAAAAAAATTATGTCAGCTAACACATTTCTGGAAATGCCTATGTACAACTATGCCTATGTGAAACAAACGTTGACCTTTCTGGGTGTCTTTTTACTCTCCCTGGATTTTCAATAACCACAAGGCTTAAAAGGCAGACTGGCCGTCACAATTCCAAAGATGTGGCTTTCACACTGCTCGAGGTTTTCAGTCTAGCTATTTTACGTAATTGTAAGTATTATACCACTATCATCATTCTCGAAATGATTTACATTCATTCAGTCATCCTTCCGCCTCCTATATCACCCGCGTGACAAAATTGGGAGATATATATAGTGAAAATATCTTACGTTATCACACTGCAATAGTAGACTTTATTCAGCAGATGAATAGAAAATAAATATTACCTTATAAAGAATATAGGTGACTAACGCCAATATTATAATGGCCACAATGATTGCTATGAGGATAATTATATTTTTATTCTGTCCAACCGATAACACTCTGCGGTATTGAATAACAGTTGTTAACCTTAAATAAACAGGGAACATTAATTAATTATTATTGATAGCTTTACAGCGTTAATATTTCTGTTATAATTTTTGACTTGACTTGACTGCCTCGTTGGTCTAGTGGTTGTAGTAGTGCGACTGCTGATCATGAGGTCCTGGGTTCGAATCCTGGGTCGGGCCCAAAAATCAATTGTTGAGTTTGTCCGTCAATAAATTCTCAGCAGCTGCCCGGAGTCAGGAAGTTGGCGGTGTCTAACACCCGTGCCTCGGAAAGCACGTAAAGCAGTTGGTCCTGCGCCTGATCTCTTTCCGGTCGTGTCGGTTTACCGTCCTATCGGATTATGAGAGTGAGGGAATGGAGAGTGCACCTGTGCTTGCGCGTACACTTGGGCACTATAATCATGTCCTGCGCCGATGGCTAGCCTCCATTGAGACAGGCCGCCGTGACCGAAATTCGGTCTGGAAGACATTATAATTTTTGATCGACGAATATGATACAATATATATACAGCATTACCATGCACATATATATGTATCATCGTGTAATAGCTAAGTCAAAATATCCACTACCCCATTTACAAATAATAAACAAAATGGACAGCAGAGTCATCTTAATAATATCAAGAAAATTTAAAACCGCAGGTGCCAAACCGTCTGCCAAACGTGGCAACTATCGTAAGTCCCCCCCCCCTTATGGTGGAACCTATAGAATGGACTACGAATATATTTAGCTGCGGACTTTGATAGGCCGTAATGGATTGATTTAGCAATCACAAGGGTCTCCATCAGATTTGGAGAAAATTGCGAGAATTGCCACACTCGACAGGGTTGGCGCTTGTGAAAGTTGTGCATCGCATTTAGACGATACTTTAATACGTCAATCTGCGTTGACCGCGTTGACCTCGTGGGTTAGAACACGTCAATTGAGATTCCAGATCCAAACTATGTGCAAGAGCGTAAATCGTTGGTCTTTCGGTCTTGACCTGTTATGGTTGTACTCAATCCTCTGCATCTGTACACACAACATTGCATAACGTGGTTTATAATTACCGATTGTTCAATAAGAAAACCAACAACGTTGTAAGAGGCGACAGAGGGAAACGAGCCAGGATATGGGCGGCAGCGTCTTTCAATAACAACTAAACTATGGCAAATGCATAGAAAGGATCTATGACGCAATTTATGGGTGAATCCTGTGTTCAGCAGTGAACTTCTGATTGGTTTTAACGGTAAAAATGTTGCGCCGTCTACGATTCAAGCTCTAGGATCCCGATGGAATAGTCGTTAGATATGTCTGCAAAGCCATGCAGTCGTTAATCGAGTAAAAGTTTATTTGAAATGCCTAAGTGCAATTTGCGGAATTTTAGTCTGCGCATTTTTAAATCACAAATAGTAGTCTAAATAGGCCCGAATAAGAATATACAACTAACTGTATGTCCTATGTTATATTACCAAATGTATTGTAGTCATAAAGTTTCTTAAGAATTTTTACTTTATTTACTTACTTTAATTCTTTCCTTATTACAGTAGGTGGTAGATACAGTACCAAAGACGATGATAAATTTACTTTATCGCCTACAAGATCTTTCACTGTAAAAAAATAACTTTATTAATGCAACATGTTTCTCAGTTTCACAAAAAAATATTTTATTATTAAAAAATAGGTCTTCAAATGTAAATATTTTGCAAAACATGCAAAACATGCTAACGTCCTAAATCATAATCCTAAAGTATTATATCTGGTAATGGACTCTTTACTTGCTTTTGTTTTTCAAAAAGACGAGAGATTTTTATTTCTCATGAATGGCATATATCATATATCCTGTATCTCATGCTGTTTCAGATGTCTATACGAAGATCGACTCGAATACCAATAGATGATAGAATGTTTTCTACAGTCAGAACTCATGATTAATAGATCAGCCACTGTCTATGAAAAAACAATTGTTTGCAATTGTCACTGTGTATAAAATATTACACATACCGACACTTTCTTCTATTATTGTGGTAGTGGGAATGATTTTTATCGTAGTATGAGGTTCCAAATTAAATGTACAATTAAACGAAACTTCTTTCTCTGTGTCCTGCCTGACGCAATCGCTTATGGTAGAAGTTAGAGATACCTGTGAAAATAAAAATCACATTTTAAAAAATTGTATAAGTCAAATAATAGTATTTAATCTCTCTGACCCCGACATAGTATTGGACCAACTTAGTCAGACCTATGGTCAGGCAAAGGACAATATTTTTTTAAATAAAGGCCAATATAACGTAGAGTTATTTTGCTAATTAATTTTAGTATGTTCATATCCAAAAATAAAAAAATATCAACAGGTAAAATATCAAATTATTTGTATGAATAGCAAGTGAGCGCTAGAGAAACGACGATTGCAAGACGTGGTCAATAAATAAAATGTTTTGAGAAATAACCAATTACCGAGTATGAATAACCATATCATCCCGTGGGTGTCGTAAGAGGCGATGAGACTTGGGGGAAAATGTTATTTTTAAATAAACGTTGTCTTCGTTCCGGTTCTAAAAAAGTCACAGCGAAAAGTCATCGTAACTTTGTCACATTGGAAAGATAACTACTTGGAACATTAGACCAACTTACAACATGACTTTAATGCGTTTTAGATTTTATTTTAAATATTCAATTTATTGTTGTGGGTACAATTTCAATTATTATATAAAGGTTAGGTGAAATTCGTAAATTTTGAAATATACGAATTTCATCTAACTAAGCCGATCAGTCGGCGCTCGGTGTACCATTCGAGTATACTGTACACATACCTTGTTATACAGTAATAAGATACGTGTAGTTCCATTTGTTTGGTTAAATCAGTGACAATAAGTAACGATAAAAATTGTACGGTGGCAGGACGAAGAATCGGTTTTTTTTTTTTTTTTGAAATGAACTAACGTTTCTTTCTAATCGTAAATTTTGGGCTGATCACGGCAACGTTTTCACCATAATATTATTTATCACTCGTGTCTAAAGGCGACAGAGGGCAACAAATCAGAAGATGGGCAATAGCGACTTCATAATAACGACTAAAAACAAAAAACTGCGGTTGTCAACCCGCTAGCCAAGCGTGGCTAGTATAGCAAATCTACCCTCTATGAAGCAATATACGTGGGATGCTTATGTTTAGCAGTGGTCTTTAATAGGCTGTAACGGAGAGTTTGTTGTAATAGTAATACGATAAATGTAGTAGGGGGTTGGAAAAAACGACGAAAATTTTTTTTTATTTAATCTCTTTGGAACACGGGCCCTCCGAGCGATATTTAGGACAACGTTGCCGAAGTGAGCGATATTTGCGGCAGTAAAATTTTGAGCTCCCAATTATTTACACGAGCAATAGCCAGCAGTAGATCGTTATGACCTGATAATAAAGGAAGAATTGTAAGGAAACTATAAAGATGGGGTAACTTCATTATATGAAAAAAAACATTATTGTGTGTAAAAAAGTCATCAAACATCAACATTAATTAATTCATTAAACAAAAGTTAAATTAACAGTGGCACAGCCTCGCGGCAGCTTTTGCTGTTGCACGAATGGGTCGGCTCAAACCGAGGTGATACCACGACCTCACAGAATACCAACGTGAAGTAGAGATTTACCTCTGTGTTTCGCTTGGTAAGTGCAAGTTGCCGAAAGCGCTATTACCCCCCCCCTAACATTGTAACGGAATCAATTAAAATATTACCCCAGGAGGTTAGCACCCCTGGTGCAAAGAATCCCTCACTGAGCATACACGACCAAGTTATCCTACTCTTCCTGAGCGTGGGTGCTCAGGCTGCCCCCGTATTCTGGGTCGGAGGGACAACTCCGCTTGCGACTAAAACTGCTCGGAGCAAAAGAAGCAACAACACCAAGGTGACCCCTGCCACGCTATAAGTGAATTTTGCAACATCAGGGGACTTAATTCCAACCTTAACGCTGTCCACTACCATCTGGAGACGGCGAAGCCAGCCTTTCCCTTTTTAACCGATACTCAGGTGTCCTCTCCAACTGATACTTTATAGATCTTCTACCCGGAGTACAAATTAGAACACTCCTTCGTGCCCCGGCCTAGAGTCACATACCTGGAAGACATCTGTGTTCGACGCCTCCGCAGTCTTGAAGTTACGGACTTTTCCATCCTACGTGGCTGCGCGTCGACAGTGACGATAATACCCGCGTCTACCGAACGCCGCCGAATAGCTCGATTCACGATAAATCGATCATGCGGGGAGATATTTTTATGAATAAAACTAAATTTACGGATTCTATCGCGTTTTTTTTAACTGATTTTACTTATTTTTAATTCCCGACGTTTCGGGTGCTTTACAGCAACCATGGTCACGGGGGGGACCATTATTCACTGTGTAGTGTTCGCGTAAATTTAAGAAATCATTATCTTTTTATGATTTTGTTTTCGCATATGGTCTGACACAACTGATTACATCGCCTGCGCTAATTCCAAATGTGGAAGATCATACACCTCCCTGTTGGACCTTCAGCTGACCTCTCACCGGACGAATATCAGGTTTCCGTCGGCACCCCTCCAGGCTCGTCAGACCATTGTCTTGACCGGAATGTGGTGCCAGTCACATTAACGTCGCGGTAGCATTATGCAGGCTGCCGCCTGCGTGTTTGGTATTGTAGGTCGGCCGACTGGGATAGGATGCGGTCTTCTTTTGCAGCCTACCATTGGGGGTGGGTTTGTTTCTCACCGGATGATCCTAGCGTTGTTGCTGATTCTGTCGCTGATATGGCACTACAGGGTATGTAACTTTTTATTCCATCGCATCTGTGGTGCCCATAGAAGGCAGAGGCATCCCAGCCTTGGTTTAGTCACTCCTGTAAAATAGCATCACGCTTTAGTACTACTGGGCTGATGCATCAACGACTCGGGATGTAACCACCAGCGCTCTTAAAAAGAAGAATAATTCCGCCTCCAGGTCCTTCAACAGAGTTATTGCCAAGGCAAGGTCTGAGCACATCAGCAGAATTGACGAGTTAGAGCTAGTTCGTCTTCCTTCGGAAACACGTGCATTCTGGTCTCTCGCCAAGGCTGTCCAATTGAACTTCTGTCAGTCATCTCTTATATTTATATTATATTAGTGAACGCCAATACAGTTTTCGTCGTGGTTGATCAGCTGGTGGTCTTCTAGTCTACCTGACTCATAGATGGGCGGAGACAGTAAAGTCCAAGGGGGCCTTCGATCGGGTCTGGCACAAAGCGCTTCCTTTGAAGCTCCCTTCCTATGAGCTTCCCGAGAAATTGTGCTATTGGGTCGCCAGTTTCCTTGCTGATCGGAGCATCAAGGTCGTAGTAGACGTAACATGCTCTGATTACAAGCCTATTAACGCTGATGTTTCACAAGGCCGCGTGCTATCACTAACGCTGTTTCTTCCACATATCAATGATATGTTGCAAACTGATAACATTAATTGCTATGCAGATGACAGCACTAGTATTGCCTTATACACCACGGTGTAACAACATGGTGCACTGCACAACGTTCACACGATACGTCTTGCATGGGCAAACAGTTTGTACAAAATGTTAGTAACGAACATTTGTAACAATGGTATCTCAGTAATATATAAGTCAAGACTACAAGTAAGTATCTCAGATAGTTAACGCTCGGTGTAAATATCACAGTGCGCGAGTAACCCGTGTTCGATCCTCGCAGGAATCAATTTAAATTATTAATTGGAAAAATTTTAGTGCTAATTTACCATGTGCTCGGCAGTAAAGGAAAAGACCGTGAAGAAACCTGCATGTTGAGAAATTAAGAAAAAAAATATTTCGAAGACATGTGAAGTTCGCCAACGCGCATTGGGACAGCGCGGCGGACCCTTCCTTGTTCTAAAACCCTCTCAGAAATGAGGAGAGGCCTGTGTCCAGTAGTGGGACATATATATGCTGTAACTGTTTTACATGTGTGGCGGCTATACGTCCTCTTGAAGTACATGCTTGCTTGTGCAACTTTAGTTTGAGCAAATTAAGCATTTGTGCAGGCCATTTGCACGGTAATATAACGGAATAGTTGTAGAACCTCTCAATGCTACACTCGGGCTTCAGTTTCGACAGTTGGCTCTTTCTGGTAGATTCATCTTTGGCAAGGACTTTGGAGCCCTGGTTTCGCTCAATCGTTTCTTCATTACGAGCTGTTTTGAAGTTGAGTAAGTCCTGCCGCATGTATTTGGAGATCAGTCTGTTCAGTTACCTGTATGTTGTCAAATCTCCTGAAGACTGCAGCTTCACTTCTCATCTAACAGACACTAGATTAAGAGCGTGATTGGGGGGTTTTTGTATTCTTCTGCAGTGAGTTTTGCAGAATTTAGCTCCAACTGCATGAACAGTTTCCACAAGCGTGTCATTAATATCATTCACTGTATTATACAGTCTTCTAGGAACTGATAACGGTTTTATATTTCGAGCTGAAAGTTTTCGGGACCCTGGATTAGCAGATGACTATGATGGAGCGTTGACTTCATTATATGGGACCTCTTCAACTTAAAAGTTAGGTTTAATGTGCCTCTAACCATTCGGTGATCGCTGCCAATTTTCAAACTCGCGATCGTTGAAAAATCACTGAACAGTTGGCAACTGGTCCTCATAATGAAGTCAATCTCATTTTTGTCGAACTATTGGGGTTCAACCAGGTGCACTTCCCGTGGGGCCGCTTCTGGTAGAAAGAGTTCATCATAAAGAGTCCCTCTTTCTCCATGAAGTTTGCCACCTGCTGGCCCCTTGGGTTTCCTTTGCCCTATTCCAAATTTCCGTTAAAGTTTTGCGTTAAAGTCTGAAAAGTAAATTTTTTTAAAGAATCGGTGAGTTCTTGGGTTTTGATTTGTACTAAAATCGTGCGCATATACTGTAGTATTTATCTTTGATTCCAAGAAATAAAATTTGTTTTGTTTCTCTACCAATCATGGCAGCAGCTCCTGACAGTGCTCTGTAGTTCTTTTGTAAGACCTCATACTCCAACCTCCGTCGCATAAACCGTAATTTCGGAGGAAAGTAAAAATGTGTAGAGATATTCTCATACATTTCCTCCACCTCCTCATTGGGATGTGCCGAGGTTGGAGCGTAAACCTGTATGACCTTCAGCGAATACCGTTTGGTGATTACCGAGTATCAGGTACGCAACCCTCGTCGACACTCTCTCAATCTTTACAACATTGTTGTCGAGAGACTTGTAGACGATAAATCCGAAACTCTCTCATTCTTACTCTCTTCAGAACAACTGCGCAACTTGTCTACCTCTTCTTCCAGCTCCAGGATCTTCTCATCAGTCCTCAGGATGCGTGCGTTATAGGTTGCCAGGTCGAGCACGTCTCAGGTGGCAGCCAAACCTCCACCAGAGATTCTTAGCAACCCCTGCCCCGCCATTACCACGGTCGCCATCGTAGCCAGGAATAGCAGGGGCTCATGCTGGCAGGGGCAGCGCATGGGGAGATGTTTGCCATGGTTGCCACGCTTGGCGAGTGGGTTGGTAGCCGCAGTTTTTTTATTGTATAATTGCTGTTACCAGGAATATGTTACTGCCCATCTCCTGCCTGTCTCCTTCTGTCGCCTCTTGCGACACCCACGGGATAATATGGGGTAGTGGATATTCTCAACCGCAACTACATGGCACAATTAGTATATCTATGCTATGAATAATAATCTTTAATAAGGGTAAAAATTCAGATTTTATTTAAATAATCCTCTAAAAGAGGATCGGTAAAGTTTATGTAAATACGATAGAATACTTTTACCTTATAACTTTCAATAAATTGTTGATGTTGCCACGTAACTACAGCATAGACATTTTTCCACAATGACGCACCGTTGTTCTCGATCTGAACGAAGTTGAAATATTATTATTTTCTTTCCTTTTTATAAATACACAAATATACTCAAATTATATTCTTACCATATACTCTTGCGCATCTTCAACTGTCTTTATATTCATGTCTAGTACCTCGCTATCCGTAATGATTCGATCATGTGATGAACTAAATAACGAAAAGTATGATTAAAGTTTAAATAAGTTTATTTTTTCTGTATGTAAAATACTAAATCATAATCAGTTGTTAATATTTCTTTAAACTGGTAGTAATTGGAATTAAATTCACTGATGATGTTCGTTGGATAAAACGCGAATTGTGAATTCAGTGGATTAAAGTTATCGGACCAACGGATCAGATCATATCATGATCGGATCATAAACTTAAGTGGCAATAAGCTGGCAATATAGCTCAAAAAATCGTCAGCCTTGGATAGGAAAGGTTCTCGGATAGCATCCTCGTACTGCTACAATCTAGAGTGAAGATCCGTAAAAACATGCAGGAAATCGATGGATGCAATCCGCACCTAGTTTTTCTTTCTTGGGGGAGACCATTTTTTCAGCTGTGGACTTATGAAGATGATGTAAAGATGATGATTATAATGTAAGTTATTAATATTCGTGGATTATTGTTGATGTTTTATTTACCCATTCACTGCGACGGCTTCAGTTTCTAGTTCAAATGGTACTTCAAGTCTAAATCTTGTAAAATTCGATTGCAGTGAGCAACTGCTGTTATAAAATTCAACGTCGACAGTTAACTTCTGATCCTTGTTTGTTGGTTTGCTCATATCAAGTAGTATTTCTATTAAATGCTGAAAATAACTATAATTAATAGATAATGTATGTCAAATCCCATATGTCACGTAAATGCAAAAGATTTTTATTACTATCAAGGAATAAATTGAAGTATTTGATTTTCGACCGCTGCTACTATGTTGACAGTTCTATCAACAAATATAAAAGCAATTCTTAGAAAAGTCAAAAGATAGTTTGGTTGTTCTGATATGAACGATCAAAAGATTCTTAAAAACGACGCCACATGGTGCGTTGCCCATACATGCGTACCCCGTTCCCGTCATATCGTGGGTGTCGTAAGAGGTGACAGAGGGAAATCAAACAGAAGAACCGCAGCAGTGTCTTCTTGATGTCAACTCAAAAAATAATCTACGTTTGCGAACCTGATCGCCAAGCAATTGTAGTAAATATCCCGCCTATGTGGTAGTTGGAGGAGGCCTGTATTCAACATTGGACTTTTCATAAGGTGTAATAGATAAATGGATGAATGGGCTCAAAACTAATCTTCACCAAACTCCTTAGTCAAATATACTTTTTCCATCGGTCAAAAGTAGTTTTAACCAGGAAAGAATTTTGACTGCGACGTATACCATTTGTTAAGAATTTGCAGCTGATGGGTTTATATGGTACACATTGTGAAGTACGTCTGTGCGGACTCACCTCGGCATCTCTCCTTATGGGTACCGGTAGGAAGCATTTGTACCGGCCGACTGTTTCAGCGCAATCGACCCGTCCCACTTGCGCACCGCTGATTTTCACATATGCGCAAGCTTGCGCGTATGAATTGTTGCCATGATTTTTTACACGGATGATCACCGTCTCTGATTTTGTAGAACCCAACTGATAAGGTTTACTGAATTTGTAGAAAATATTGGTATATTTTTATTTAAGAATTTTAATGATTATTATAACATTATGTTTAGATATTATATTTTAATAACGATTTGATTGATTATAGATTTATCAGATTTTTTTTATTTCGAAACGGTAGTAGATTTGAAAAATAAATTATATGTCCCACTCCTGGTAAATGGAACTGGCTTTTAGATTCTCAGTTCTGTGAGGGTTTTAGGCTAAAGAACTGTACATCACGTAGTCCCAATGTGCCCCAGTTTTTATTCAAGAGCATTCTTTAGGCTTTATCAGTTTAATATTTTCCTTCATGCACCAGCCTTTTTAAATTCTTAAAAAAATTAAATATAAAAACCTAATAATATTTATAAATATTTTAAAACTTGGTGTATATCCATAGGTAATTTAATTCCCTGTATTCTTAAATGTTCAAAATAATTTCAACAAATCACCTTCGCGACCATTCCAGTGTCATGTTCAGTTGTGGCAAGCAACTTTCTCCTGAACAACGACGTTCAATAGTCAATGATGCCGATCTGGTTTCACTGTGTGGACTCAAAGTCACCCACGATGGATTAAAATCTAGTATAAGAAGAAATTAAAGATTTTATTGAAGATGTGACTTAATCAGTAATTCTTAAATAAAAATATTGCAAATAGTTTCAAAATATTTCCAGAGGATCAGCTTCGCAATGTAACGAAGCCAGTCTTCTGGGCATGCTACCATCAGATGACGGTGATTTAAAGAGTATTTTTATATCGTTTCTTGTGGTCACTTCACTCTAGTCCGAAGTCCTCAGTCGACTGCATCCATGCGTGTTTTCCGCCCGACTTTGCGTTGGTCATGTGAGGCTGCCACTCGAAAACCTTTCTTCGCCATCGGTTGATTTTTAATTTAAGTTAAGTTAAGCTTTTTAGTCAAATTTAATGTTTCTAAATTACATTTTTAGTATAATTTGTATAATATTATATTTAGAATATTACTATTTACAGAGTTAGATTCCAAAATTATTCATCATTTTATCACCTTTATTTATGAGTGCGTCTTCGGTGGCCAATTCAACACGTGTTGTAAACTTATAAGAACCAGGTTCATTATCATCCTAAAAAAAAATAACGTTGTTCTTAAAGGGCTCGTATACAAACTATAAAAATTGCATCTTGGTTATAACTCTAGATCCATTCTAGCTCAGCAATATTACCAGCTCTACTTTCGCTGCAATATTTTTGTGCAACACCTTGTAGAGTATATTCCATCAATGTTATTTCAAATGTCACCAAGCAATTGAGTTCATGAACGTAAAGCAGGGCTATAAGCAATATTGCACTATATTGCGCGATGTAGACTGCTACTTGACGGCTATACAATTGCGGCTAAAAATTGCCACAAATCAATTGATAGAAATGTCCAAAGTGATGAGAAGGTACATGGAAGAATAAAATATAAAACAAAAGAAAATCTTAAATGATTTTAATTTATACCATGTTGTGATGACTTAAGAAAATCCATCACAAAATGACCCTTAACGTTCCATTTCTATCGTAAGAGACATATACAGTAAATTCTAAATGTATTTTATAACCTCCTTCAGATGGCGATACATCCGAGATCTCATACATAATAACATAAGACCTGAGTCCAATGACGAATTTCGGTGTATACGTGGGTGGTCTGAAAAGTTTCCGACCTAACAAAGGTACAAGACATCTTTTCTTTAATTTATTTTTATTTTTCTATATAGTCCCCTTGTAAATCTACACACTTCTACCAGCGATACTCCCATCTCTCTAACCCGTCCAAAGAATACACGGCGTTTTTCTCTGCAAAATAATTGTTCACGAAGGTGATTGCCTCCCCATTTGACGAAAATCTCTGTCCTCCGGAGTAATGTTTAGATGAGGGCACAAAAAGAAGTCGCTTGGGGCTAAATCTGATGAGTAAGGTGGATGGTGAAGCAATTCAAACCGTAATTTGTGGATTTTCGCCATGGCAACCGCTGAGGTGTGAGCCGGCGCGTTGTCATAGTGAAACAGGATTTTCTTTTTATGCAAATGTGGCCGTTTTTCCGCAACTTCTAACTTCAGTTTGTAAAGTAATGATGCGTAGTATGCTTTTGTAATGGTTTTTTCTTTTTGAATTGATTGAATGATTCCATAACTATCCCAAAAACAGTGGCCATCACTTTCTTTGTTTTTGTTTTTACTTTATTTTGGAGTCGGTTACCCTTTGCAGGCCACTGTTTTGACTGTATTTTTGTTTCGGGCGTGTAATGGTGTGTTCAAGTTTCATCTACCGTAATTAATTGGTGCCGAAACTCGGATTTATAGCGTCCAAACGACGCTAACACAGTGTTTGAAATGTTCATTCGAACACGTTTTTGATCTCACGTAAGCAAATGCGGCCGACCCAACGCGCGAACCTTTCTCATGCCTAAATCTTGATTTAATATGTGACAAATACGTTCTATGGACATTTTTATAGCGTCTGCTATCTCTCTCACTTTAATTGACGATGTTATCCTCAGTAGTTGCAGTTTTTGGACGTAGCGAACGTTCATCGTCTCCCAAGTCCTCACGACTACGTTTAAATTTAGCTGCCAAAAATTTCACTGTGGTAAAAGATGGTGCAGAGTCTCCATACACAGAGTCCAACTGATTTGCGTAGGCGTATTGCCTTTCAAAAACAAAAATTCAATGACAGCTTGATACTCAATTTTTTCCATTTTTACAAAATCACTCACATCGACTCACTCAAACGACTATCAAATTAGAACTACGCGTCCAAAATGGCTGAAATGTTGGTGCGTAACTGTCAGAAGATGCACAACTATATTCAGTAACTTTTATTTACAAGTGTTGTCATCTTCACGTTGAGATCGGAAACTTTTCAGACCACCCTGGTATAAAGTAACTCTGTGCTAACGAACGTGGCTCGCTGTAAAGACAAGGGTGCACGCGGGGATGTGTGACGTGGAGCATTCCACGCTAGTCTCATGTTCTTTTCCACACGTAACCTCTACAAGGATCTCGTAAATACCAAAAAAAACTATTACTGCCAAGGAATAAAATGAGATGTTTGATTTTTAAACGAGACTACGCTTGTTCTATAGACGACGCCAGCGACCGGACTGAGTGCTGCCGAAGCCATGTACTTGTATTCTTTTGCCTCCACTCAGCAATATGATTGAGGTCTGATTTTTAATCATCATTTAAAAGTTACTGTTAAGGCTTGTTCTTGTACTTCAACTTGTACTACAATAAAGGTAGTAAAGAATTGTTGACCTCTATGTAACTTCACTATTATATGACACCAGCGTATCATTCTACGGCATACGTACACCGCGCCTACACAATGGCAATCATATAGCAAGTAAACGCGCACAATTTTTTGTTGCTAATGGTGCTGAGTGCGGTAAAGAGATGTGCCCACACGCTCTAGGTCATAGGCACGGGGACAAACCCTAAGATAAAATACAAAATAAGTAAATTAAGAATTAGATCTTCATGATAAATAATTCACTTATATGTTTCAATCTTATATTCAGTCAGTTATATCGATGGATAACTTTTATTTGACAATTGAAAAATTGGCCGTTAATATGGTTACTTCTATTTACTAACTTATTTAAGATAATCTACTACTACATATTTGATCGTGGGATCGTCATAGGCGACAGAGTGAAACTGAAACGGGAGAGGGGCAGCAGCGTCAATGAGGTTACAACTGAAAATTATAATAACTTCAGTTGCCAATCCGCCTGCCAAACGTGGCAACTATGACAAAATCCCCTTTACAATCAATCGGGGAAGCAATACTCAGCGGTAGACTCAGCGGCAGACTAGGTAGAATGATGGATGAATGAATGTAACTTACTATATCAACAATGACGTCAATTTCGCTCTTTGCTTCCTTATGCGACAAATCAATGACATGTATATCTTGACCTTTTCTTATTTGTAATCCATTTCCAATAATCGTATTTATTACTTTAAGCTCTGAAAAAGCGTAAACACACATTAAGCTATCCGCTACTAATGATAATTCCAAATCATTCTCATTGGTACAACACTGTGGTAAGCTAGTACAACAAGGTACAAAAGCCGTGGTACCTCAGGGGCTAAACGCTCGCTGTAAATTGCCACATTACGTGAGCTGACATTGTTTGCAATATTAAGTTCTGAATTACCACGTGCTCGGCGGTGAAGGAAAATACGTAAAGAAACCTGCAAGTCTGTGAAATAAAATGGAAAATATTACGAAGACATTAAAGTTTTCTCTTTTTTACTCATAAATTGCGTTTCAATGAAATGAAATTGTGAATTTGAAATTCACAATTTTGTTCCATGAATACTTACTTCCAATAATCTTTTTTGGCTTCTTCGGGTAAGTGATATCAACAGTAACGCGAACCGTAAAATTGTTGTGCTTTATTCGCACCACCTGAAAAGTTCCATAAATAAATATAATTCCGTATATCTATACATAGGAATAAAGTTGAAGTATCCGTCCGTTCTATTAAACTCTATGATTTCTCTGCATGGTATTAAAGACATAAAAATTTTGGTCTGTCTGTTTTTCCAGGTTAATCTTTGGAACAACTAAAACGATTAGGATGAAACCTTACGAACAGATAGAGAGCAATTCTAGGAGGGATCAAGGCATTGAGTCATATGTACTACGTACTAGAGAAGCTATTCCAAACAAAAAATGTGCACTACTCTGTATCCGCACATGCGCGGGAAACAGGAGTCGCGCATGCGCAGTTGATATAAACGCGCGAAAAATGTCATAATAAATAATAGTTTATTTGGATTTTATTGTTAATCGAGTATATTTTTTTTTAATTTTCGTTTATTTTGCATATTTTCTAATTTCATATAAAATTATTATTAGCGCCGCTCCGCGCTGCATGAATATCGAAGCCACAATAACAGGTGTACTGATTGCAGTACAGTTCAGTTGAACATAGGGAATGTTCGGAATGCCATATCTACTCGTAGTGCGTAGTACATATGTATCGATGGATCAAGGCTATATTTTTTCCGAAATATTTGAAGACATTTTTTGAAAATCACATAAAATTGATAAAATAAATGGTCCTTGATCATCTGGAATCTTAACAACGCCACATTAATAGATCATATCCAGGCAAAGCTGGGGTGGGTACTAGTTAAAAATATAGCAATGGAATTGTAATGCTTTTTGTTTGGGTTTTGAATGTTTACCTGTTCGCCGACAAGCTGAGCAGATACAGTCACTTTAACTGTAGATATGCCACGATACAAAATGACACGTGCACTTTCTGGACAACCCACTGCTAATTCTAGGTATGAAAGAATAGTTCTTTATTTAAATAAAAATAAAAATACACTTATTAAGAGAGAATAATACAGTATTAACAGTTTTACTATTAAAAAAAAACTTTTACACCAAGTAAGTATACAAAAACAGTATTAGTATATCCACTATCCCCCATCACAGATGGATAAGCAGCACATTCATAATAACAACTAACAAACAAAAAAACTGCTTTTTTTTTAAATACAATAAAGGTGACAAACGTGCACATAGTCCACTTGATGGTAAATGGATGCTGTGGCCCATAGACATCTACATTTATTCTCGATTAAGAATCAAATTATGGACTAAGATAGAATGCCTCGATTCCAGTAAAACGGATCTCCGGTTCTCTACACTTACCATACAAAACACAGCAGCATTAAGCTGCTATTTTACGCTGGTATTCTGTAAGAGCATGGTCCTTCCCCGGTCGAGCCGACCCATTCGTGCTACAACTATACTTCTAATATAACTGAACGGTTCTACCACGTATAAACGACGTGCTTCATTTTTTTCATTTTAAAATTGTTTTCGTAATAAATGCTCATTATTTTTTTGATAAATAGCTTATCGATTAAAACAAATGTTTAAAAATAATTAAATCGCGCTAATTAAAGTAGTAGGAATGTTTAATGTTGAAATTGGCACTAAAAGGCTGGTAATTGGGGCACCTACCTACCTACTACACACCTACACCTACCTACAAAGCGTTAATATAAAATTTAAATTTTAAATCAGATGCGTGTAATCACTCTGCGAGCTTGTAGCAACAGTGTTGCCAACATTAAAATCTAGCTCCCGTTGTAGAGAACACTATAATCCCGTCAAATCCCGTCAAGTACGGTAGACAAGTGTCAATCATTCATTTCTAGTGACCGAATCATTCTAGTACATTTCGTCACGCGTACTGGTACATTCGAATCGACTTCAACCAGAGACCTTTTTACTGGAAACGAGGCATTCCATCTTAGTCACAGAATAAATAATAGTGCTACGTATCACGGGTGACAACGCATCTGCGTTTTGATTCGTAATCGAGGATAGATGTAGATGTCTGTGGGCCACAGCAACCACTTAACATCAGGTGGACTGTGTGCTCGTTTGTCGAAAAAACGTCGATTTCTAATAATATAATCGTGCAAGTTTTCGAGTCATCATCATCATTACAGTCCTTCATGTAAAGCATGGTTCTGAGCCATTTTCCTTGTCATGAGTTTTTCATTTATGTTCTAAGTCATAATTAGTATCTATTATTAAGGCAGTGTTAATTATATTTATTGCTTGTTTTATCTTTCTTAAAAAATAATTAAAATTACCAAATAAATTATAAGGTGTTTTTTTTTCATATACATCGAATATCTGATAGAAAAGAAAGTACATATTTTGCTAAACTTTAAATTCAAAAACCAATTTTAAAACATAGACGAATCAATTGTAACTCCTTTAGCTTTAAAATAAGTTATATAAAAAGCTAAATTAATTAATTAAATTCCCGTTTATGACAGCCCTGATTTATATTACATGGCTGAAATAAAGTACTTCTTATTAGGTACGTAAAACCAAATATCAGCCTGACGGCTGACAATATGCACTTCATACATTTCGTATATCTATTTACAGCCCCATTAATATTCACTATTATTTTATAATTCTTTTATAAAAACGTTAACCCCACACTAGGATTTTCTCCTGTATCGCGGAGGCAATTTACAAACATAAATTGCAAAAGGATTACACACATAAACATAAATTAGGAAAACGTAAATTACAGGAATAAAACACATTAAGGAAACATAAATTACACACATCCTGACCCGGAACAATTATTTGAAGGTCATACAAATACTTGTTACGTGCCGGATTAAACCCGCGGCCCCCGGCGCAGCCACTCATTGCTAAGCCACTGCGCCACGGAGCCGTCGTCTAAAATAAAATAAATTCGTCTGCACATAGGCCTGAACCGAAGCAAACTGAACGACCTTCCAACGTGTGGATGCCGTCACAAACTCTCGGCCAATATCTTCGCCACTACATTCGCCACTGTGTTAGCCAACGTGTAGAGCCGCCGTTAGATACACGATCTATGCTGACCAATAAACTGAGAGATATAAACCTAACCAGCGATTCTGCAGTCAGGCAACATTGTTTCAAAATGAAGGTGACAGATGTCATCACAAATTCTTATAAATTTTAAGCGCTATAAACAAAAGTTTTACAATAACCTTTTCTTTTCTTTTTGTCTTAATCTTGTGTCATTATCTCTGTGTATGTCTATAATGGGTGGTACTTATCGTACTCGTACTTTCGGAAACAAGTAATTCTCTGCTTGATTTATTTTTTGCCGTGTTTAGTTTAAAAGTACTTACTTAATTATCTGTGATATTGATAGGTTTAAGCGGGTGGCATCCTTGAATTCCTTGGTATATTTATAGAGTTAACTTGAGTACTGACAAAGTTTGATTGTTGCAGTGCCATTTGTTAATTTAAGGTAAACCTGTTATTGGCATTACTACATTACACATAGTTATAAGATATATAATTTGTAAAGCTGTTGGTTTTCTTAATAAAATTAAAATAAAATAAATTATTCTAACAAATTTTAGCGGTAAAATTCCCTAGACGAGTTCTTTTTGTTCACGTCAGTTCTATAACTTACTCATTTAAATTGTATGACAGTTAAGTATTACAACATACCATCTCTTCCATTTTCATCCATATCATCAATTACTTGAAGACTAAATCCAAAAGATTTGAAAAGTGTGTTCTGGATTCTTTGCGTTAAAATGAGTTGTGAAAGAGAGATCGATTTGAAGAACTCATCTCTGAGGAGCATCTTATTTAACTCAAACCCCGAAATTATATACACAGCTCCCAATCCATTGTCTTCATACGGTGCACTTACAATTATTTCTGCCAAATAAAATGGAACTGAATTAATCGACGATACTATTTTAATATTTTTTTACCCTACATTAGGACTATTTTTTAATGCAGAGAAGTGACATTTTGCATATATAAATTGCTTTCGGACAAACATACAGACCAGTACTAATTATTTGTAGGCCAGATTACCAACGAACTTACAATACACCTGATGGTAAGGGGCTACTGCACCCCAGCAACACAGCATCCAACTGAAAACAAGGAGGCTATAGATCCGTTCTCACCTCTTAGGGCCAATATGGAATCCCTCAGAGCCTGTAATTAATCTCAATACCCTTCAGAGGTCATCCAGTATTGTGCTCCGTGCGAGGTTTAAACCTGCGGCCCGCTGTGCTCGGCCAAACGCTTAACAGCGCCACCGAGAAGGTAATCTATTTACATTTTCTTTTACCTCAAATTTTTGCTTTAAATTAATTTAAGCTTAAAAGCGTAAAAATCCCTAAAAATTGGTGCCCCACCCATTCAATGATCGCCGACGCGAAGTACGCTTTGAAACGTGTCTTGCACTACTCAACAGACATACAAACGAATGAATTGTGAAACGCATTGTTACAACGGGATGAGCATTAATGCAGATATGTACTGTGAAGAACTGAAAGCAATGATGGAGAAGCTCGCGCGTCTTCAACCAGCTTTGGTCAATCGTTGGTCACCACTTCTACTGCACGACAACGCGCGACCTCATACTGCACAACAGACGGTCTCCAAGTTAAAAAAGCTGAGGTTGAAAGCTCTCCGTCATCCGCCGTATTCACTAGACCTTGCGCCTACAGACTTCTACTTTTTCCAGAATTTGAATAACTTTTTGACGGAAAAAGTATTCAATACCCGAGATGTAGTACAAAATGCCTTTAAAAAATTTATAGCTTCCCGTCCAGCTGATTTCTTCAAAAAGTTCATCAATAAACTGTCACTGAGTTTCTTCGGTCTACTTTGATCAATATAAATAAAAAATATAGAAAAAAAAATTACGTTAACTTATTTCATTAAAAACGGCAACTTCATATACAAAGACCTAATATATTATTATATGTCGGTTACTCCCAACGGATACCAATAATAATACTTCAAACGGGCTCAATAGACCAACGAATTAATAAGCGGAAGTGGCAATGGGCCGACCATATAGCACGATGAACCGACAACCGATATGGGAGCAAGGTTCTCGAGTGGCGGCCTCGTATCAGTAGGTGAAGTTTAGGCGGCCCCCCCACTAGAAGGAACATGGTGAACAACCTGGTAAAGAATGCAGAAAGTCGATAAATGCTGGTGGCTAAGGACCGTGCTTTTTGACATTCTTTGAAAAAGGCCAGTGTTCAATTCTATGTACGATTTGTGAGGGGCTGTAACCAATGAATATATATGAATAGGATATCATACCTGGAAAACCGTCTCCGTCCACATCTGTGGAAGCAATTGCGCTGCCAAACCTGGAGCCAACGTTATATCCGAGGATTGAACGCCTTCTATTGATGTCGCCAATAGTGTTCTTTAGGTTTTTAAACAAGTATATTATGAAAAATACAAAAACACAGATTAGTACAATTAAAATTTAATTATATATATAAATAAGTTTATATAAATATTAAAAAATCTAAATATAAATGCGTAATAAAGGTGATTATGCCTTTGTTAAATAGCTCAGCAACTTGCCACGTGGTAGAACCATGCTACAGCTATATTATAGTTGTAGCACGAATGCATGGGCTTGACCGGAGAAGGACCACGCTCTCATGGAATACCAACGTGAAATATCAGCTCAATGCTGTTGTGTTTTGTAAAGTGAGTATAGAGAACCGGAAACCGTTTTAACATAATAGGGCACATTCCATCTTAGTCCTCAGTGGTGACAACGCATCTGCATTTTGATTCTTAATCGAGGATAGATGTAGACGTCTATGGCCACAACACAAATGGCTATAAGACTTAAAGACTGCGATGAAGTACAAGGAACACCATAACGCTTAACCTACTTTCACTTATATAACATAATACGTGCCTTCGTGTTTTTGTTAAATAAAACCTTTTTTTTTGTTTTTTTTTTTCATGTGAATATGTGGTCAACATTTTTTTAGTGTTCGATGTAATTTATATATTTCACAATATTACAGTTATAAGCGAGCTAAGATTGCACCGAATGGTAATAAGTAATCTCTGTTGATCTATTCTCAATTAAAAATTTAAATACTAATGCATAGTCATCCTCAAGAGATGAAATTTATCCCCTTTACCAATGAAAGGCACATGACAAAATTGCACACCGACAAACACCCAAATCTGGTAATATAATATCATTTATAGGCTTATTCCGTGCGGGAATTGAACCCGCAGCCCGCAGCATATCATATAAAAGTTTGGTCATTGCGCTAGCCAGCGTTCATTTAAGTATAAGTCATATGGTAGCGTAAGACGTAGTGTCATAGTATTATTTTATGCGAGTATCCTGTTGGTATTTTTACCGTTAGATGTAAAAATAAATGCTAAACTGATCGATGTGTACAGTGTCATTGCGCTGGGAGAAGTAGTGGGAGTACTGACTACATAATCTTCAGGTTGCAAGACTACCTCCCTCAGCCGTTTACACTAATGTAAAGGTTTATTACGTAGACCATGCTGCAGTTATATTAGTAGTATAGTTGTAGCACGAATGAGTCGGCTCGACCGGGGAAGGACCACGCTCTCACAGAATACCAGGGTCAAATAGTAGCTTAATGCTGCTATGTTTCGTATGGTGAGTGTAGAGAACCAGAGACGCTTTTTACTGGAAACGAGGCATTACTCCTAAGTCCTCAAGGATGACAACGCATCTGCATTTTGATTCGTAATCAAAGATAGATGTAGATGTCTATGGGATACAGCAACCACTTACCATCAGGTGGACTGTGTGCTCGTATGTCATCCTATCCTATGAAAAAAGGACAAAGGGCGTAGAGAGCACAGCAAGTATGACTACAGTGTCAGGTGCACATTTAGTAAGCGGCGAGTCACGGTTTGTCTATTACTATTACTTTTACTATATATTGAGACGTGATAATAGCAGATCTTCAATAAATCGATTTTCATAAGAAGTAATTATCTATTAGATAAAGGTAAATTTATGTCCCCAGTGTATAACTTTTTTCGTTATAAAAATGTTTAGCTGTGTGCAGCTTAGCTTTTTAAAATTATTTAAAGTTCATTCAATCAAATAATTCTTTCATTAGTTCAAAAAATTCATTCAGAGACTTTATTCATGCATTCATTGACCCTTGTAAATAACATTTGCTTGCCTTGCATATTTTTTGGAAGTTTGTTATAAAAACGTATAGATTTTCACATTAAGAAATTACTGCCTTTCTGGTATAACTAGCTTCTATTAGTTTATTCTTATATAATTAGAACGCGTAATACAGTAGGATACTATTTAATGAGCTTAAAAAAATATTTACCAAATTGCCTCCAGTATAAATGTCTAAAGCGCCGATCTCGTAAGCTTCTACGCCATCACCACCTTGCGCGGGTACACCCACGATCAACTCTGAATAACCGTCAAGGTTCAAATCTACACCAAGCATTGCTGCTCCAAACATTGTATTGATCGATTCATATTTGATATCCGTTTTTAGATTTCTTAATAAATTCCTCGGTTTATAATACTCAAGGAATGATATCTGAAATATAATTAATTCTTCCTCAAAAACTCATTGCCAGCTTACATATTTTATAATAAGTTTATTTCATTATATTTGGCTATCACAGTATCAGGTTTCTGTTATCACTAGTTTAGTAAAGTCAGGTCATACTTTATCTTTCTCCTCGTGGGCTTGTATAGAAGAAGCAATCATTATGTGAAAAAATTTATCATATTAATCATTATATGAAAATGTAAAGATTAATGATTTCTTATATTTACGCGAACACTACACAATTAAATAATACTAGTATTTTACGGATTTTATTGCGTATATTTAACTTTTTAAATACCCGACGTTTTGAGCACTTTACAGCACCCATGGTCACGGGGGGAACTGAGATGTTAAACTTCCAGATGTCCGCGGTTATTGATTAGTGTATATGTATTAGTGTAGATCGGAACAAAATGCCTAAGCCTACTTATATTCGAGAGCAGTTTTGGGAGATTGTAAGGATGGTTTTAAAGAAAATGAAAATATTATTGTGATAGGAGATTTTAATGGAAAGGTCGAGGTGAAGGCTTGATTATAAAAAGATATTGGAAACATTTGATGATGAAAGTTTAAATGACATTGGTGAAGGCCTTATAAGAGTATGTGTAGAAAAAAATCGTCTAATGATGTACCTACACTTTCTTTCCTATTAAGAAGATTCACACGTATGCGTGGGAAAGAAGAAAATATGAGCATTAGAGATTTTAAAATTGCGAATGAAAGAGTGATAAGCGCAGTGGTAAAGACATGGGTTTAATGAATTGTAAATGTAGGGGCAGATTATTACTTGGCCATATGCCAAATAAATGGTCTACCTTAGTGGCATTAGATATTTGTGTCCACGTCTTTACACCGTATAGGAATAGCAAAGTTACAACAAATTATTAGTTTGTAAATACTATTTTATTATAAATTTAATTTCAATTATCAAATCCATCTGTCTTTCCATTAGATTACACTATGGGTGTCTTCAAGATAACAATGAATATCAAGCTTTTGTTAAGTACGTGTGCATCCCCATCTCCGGCTCCATTTTCAATTTGGGATAGTCGTTAAGAGCTGGCTTAAAATAGTAAAAAAGTAAACTTTATGCCAGACAGAGTTCTAGACGAATGATTCCTAGTGATGAAATTTATCTGTTCATTCATAGGTATAAAAGGTATAAATACACTTTTCAAAAGCCCATCACTAGACATTTTCAATACAGAATGTGAAGAAGCATTTAAAAGGAAGTGGTCTAGGTGCGACCCGAAAGGTCCACACGACTATCCTCTCAGTATAAAGAATAAAAAAATATCATATGTTTTAATATTCTATACAATTTTTCATTCGGCACAAAAAACGACTTGACCGATTTTGCTCAAAATTTTATGAGGTCTAAGTTACATAATTATGCGTTAAATGAAACTAGTCCCATATGAATATCACTCTTTGTTCTCGAGATACACGAGGCGAAAATTGAATCCCAACATACATACATACATACATACGTACATGTACACACACGAACATCCTATTAAAAACCATACTATTCGACTCTAAAGACCTTGAAATGTGGAGATATGTTAAAATTTCCAATTTGCAAAATCGGACCCATTACAATAACTTCCCACTGGAAAGTAATAAACGAACATCTTACTCACAGAACTAGTCATATCATAGTATCCTATGCTGTATGCGTAAATAGTTTTATTGACTCCTGATACAGAAAACGTTCCAGACGCGAGTGTGTATCCTGAAAATCATCATAAAAAGTCATTTAAAGTTAATATAATAATATTACTTAAAACTATTGTGAATAATTCCTTAATACATTAAACAAACACATTAAAATCGTAGTAACAATAAAAAGCACTCACCGACGGTCTGTGCATAATCAGTAAGCTTTGCAAAATAAGCTAACTTATTTTGCACTATCGAACGAGCAGGGTCCAAGGGATTTGTTATTGAAATATATGCGATGTCCCCTTTCGGGAATAATTTGGCTATGAGAATTAAATTATTAACTTCGTCAACTAACGTCGTCCAACCAACTCCGCCAGAGAAAGCCTCTGTAATATAATAAAATAAGCCTATTATGTAAGCATCAAGAAATATCATAGGAAAATAAGCTTTAAATTTAACGACTATGATGTATTTGATCAACAACATTCGGTAAAAATATAATTAACTATGAATAGTAGACTAAGGGGTTGTCGTTAATCGCGTAGAACGTGAAAAACCGGCACCAATCAAATCGTTTATTTTTCTAGGTGCCGATTTACTAGTTGCTAATAAATTTAAAGTTAATGATAAGTGAAATTTGCCAACACGTAATGGGACAGAATTATGGGCTTTGTCATAAATTCATCTGAAATACTGTAACTTTGTAACTTTGTTTTACAAAATATTATTGCCATCATAAAAGTTCACAGCTGACCACGGTAGGGTCCTTGTTAGTTCTCTCAGCTCTACTATCTAGTCTTGGCAAGCAGATTGGTTCCACGATAGTAAAACTTGGCAAATGAAATAATGATAACAATACCAGTATATAGAGGTTTATTATAATTGAAGGTTTAGTATATTTTATGTAATCTGTGTTGACTAGCCTCGACTGGAAAATTCTTGCGCTTAGTACCAGATATTAAAACTTTTCAACTATTTGCAAACTTGGCAGGCGCAATGATGATCACATTATCGGTATTCTCGGAGTTATTGTTGAATTGTTTTACACATATCAATTTCTTGCAACAATTAGTGTTGGGTACTCTTTGTCAGGGGATCTCTCAACTGCTCCGTAATTCCCAGACTTGACATACGACATAGTGATATTCAGTACTGGATTTCTCCGCAGAGTTATTTCAAATGTTGCAAGCCACGTAGTATTTATAACATTTTACCCCTATTATTCATTTCTTTAGTCGACATTTGTAAAAGACGGTACCAAATTAAATGAGATATTTTAGGTGACTTCAAAAATGGAAGAAGTTCTTAACTCGATTGCATACAGTTTTTTTGTGTTTAAGTTACGCGATATCTTATATGAACGAATTTTAATGGTTTTTCTTTTATTTATTTGATACTTTAGTTGTGGTCCTAAATAAATTTGGAAAAAAAAATCCACCCTTAAAGGTAGAAAATTACGAAATGAAATTTTTTATGCAACTACTTGGACGACATTCTAGTTGTTACATTGACTTGTTATATTCCTTAGCGCACTAAAAAGAATTAGTAAGTTAAGTTTTTAATAATAAGAAAAATCCAACTGAGAATAACTAGAGAGAATAATACATTCCCATTGTTCACTTCTGAAGTCGTAACCTCAATTCTTCTATATACTATGTCTTTGTACCAACGTCTAAAGATCTTATGTGAAAATTATTTTATTATGTTTAGTTCTTTGCAGTCGGCCTTTCCGTTTTTAAACAATATAAAAGTAAACAATTTTTTATAGGATAGGGTGACAAACAAGCACACAGTCCACCTGATAGTAAGTGGTTGTTGTGGCCCATATACATTCACATTTATACTCGATTACGAATCAAAATTCATATGCGTTGTCACCCGTAAGGACTAAGATAAAAAGGGTAGTTAGTAAAAAGGGTCTCCGGTTCTCTACACTCACCATAAGAAACAGCAGCATTAAGCTGCTGTTATACGCTGGTATTCTGTGAGAGCGTGGTTCTTCCTCGGTCGAGCCGATCCATTCGTGCTACAACTATTTTACTAATATAACTGCAGCTCCCATTTAGAGTAGTAGTCTAAACTAATATTAGCGATTGTAATATGAAATGTCCAAAATGTCCGGCAAAATACCAATCGGCAGATTCAAGATTTTTCTTTCATACCTCGCCACTTAAGGTAACCACGAAATAAAATGTGATGATAGAGTATCCTATACATTTATCAAATTGTACATTTCTTTATGGTATATATAAATATATAGCAATGACTGCCTCGTTGGTCTAGTGGTTGTAGTAGTGCGACTGCTGATCATAAGGTCCTGGGTTCAAATCCCGGGTCGGGCCAAACCATTAATTATTGAGTTTTTCCGTCAAGAAATTCTCAGTAGTTGCCCGGAGTCAGAAAGTTGGCGGTATCTCACCCCCGTGCCTCGGAAAGCACGTAAAGCCGTTGGTCCTGCGCCTGATCTCTCTCCGGTCGTATTAGTTTACCGTCCCATTGGATTATGAGAGTGAGGGAATAGAGAGTTCACCTGTGCACTATACACATACACATACACTTACACTATACACATACACTTGGGCACTATAATCCTGTCCTGCACCGATGGCTAGCCTCCGTTGAGGCAGGCCGCCGTGGCTGAAATTCGGTCTGGAGGACATTATTATTATGTATAGCAATATCTTCGTAACGGTGAGTGAAGTATAGGGGGGGGGGTGCCCTACACTAGATCGAATGACGACCCTGTAAGACTTGCAGGAAGTCGATGGATACAGGTGGTTCAGGACCGTACTTTGTGACATTCTATAGGGGAGGCTTATGTTCAGCAGTGGACTAGTGGCTGTAATGATGATGAGGATAGTAATAAATAAATTAGTAACTCTAAAATCTATTACTACAATAGGTTTAATCAAGGTTACTTACGTCTATTATCTATTCGATGTTTAACGCACTGCTCGTACATTCCTTCGTATCGGTGGGCTGTGCCATTATATACGAAACAAGTGCCATACGAGCTCGTCTCTATTCCTTCAAATTGTTTAGGTTTGGTCTTTTTATAAGAAGACATCCATAGAGGAGCACACGTCTATAAAAATGGATAATGTTTACTTCAGATTATGGTAGAGTTAGACTGGAGCTTAATAATACTGCAATACAAATGGTTCAGCCGTTAGTCGATCGTTCAACCAGGAAAGGACCACACTCGCACTATCAGCTTGAAATAGCATCATAATGCTATTACGTCTTATATGACGAGCGAAAAGAAGCTGTGACCCATTTTACTCGTATCTTGGCGTTCCATTTTAGTCATTGAGGAAAACAACGCTTCTGCTTTTTTATTCCTAATCCGAAATAGATGTACGAAGTATTTATGAGCATATTGACTGTATGCTCGTTTGACTTTATTTTGCTGTGGAATACGGTCCAATTCCTTAACTTAACGTCAGGGGCGCGTTAGTTGGTTGGTGCTCACGGCACACGGCGTTCACTCTCCCACATTTTAAAAGAAGTGGATTTTAAAAATTATCTTATTTTATATAAATATTGTGAGCGTTTCCCAAGCGGAAGGGATTAATTAATAAAATAATTATTTATGTAAACCTGATGCAAGTGGAATAGCGACGATTTAATGTTCTCGACTCTTCTCGAGCCCTGTCTTCCTGAACGGGGTTCCCATAACTTAAAATAATATACGTCACTAACAACGACTTATTTCTAAATAAAATAACTAACGAAATATATATAGATATAAATATAGTGTTTACGTATACTATATTTATATCTATATTTCCCTTTAACTATATCTCCATCGAAGTTGATAGTTTTTTACTATTCGAAAAATGTATCTATAGTCTAAACAGGCCAGAAAAACATCACATTTTAAAATTTAATAAAAGATGTATTGCGAACAATCGGGATTCTTGCGCTACATATTCTTACCTATATAGACACATCAAAAAAAGTTTGTAATCACTAGCAAAAGCTGATAAATTTTTAAAATTTAATTATATAAAGGAAAAGTGTTAAGGTTATATCTTAAATAGAAATACACGGTTTGAAATTAAAAAATAATTTTTTTTAATATATTAATTATAAAATTTATTATCTTATCACACATTAATAAATTTATTGTAACAGAAATTTGATGAAAAGAAAAAGGTTTTTATATAATACAAACGAACTCCTCTCCTGACGCAAACACATGCGGAGATCCTCTTGGGCATGTTGGGAATCGAGTTATCCAGCATTTCTTGCGGTAACCTGTCCCTCTTGAATAATGGCTTCCCAGATCTCTGGCACAGTCTGGAGAGGTGGCTGACGGTTACAAACAGCTCGCTTAGGAGCATCCCAAGTGTGCTCTATTGGGCTTGAGTCAGGCGAGCCGGCAGGCCAGTCTAACCTTGTAATGTCATATTCTCGGAGAGCAGCATTGACTCGTTGAGCTCGATTTGTGGGCACATTATCACGGACACGTCGGTTGTCTAGATGAGTACTGATTCGCGATTGGTCATCGAAGAGACACAAATGTTGTCGTCCTCACTTTGTTCATTTTTCCGGAGCCTAGCCCACTTCAATCTCCTTAACTGACGTTGCCATGAATTCAGAGCTTGCCAAGACTCAAGAAGAGGTCAAACTTGCCAAGACCTCCGTGCTTGTAGTCCAGCCTGTTGTAAGCAATTCCGAATTGTCTAAGTGCAACATCAAGTCCAGAGGAGGCGCGCATTTCAGCTTTTATTTTAGTGGGATTGATTGTTGGGTCACGGGCTGCCAGGATTCTGATATAGCGCTTCTGAGCAGCAGTCACAACAGTTGGGCGATGACTGTGGGATCGGTCAGTTAAATTATCCATGCCGTGGTACTCTGCAACGTGGCCACGACACAAGATTGGAATACAGCAACTCTACGTGCTATTTCTCTCGTGGAATATCCTTCTTCTCTTAAAGCTATAATTCTTGCTCGTAAAACTTCTGATAATCCTTTTGGCATTTTTTCAAACACATTTTCCTCTAAAAATATTGTTTATCTGCTATTTCATATTATAGACTTATTGTATATTACATTAAAGACTTACGAAGATTGACTAAGTCAGATTTCTGAATAAACGTGAGCTTAGATTGAATTTATTATTATATGGATATACAACTTAATTTGTTTTATTTTTTTATATTCTATATCTGTATTTTAAATAAAGAATCTAAAATGCAGAATAAGTTATAATATAGTCTACCGTAACAAAAAACGATTTTTTTAAGCTGATCGCAATCTTTTTGATGTGAATAACCCTTGTGTATGTACAAAGACAGACATCACAATAACTTGACTTTAATAGATCCAATTTATGAGTTTGTATTTTCTTTATTATAGCACAAATATTACTGAATATTCAGGAAAAATTATATATTATTCCTATATATAAGTATTATAGTAAAATTATGGAAGAGTTAATTGTATTCCTCTTGTAGTGGCGGTCTTAGAGAATACACTAATCCATTTCATCCCGTGGGTGTCGTAATAGATGACAGAGGGAATCTGAAAGTGAAGGTCTACAGAATTCAAAATAACGAAAAACTGCGATTGTCAACATGCCCACCAAATATGGCAAAATCACCCTTGTGAGACACGACCTATGGGAATATATGCCATTAAAAAGAGGACTTTTATAGACTGTTATGGAATGAAAATGGACGATTTGATTCGCTAGTTAAACCGACTCGCATACCGTGACGGCAAGCGATATGACACTCTTATGCCGTCATGTCTCCTCTTTGCCGCCGCTCTCAATTTATATATTATTATAATTAGAATATTATTAGAATTAGAATATTATTATAATTAGAATAATAAGGAAATATGATGTTTTATTAACGATACTCCATGTTTCTTTATTGGTATTGCCTTTGTTATAAATTCTACAATCTTCTATAATTTATTAACATGCCAGACGGCCAACTTTTTTATTATTATATTAGTAGTTATTGTAATGAGTTATTTTGTTAAATTTATATCTTGAATTTATAGAGAATAAAAAAGACTACCTACATACCAAAAAATAATCCGACGTTGCAGCTATGGATGCGCCTAGACAATAATGCTGATTGGGGTTCATTTCTGAAATTATTATAAATTTCATCATTAAATATATCGCAAATTTACTGACATTGTAATTAACTACGGAAATATTTTAATATGGAGAAACAAATCAGGAGATGAGCAGCAGGGTCTTCCTTATAACGATTAAAAATAAAAAATGCGGTTGCCAACCCACTTGCCAAGCGTGACAACTATACAAAATATCCCCACTATGAGGCAATATATGGGGGAGGCCTATGTTCAGCAATGAACTTAAATAGGATATAAAGGTTACGGATATTAAAATTTACCAGGTGTTCGGTTAACCTGCTCAATCACCACCTGTTGCATCGCCTCTTTACATATACATTTCTTAACAACGAGCCGTGGTAGCTCAGATGGTAAACGCTCGCAGTAAATTTCACAGTACGCGAGCAAACCTGGTTTTGACCCCGCCGACACCAATGAATTTGTTAATAGCAATTTTAAGCGTTGATTTACCACGTGCTTGACGGTGAAGGAAAACATCGTGAGGAAACACGCACGCACGGATGCACGTCTGATAAAAAGGAAAAAAAATCGAAGACATGTGAAGTTTGCCAAAACGCATTGGGGCAGCGTGGTGGACACTTCCTTGCCCTAATACCCTCACAGAAAGGAGGGGAGGCCTGTGCACAGCAGTAGGACGTATATAGGCTGTAACTTTAACTTTTAACATTCCTTAACAATAAAAACCTAACCATCCTCTCCCTCCAAGTTCCTCAACGCACTGTATTGAAATATTATGTGCAGGCATTACTTGCATCTTTCATATTTTTAAATTACGTTCTTAAATAGTATATAAATACAAACACAAAATATCAAACTTAGATGAACTTAAACTATAACCAATGTATGAGCAACTCCACTTTTTCGCCTAATCTGGGTAGATTACCCAGTAAACTATTTTTGGTTTAAAGGTAAGAGATCCAGTAAAATTACAAAAGTGAATAATAGGCCGATAAAAGGAATAATTTAGGTATTAGATGGCTAAAAATTAAATGCAACCGTTTGCGATTGATTAAGCTTAGATGTATTCAATTTATTTATAGCTAAAAATAAGGCGATTGATTTCAGCTGTTTCAACAGCACTAGCCTTAGAAAAGATTCAGTAACAATTTAAAAAAATTGGATTTCAGGTAATCCTTCCAGCCTTTAGGCAGCAGCAATTAAGCGGTTATCCTAAGTCCAGGTAAACTTAGATTTGTTGTTTCATCTGATATAATCTGTACCATAAACAAAATACATACAACGCAATTGGGCGCTCTTAGTTTTAGTCGGCTAATCCTAGGTTATATTACGTATATTTTTGTAAAAATGTCGTATAATTAGTTTAACCCTACAATATAAGTTCGTTCTGTCATAATACGTCATAGTTGTCAGGGTTAACGCTGGTAAATAACGCCTTAAGGCAGTTAGCCATATGTACTATTTTATTTTTTGTGCATAATTTTTTTATAGAATAAGGGTGACAAACGAGCACACGTAAGTGAGTGCTGTGGCCCTTAGACATTTACATTTATCATCGATTAATTATCTAAACGCAGATGCATTGTCACCCCTGAAGATTAAAATTGAATGCCTCGTTTCCATTAAAAAAAGGTCTCCGGATTTCAACTCACCATACGGAACACCCAGTATTAAGCTGCTATTTTACGCTGGTATGGTGGTCCTCCCCGGTCGAGCCGACCCATTCGTGCTACAACCATTATGCAAGGTGGCTCCACTACGTATAAAATACATAAACAAATAAAATATGTAGTCTTTTATATTTTGGTTGCAGGTTTCAATGGGTTTTCATAGCTATTTACTATCAAATGGACGAGTGGAGGTCGTTGCTTACTCTAATATTATAAAAAACAGAATTCCATTATGAAAAAGTACCTCTTGTAAACTCATTGGCTAGCTTTTCTACGTCAATTTCAGCTTGTGGACAAACACTGTTGTTCTTTATAATATCTTCAATGGAACACGTATACACTCTACCATTGAGGTCACTGTGTGGTGCACCAATTACTGAAATACAATAAATGTAGATATTTTATTTGAATTACTGCTTTATTATTAAACTGAAATATTTTATCAGGTCAGGTGCGCTGATCCACAGAACATAATTGAAATACAAAAAAGCTCAACGCAAAACGAACTTACAGTATCTTGAAGCCTTGCCGTGGTATGTTTGGGTTTGGGTTTAATTCTATTATATTTTATATATTTTAGTCTTATAGTTGTAGATATTATATAAAGTCGTGGGTTTGAATCCGCTACTACTGCCGTAAACCAGGAATCATTTTAATCATACTTGTAAAATATTATCATTAATATCGTTTCAAATACTCTTTAGTAGAAAAACTTTAGTAATTTTACTTACCAAGCTTACGAGATCGTTGGTACCCCATTGAAAACCCAAACGCCATTTGATCAATTTCGTCAGATGGTTTTATTTCTATAAAAGATGGTTCGTGAAAGAACATTCCAATGGAAATATCAATTGCTACCACTAATATAAATATCACAGTTGCCATTGCTGGCGTTAAAATTTAAAACAATTTTCATGAAAATAAAACATTTGCTTTTTTGTTACGTTGACATGAATGTGACTGTATAAACACCAACCGGGAAAAACTCAAGGATATGGTCAGATGTTCGAATATTTATTATTGACTTGGATACAAATTGTTGTGGTTTCGTGTGTTTTTCCTTCCACACGGTTACTAAAATAAATAATGCGTAATGGCGTTATTATGAGAGCGTTTTCATACAAACAAATTTGTCAAAGAGTATTTTTGTATTATATATATAAATACAAAAATATTCTTGAATTTTAATATATTTATTCACATTATACAATATCCATATAAAAAAATTAAAGTATCTCTTTGTAATATTGAAATAACTGGCTTCTTTTAAAGTCAGGGGGTTATATGTATGTTACTAAATAATCATTTTTAAAGTTTTTATTTGTTTTTCTATTTAATTTATTTGTTTGTCTATTTAATATTAAGCGATTGTAATTTTACTTTACGAGCGGATAGAGAGCAATGCATAATCTTTTTAATTGATCGTACCCAGCTAAAGCAGAAGCGGGTCGCTAGTTTAGATTGCAACTACAGCGAGCTATGGGGTCGAAATCGTACGGATTTCTCTGGGTGATAGAATTCGTAATGAGGATATTCGTAGCAGAACCAGATTTACACGAATAGAGTAAGGTCGGTCACATGTATAAGAAATTCCGTATTGAAAAATCGATTCGGGATTCCGAACGCAGCAGGTCCGTATAAAATCAAGGACTCGTCACACACGGACCGTAGTTTTGCGTTCAATATTTTCTCCGATTCGAAATTCCGCATATTGCATCCCGTGGCTGTTTGAAATTCCGCACGGTCAAAATCCTTTCCGACCGCAAGTCTTCCATAGATTTTGTATAAGCCGCAACACACATTCGTACATTCCGTACGGAACGCGCTCAGTATTCGTCGCGCGACCGAAGCGAGTACGTGCGTTTATGTATGTTTTTACATGTAATCTTATATATGTGTCATCTCTTTTCGAAATTTTTCATCTCATATTGTTTAATAATTTGTCGAAAGAGTTTACATACATCCATATTTAAAGAAAAATCTCTGGATGTCTTTTTACATAATATTGACTAACAATGTTACAGCAACAATGGAATCGTAATCAGAAAATCTTCGTTATCGTTCGTCAGCAGAATGTCTAGACTCAATAGCTAGCATCTCTCAACTGAACCTTGATATTCTAATGGGAAATAAACGTGACAGTTAAGGTAAATCCTCCACAACGTGAGAGACTTGGGAGGGTTTTGTCTTTTACGTACTAATGAAGAAGAAGATTAAAATAACTTATTCTATACCTAAAACCGTATCTTAAATATTTTTCTTCTTTGAGTCTTTGGAGGAAGGAAAACAAATTTTAACAATCAATTTGAATTCAGTCCGATTAGTAATAAAATTATTTACATGGTATGTGAACTGACGACTGGTATCGATACGGGTATTATTATTAATTTATTAATTAAGCGCATTATGAATAGTAAGTTAGAAAACATCTTCATTTTCTATTAATATTTTTTTATATTTTAATTTTAGTGTAATTGCAATGTTTGTTTCAGTTGTAAAGTGGATCTCTTTGATAATGCAAACTATATGCGTACTAAACGGCTTTGATTATTATCATGAACAATCAATGCAATCCATACTTATGTCTAAGTTCGCAATGTTACCGAATGGATCATATTTCGGCTACAGCATTACTTATCAATCACAAAGTCAAAGGTAAATTAGAATAACTTAATCCATTTTTTATAGAAGGGGAAAATGAGCATGCAGCTCACCTGATGGTGGTGTCTACCGCCGCCCATTAACATTAACCATTAACAACTGCAACACCAGGGGAATTGCAGAAGCGTTTCCGGCCTTTTAGGGAGCAGTAAGCTCTTTTCTTGAAGGTGCCTAAATCGCATCATTTTAAACTGAAAGATGTTTAAGTTTCCCAATATTTTAATGTCTACAAGATCTAGTTTTCCTTCACAATACATCATCATTACTATCATCTAAATCGGACTATTAACAACTTTTTCCAATCCTCTTAAATGCATAAGTCCTTTTTAAATATGCGCTACTTTTTCTAGGTCCGGCCAGATAACAAATAATAATATTACGTACTGCAGCTGCACTTCTTTGATGTTAACTACTTGCTGTCATTTTAATAGCCTGCATAATTATTATTAATTAGATAGATCACGCACGCAAGCTAACTTAAACTTTATCGCTGCACGCGAGTGTCCGTTGTTGCATGTTTTCTCCTTTTCCCCTTCCTACGTAACGAACGTTTCCCCCTCATAAATAAAAAATATCATAAAATACTAAATGTATTATATATCCCCTTTACTATAATAATTATAATATATTTGTGACCAAGATTAATAAAAATATGTTTTGATCTTTCTAAATGATCTTTCTAAAGGTTTAATAGTAGGCCGTTTGTAATATTTTTGGCGTGATCGTCTTAGTTAGGACACTTATTTACGTTGTGTTTGTTTAGTAACCTTAGTTCTTTTAGGTGTCTTTTGGAAGAATGAATATTCACTAGAGCAATTGAAAGCTGTTGGTAGTGCCTTATAAGCTAAGTGAACCCCGTTCACGAAGACAGGGCTCGAGAAAGGTTAAGAACATAAAACATCCCTATTCCACTTGTATCAGGTTTACATTATTAATTTATTATTATTTATCCCTTCCCGCTCGGAAAAGGCTCAAAATATATTTATACAAAATACCCGATACAAGGGCTTCGCTCTCCTACATTTATTTAAAAAAATGTAGGGGAGGCACACGGCTCCCACACACGCCGTGCACGGTGAGCGCCAACCATTTTGATGCACTCCCCCCGCAGGGAACGCTAATTCGGGAAATGGACCGTAGTCTACAGCAAAATAACTGGCGAACCAGTAAAAGAGGCTTGGTCCCTTGTTAGTGCCTAAGCACTAACATCGACCGAAGTCGCGCATGTCAATGCGTGTAAACGCCAAACAGAATACGAACGAATCCAGCCACAGTGAATGTACGTCACACGGTTTAGGCACCACCTGCCAGACCGCCGCTCCTGCAGACGTGATGTATGTGTATGGCATCACCACCAATTGCATGATCAGCACGGCTACTAGCCGCAGAGCGTGTCATGAGTCTACCGCTCACCTCAAGGGAATGGGGTCCCACGTTGTGCGGCTTTCGGCCGCAGCCTTGAGAGTCTCCTCAGATCCTCCCGCCAGCTACCACCCGCATGAGGTTGACATACCAACCAATACAACGGCAGATATAGCCAAAAGGCAGTTATAAGATAAGAGTAATAATTCGCCATCAGAAAGGGTTTGTGTCACTGACGTCGAGTAAATGCATTTTCGATCAACAAGTTGCCTTCAATCATTCAAAGGTGGGAAAGTTACAGATATATAATATTAAGTTGTTATATAAAACATCGTGTAGGGCAGACAGTCCGCAGCCCCGTAATGAAGGGGCCCGACTTGGGCAAAGCTACTCAGGCGTGAGTCAAACCAAGACGCAGAGAGCGCCATTGAGAATAGCGTCCCACCAAACAACCATCGCAGAGACGCAATGCTGCAGAACGCAACAAGCATCAATACGACTATCGTCGGGCTTACACCATCCCAAGGTCCCCAATACATCCCAGCAGACATCACAACCCGCATACCTCCATCGACCAGAACCACAAGAGTGCGTCGAATCAGGCGCAGCACACCCGCAGATCCATTACAAGACGCAATACCGTAAGTAGCAGTAAGCATCAATGCAACTATCATACGGATGGCGCCTCCTCACAACACACCCACATGATCCCTATCGACTTTGTAGTTGTAACAAAGTTTGTATTGTTGTTAACTAAAAAATATCACAAACGTATCATAGTAGCACCCTACTAAGACGCCAATGATCAAACCCCACGTATCATAGCGCTAATGCACTAAGATATGAAGTTGAGTATGCCTGTTACACTTAAAATTGCTACCAAACACACTCATCAATCCAATCCGAAATATAGACGACGCATCGCTATGCGCTACTACGCCGCCCACCGTATGGGTGTGCGATGTCCACGGGAAAGCCGTATTGCTACAACAAACCCGCTTACCACCGGCACTAAGATGTTATTTGTTTAGCTCCATCGACCAGAACCACAAGAATGCGTCGAATCAGGCGCAGCACACCCGCAGATCCATCACAAGACGCAATACCGCAAGTAGCAGTAAGCATCAATGCAACTATCATACGGATGGTGCCCCCCTCACAACACACCCACCCCTATCGATTTTTGTAACAAAGTTTTTATTGTTGTTATATAAAAAATATCACCAACGTATCACAATAGCACGCTACTAAGACGCCAATGAACAAAACTCCACGTATCATAGCGCTAACGCACTAAGACATGAAGTTGAGTATGCCTGTTACACTTAAAAGTGCTACCAAACACACTCATTATCCCAATTCGAAAGATAGACTACGCATCGCTATGTGCTACGACGTCGCCCACAAACGGTATGGGTGTGCGATGTCCACGGGAAAGCCGTATTGCTACAACAAACCCGCTTACCACCAGCACTAAGATGATATGTCTAGTACACATCGGTTAGCGAGTCCAAGTTTACCTCGGACCAATTGCTCGTGAAGCAGCATACACACCACCATAATATTCCTTTTCAAGTCCCTAATAAGGACTAGTCATTTTGATACAGTACTAGGAGCAGTCGGTCACCCGACCACTCCATACAATGCTTATGCATCAAGGAGACCTCCTATAATATTGCTTTTGTATCATAGACCTTACTTTCGTAAGTCATGCATATATAGGATTCGAACCCACGACCCTACTATTGTAATGCATATTAATCTTAGAGACCTTCTATAGTATTGCTTTTGTATCATAGACCTTACTTTCATAAGTCATTAATATATAGGGTTCGAACCCACGACCCTACTATTGTAATGCATATTAATCATAGAGACCTTCTATAGTATTGCTTTTGTATCATAGACCTTACTTTCATAAGTCATTAATATATAGGGTTCGAACCCACGACCCTACTATTGTAATGCATATTAATCATAGAGACCTTCTATAGTATTGCTTTTGTATCATAGACCTTACTTTCATAAGTCATTAATATATAGGGTTCGAACCCACGACCCTACTATTGTAATGCAAATTCATCATGGAGACCTTCTATAGTAATGCTTTTGCATCATTGAATTTAATATCATAAGTACCTAATATTGGACTAGTCATTGTGCTACAGTAATTCAGGCAGTCGGGCTCCCGACCACCCCATATATATGTACAACTGCAGGTATGTATCTCCGGCAGCTCCTCTATACAAGACATCTATACATGAACACCTTCCATAACTTAGGAAACTTTTTTTTTATACGTGAACTTCTTCCACAACTTAGACAATTTTCAACAAATTTTCTAATTATCTTATAAATGTTATTTATCTTAATTTTTATAATATTTTCGACTTGTATTTCTATTAATTATCTTATTTTAAATATTTTTTCAAGTTTTTAATAAATTTATTTATTATGGAAGACAATATTTTGCCTTTAATTTACTATGTTATTGGTCTAATGTCTGAAATGTATTTATATTAACTTTATGGTTATTAATGTAATTTTATTGTTTAATATATATCTTTTAAGACTATTTTTGACGCCCCTTTATATTGAATTTAATTATTAATAATAATATTGGGCCGTCACACTACGTAACGAACGTATTCATAATGTATTTCTAAATTCAAATACAGTACATGACTAAATTCAAAAACCTTTTAATAATTTATTTAAAATATATCGGCTTTACTTTAATAAATATCTTATATTTTTTATCGTCTTTACTTTTTTATATTAATATATTACTTCACGTTATTAAATTTTAGAGTGGAAAAAACTCTAAATTTGACGTATAATGAGGAAAATATTAATTCTATACTGGAAGGGAAAACATGGACACGGAAAGATAAAATTAATATTCTTTAACAATATTAACTTTATCGGATACGTTAGGAACTAATATAAGTGAAAATAAGTCCAAAAGAGGCAATGATAAAATCTGTAAAATTAGTTTTATTAAATAAAAAATTTAAATATCCAAATACCTTCAATTTATGTTAATCTGCAATTTTATAGCTATCGCAATTAACTCCTAGCAAAACTCTTGCTGTCTTACTACAAAAAAGTTAGACATATGTTCAACTCGTGTTTAGCAAATTGGTTACTACAAAAGAGTGTTTAACGATGGTTTATGGATGGACACGGCTGAGTCGTTGTTTAAATTTAAACAGCCGCAAACCCTTGTTTAACTAGTGTCTAACCTATCTTTCCGTCAGTTCAATATTTTTATTTAACATGGATATAATTGATTTTGTTTGATTACTTCGATGAAGACGACATGGATAACTATCTGGAAATATTCCGATAAAGTAATACCACAGTATAATATGGACTGTGGTAATACGGTTCGTTTGAGGGTTAATCCGTTTGGAAAATACGACGACTCCAAGTTTAAGAAAAAAATGTGGGTTCAGCAAACTTTTTGGTAGAAAAATATTAGATCTTGTGAAAGACGATATCCCGAGGGATTCTCGTGGTAACACAATAGATCCAGCAGTGCAAGTGGCTTGTGCGTTACGGTACTGGGCTCGTCATCAAGTAAGTTCGATTCATACAAAATTAAACTATGCTTACACGTGTAGCGCCGGTAGAGAAGAATAGCTTCACCCGTCAGCCTGTATGTTGCCTAATATTTGCAATTTTATTTGTTTTTGTTCATAAATAAAATAACTCATGAAAATTTAACAAGATATATATATATATATATATATATATATATATATATATATATATATATATATATATATATATCTTTTTTATTATCGAACTTTGAGACAAAACAAAATTTAATTTTTACGTAGTTAGTCGTATTAATTTGCGTAAAACAAAACGAATGATCGAATGCTGAATTAATGTATTGCAGTGTGACCTGGAGAATAAAGTTAAACGTTGTCTACAGAGGCACGCGTTAAACACGGTTTAGTGGTAGCGAAATTTAAACCATTGTTTAAAATGTGTTTATCATTTAAGTCCGTGTCTAACTAAACACATGTTGGACCAGTGTTTAAATGCTTTTTTGTAGTAAGATTGTTGATCTTTAGTTCAGATTTAGTGACGTTCAGATTTAGATGTTATACTCTTGATCTACTTCTAAGATCTAACACATTCACTTCTAAGCAAGCATTTGAATTCGTCCAACGGTGATTCTTTGTAAATTAATATTTTGATTCGAGTCGAACTGCAGCTTATCGGTACGCTTACGATTTTTTATACATTCGTTCTATCTAATTTGATAATATATGTAAATTTACTTTATAAGTGAATTTTATTTTAAATTCAAAAACGAATTAAAAGGTATTTAAAGTTTTTGAGATATTTAGGAGGCAGTTCTAGATGCAGATCTTGCATTGAGCTATAATAATGATGGTGATGACGATGATGAAGAAGAAGATAAAGATTGTGACGTAAAATTTAAAAAATCAGGAACAAGAATAAATATATAATAATATAAAACTTTTTAAATACTTTTTTTAATTTTTTTTATGATGTTAAATTTAAATTATTTTTTACAGCTTGGTGATTAGTGCTCCCATGGCAGACAAAATAGGCCAAGTTTTCAATTATGATATAAAAAGCAGCAATTTGACAAAAATTGACTTCGAAATCAGAAGAGGTAAAGCAATGGTTGTGATGGCCACTTAATAATACATAACCCAATTTCTCTTTTGAACCTTATTAAAAGCAGCTATGGAAAATGTTAGGAATATCTAATGGTCTCCGAATGGGCTATGATCACGTTGGCAGCATCAGCGATCGCCAGATCCTCCTTTCAAGTTTATGGAAATTACTTCCGCCTATCGGATGGGTCCATTTTCAGCTGTGAACTAATAAGGATCAGTCCGTGCCAATGCAAAACGGAACTGTAACTGTACTGTTTAGTAAGAAAAAGCGTTAGTAGTATTAGTAAAACATAAACATACTATCCTCATAAATGTCTTAAAGTTTGTAGGTAGTAGAGCTCATGTACTGCATTGGATTCCATCTTGCTGAGTAGCATCCTGCTATCGATTTCTGTTAACAAGTAGCAGTGCACACACTGCTGGGTTCTGGTCTGAAATTTATCAGTGCAAGCAATTTATCTTAGTCCTCAAATGGTAGCCTTGTTATTTGAAGTTAGCTGCAGGTGTCCATTAACTGCAGTAGCCACTCAGGACTATAACTTTGTTTGTCACTTCAGGTTTAAAAAATACTAGTACTGTGCAAATTGTATACGACTGGAAACCTACAAATTACAATTATCGCTTGTTAGATTAATTTTTAATCGCGGTATCAGCCATGCGATTAAATAGCTCTCGTGGGAATTGCTTGCCGATGTTAAAATCACGAGCATGCTCTCGGAAATATGTAATGTCAACACTGCAATTTAATCTCTTTATATAACAATACACGAAACGATTCAAATAAACACACACCACTTTTATGTTATCCCCCACTATGTAAGGTAAGTCATTAATATGTACAAGAAACAGAAAGAGGCCGAGAATTGAGCCCTGAGGCACGCCCATTTCTACAATTGACCCGGAAGAACTCATAGGCAATTTTTATTGTCACGAACCTCAAGCTCGTAACATTATAATCATAATACATACACTGAATTTTTAGTTAAACATTTTTATAAACTGATTATTTATCAAGTTAGTTATACAAATTTCGAAGAATGTTGTGGTCATAGTACAAATCCACGAACGCAAAGACTTTAACGTGCTTGAAATAAAGTTCATTTTTCTTTATTTTATTGAATGACAGAATTAGTAATAATACAAATAAAACTGCACTCTTAAAAGTTTTAATGCCTTAAGTTACGGTCCATTTCAGTTTGTTTTGACTGTACAGATTTAGTGTGACTGTAAATTACGTAGTTTTATTTATTTTTTGGATAAAAAAATTACCTATATTAAAATGATAGGATTCAGTAAACGATTCTGAACAAACTACTTTCTCAAAGTGCGTTAATTATGTTACATGTTGTATATATAAATATATATATATATATATATATATATATATATATATATATATATATATATATATATATACGGTACCTTCTCCGTATCATCGTTAGTAGGAATTGATGTTATTTTGGAGGATTTGTGGTCTATCAAATATGATGTAACGGCAGGGGCCATCTAGGATACGATCACAAACTGCAGAATTCACAACAAACTAAACGATAAATCCGTAAAAGTAGTTTTATTCAATAACCATTGTTCTTTAGCTTTAGTGATTGTTGGAGAAAATGTTCGTGCTTTATACAAATTCTGTGCAAACAAGGAATAAAACAGAAGGATAATGGCAGTTGATCAATTTATTCCAAAACTTCTCTTGCTATATAATGTGAGTTTCTTGAATGAAAATATTTATATTCTTATATTGCAGAAGTTGAAAATGTAACAAACTACTGGCTTGGAGCAACGGTGAAAGCAGGACCTTCCTTCTTTACGGTAATTTTTTAGTTTCCTTGTGATGAATCTTTGTGATTAATGCTAAGAATCATACAACACTCAGAAGAATTTAAAACATTTCATTCACATCATTCACATCATTTTCAATACACCGACGAAAATAATTTCTCAATTGACAAATTTCTTAGATATATTTTTAGATATCATTTAAAATATATGTATGTCAATTTTTTGAATCCACTGCTGGATATTTGACTTTTCAAGCATGGATCGTGTCGCAAATTTTTTTTATTCATTTATTATCTTCAAGGAAAACATACATAATTTTAGTCTAATACATAACACATATTAATCTTACATTTAACAATAAAGTTTCCACAGTGAAGTAACTCATCGACCACAAGCGAACATCATGACATACTTAGGTGTGCAAAAACTAAAGTCAAATTGTAATACTAAAGTGAAAATAAGTAGTCAAATGATGCATGTCTTGTAAAATTCGTCTATTCAACTACACTGGGCAGGTGATTGTAATTAAAATGACTTAAATTTACATGAAATTGATGGTCTTCAAACGGCTAAAACGATTTTCTTGAATCATAGCTAAAAACGCTCTCGATCAAGTTACCTTTCAAAAAAAGCTATATCTAAAGGTGCCCATAAATGGGACAATTATAGTAACGATTCGTAGCTCGATGTTAAAATCGAACGATAAATTGTACATGTGTGGCAATATCGCATCCGATTTTGTGGTCGAACGATCGATTGGAGATCTCAACAGGCAACCCCGAATTTATCGATTGCGATCTGAACATCGTTCGATATATCGCACGTATATGGCGTGATCGGATGCGATCATCGTCAGTCTCACAGTAATCTATAGTCAGTCTGCCTCTACCTTTCGCGCAAGTAGCACGTACGGTACCTCTAAATTTTATGCGATGTTGTGGAACAAGGATTTCCTGTTGGAATTTATAGTTACTCCGAGAACACGAGGTTTTATGGAAAATAAAAGACAAGGACTACCTCGAACTGGATGTTATGAGGTATTACTTAGAAAAATGAAGGAAGTAGATCCCAGTGCAGACATAAGTAAAGGGCAAAAGAAAATTAACAAACTCCGTACTGTTTTCTGTAAGGAACTTAAAAAAGTGGAGTCTTCTCGTGCATCGGGAAGTAGTACTGACAAAATGTATGTATCAAAGTTGTGGTACTATGAGAAATTAATGTTTTTAAAAGATCAAGAGCAGCCATATGGAGCGACAAGTAGTTCAATGGATACAGTAAGTAAAAAAATATTTATTATTTTTATATATTTATTATTTCTTATTATGTTTTATACATTTATAAAATTATTTATTTATTATTTCTAAAATTATTAATAAAGTCCTATGAAATTGTTCTGCCAAGGTATAGATCCGGCATTATTAAAATAGTCTACAAATAATTCTCTTACTTGATTACCAGTATTGTTACTAAGTAAAGGTCGCCTTCGGGGTCCTAGTAAATCACACCGGAGGCCTTCTTCAAATTCATTATATTCAAAGTTTTCTCTATCAAATACAGTTAACGGTGTATAGGTGTTAGGACTATTACGGCGTAAGTAATTATGCAGAGCACAGCAAGCCATTACGATTTTTTTATGTTGTCTAAATCCATGTTAATTTCTGTTTTTAATATACCAAACCTGGCAACTAAAATGCCGAATACATTTTCTATTATTCTTCTTAAAAATTCTTTGAATGTTCAGTTGTTTTTTATTAAAAGGTTTCATAAAATTATTCCTTAACATAAAGGCCTATGAAAACATAAGACAAAGTCGTACCATTTACTGTAGTAGGATTTGGTAATTTTAAGTAATTATTTATGAGGTTTTTGTAGAAGTCCGTTTCATTTATAACACCACCATCCGAGACTCTGCCGTTTGTACCAAAATGAAAATAAATAAACTCATAATTGGCGTTAGCAATGGCCATTACGACTTGACTATGAAAATGTTTATAGTTATAAAAATAAGACGCAGCTTCTGGAGGAGGTCTTGTCCTTATATGTTTCACGTCTACAGCGTTAGGAAAATCCCATCTATTTTCAAAGTTTTTCCCAATTTCGATCCATTCGTTCTCGCTTGTTGGAAACTGCAACAAATAAATAATTTTTTTTATTAATTGTTTCAGCAATCTGATGACGACAGTATTGAAACCACCAGAGATGGAGTCGCTTCACCAAGATTAGATATCGCATCAGTTGAAAGGTTCAGCGGGCCTCAACAAGATCGAAGTTTTAAACGCCGGAAAAACCTGTTTGTTTCCCAAAATGTTGATCGAACGATTGAAATTATAGGCAATAAAATATGTGAAATAGCAGCGGATGACAAGTTTGATGCCTTCGGTAAAAACGTGGCACAAAGTTTCGATCTTTGCCTACAAATCAACGCTCATTTGCGGAAAAAAATATAAATGATGCTCTGTTTGAAGCCGAATTGGGTAATTTAAATAGACAGTGTTTATTACACCTTCCCCCTCAATCCTTTCCTATTGGATTACAACCACTCTCTTGACAAGTACTCAATTTTCAAGCACGTGACCCACTCATACTACTACTACTACTACACAAAGATTAGTTCATACAACTCAACCATCCACACAACAGGAACTCAACTTTCATACACGCGAGCCACTGATATTACAGCAACCCACACAAACAATAGTTCATACAACTCAACCATCCACACAACAGGAACTCAACTTTCATACACGCGAGCCCGAAAAAGAATCTCCAGTCCATGTTCACATACCAGATGACGCGCAAACATTTTCTCTGATATATTATTATGTAAGATGTAAAACAATAATTTGCCGATAGTATAATGTTTTAAATATATTTATATTTCATTATACCTAATTATCATCACAAACAGCGCATAATAATCAACTGCTATGGTAAATTTATACTTGCCTTACAGTCCTTTAATGCATTAAAAATGGCTTCGCACGTTTCTGGAATGATCTTTCCCAAAGACTGTGGTGAAATCAACGTTGTAAATTTTAAATCTTCGTAAGTCCTTCCAGTAGCCAGGAAACGCAGTGTTGCAGTTAGATGTTTGTGAGGAGTAATAACAGGTTGCCTCATATTGGTATCATTTTTTATTATTCTGGAAGATACCTTAAGCAAAAGCTCTAAGTACTCGTATGTTTCCCCTGACATCCTAATCTTTAGGATGAAAACGTAATTCCTCAAGAAGATTGATGTGAGAATATTGATCTCTTTTCAGAAGCCATATCTTAGTCCTAAATAAAAGGTAAGTAAAACTTAGTAGTAAATAAAAGGAAGACTAGGGGAGAACCTAGTCTTCCTTTTATTTACTAGTATTTTTTTACATAAAATGAGCGCCAATGCGCTTAAACAAAGTAGTTGCGACTTCATCGCTCACCCACGTACGTGCTACACGTTTTCACTCCGCATAGAGACTGAGAATCGTACGATCACATCGTTCGTGTGTGACGGACGAAAATCGAAAGATAAATTAGTACGATTTTCTTGACGATCGATCGAAATGACAAATTGTCCCGTGTACGGACTCCTTTAATCGATTCATCCGTTTGGGAGCTACGATCACACAAACAGATACACAGATACATATGTAAAACAACCCTCTGTTTGCGTCTGGGGTTTTTTGAATCGACATTTGTCACATTCACAAAAATAGCATAAATAAAAAGTACAATTACAAAATCTTGTACCAAAGAGCATAGAAGTAAACATATAAAGAACCTGTTATCTGTAATGGGTGTTTTTTATTAATAAGATTAGCAAACAAGCAGAGTACACCTGATAGTCCACATGGATGCAGTGGCCCATAGATTATAGATATCTACCCTCGATTAAAATTCAAAATTTAGAGTGCATTGTCACCCAGAGGTCTAAGATAGAATTACACGTTCCCAGTAAAAAGAGTAGCCGTTTTTTACATTCACCAGACGAAACACAGCAACAGTTGCTTCCTCGTCCTTCCTCGGCCGAGCCAAACAGTTCGTGCTACAATCATAATATAGCTGCAGCGTGGCTATATCACAAATAAAAATTGTTTTTTTCCTTTGTAAAATATGAAATTCGAGTTAGATTAACATTATTACATCATTTAAAGTAACAAACGTGAACACAGTTTACGTGATTGTAATAAATATTGTAACTCTAAACACTTGCAATAATAATATACAATCGAAGACAACAGATGTGTGGTGACCCTTGAAGACTGAGATAAACGTCTTGTAGCTAGTTATTATAGTCTATTTTACCCTAAAAGGAACACAGCAGTATATGCATTGATCTTCATGCATATACTGCGCATGTGCATGCATAGAACACTGCTGCTGAGTGGCAGAAAAAGACAGTCAGAGTGATGTCACTGGTATTTATTTTCAGACTTGTGCTCCACGATACGTGGACGGGATAAAGGAAGGTACGTAAAAAAGTCAATATTTATATAGGTGATTCATTAATGCATTATATATAGGTGACGACCATATACAAATTCTCTTTTTTCGAGTTTGACAGCATAAGATTATCCATCCTCGGTGGTACTTCCCTCCTTCATCAACCCATAAAAGTTCAATTCTAGACATGGGTCTCTCCTCCTGTAGGGAATTTACCTTATGTAGGGGTTGTACCTGAATCGTTACACTTGGTATGCGGATAAGCGATCTATCGATAAGCTATCGACCGTACCGCTCGGTTACATCTCGTTGCGGATACACCTCTTTCTATACACCTATCGGAACATAGATAGACATACACCAAGGGTTATGACTTAAAAATCTTGTAGACGGAGGTATTATCGTTTAGTAAAGAGTGCTTTTTTATAAATATTATTTATAATCTTTATTGAATAAAAAAGTTTTTGTTTCTAGCAATTGTATTGTAACCGATGTAATAATCAAACTAAAGACGCACTGACCTCTTTTATACAAACAAATAGGCTAACTTCAAATAATATCTAACTTTTTAATATGATTTAGATGAACGAATTGGCACTTTTGGACAATGCTTTATAAAGTCAATTCCACAAGGAATACATAAAATGAAAGCGATGAAAGAAAGTAATCAACGTCTTAATAAGTTTGGTGAGTTATAGTTTTTACAAATCCTACACAAATCATTAAGTTCTTCATTCCATAACCATTCTATATTATACCCAGGCTCTTTAAAATAATTTTGTTACAAAAATTGTTTACCTAATAAAAATATTATACAGTTAATTCTAAGTTAAGTTAATTTCGTAATTACAGCCCATCAAAAGTCTTCTGCTGTATTTGCCACAGTTGCCACGCATTGCCAAGCGGTTTGGCAACCACAGCTTTTTTAATATTCTAAGTTAATGTTAGAAAGATGATGTTGCCCATATTTGTTTCATTTCTTACCATCGCTTTTTACGACACCCATTGGATGATTGGGGTAGTGGATTATCTTACGCCACCACTACACCGCAAAATTATTTCAACAGTTTTTTTTAAATAGGATAGGGTAACAAACGAGCACATAGTCCACCTGATGTTAAGTCGATTACGAATCAAAATGCAGATGCGTTGTCACCCGTGAGGACTAAGATGGAATGCCTCGTTTCCGGTAAAAAGTGTCTCCGGTTCTCTTCACTCACCATACAAAACACAGCAGCATTAAGCAGCTATTTTACGCTTGTATTCTGTGACAGCATGGTCCATCCCCATCGAGCTGATTCATTCGTGCTACAACTATACTACTACTATAACTGCAACATGGCTCTACCCCGTATAAGATATTATATATTACTTTTCTACTTACTCATATAGATCATCATAAGATCTCCTACATACTACTTTTCTTTCCTTTAATTAGTTGGCCAGTAATTTTCATGAAGCGGGATGTAAAAACCAAATTCAGATTATTGCAGCAGCGTTTTAAATTTACAAATATAGTTTATATGAATACTTATTTATATTTATACTTTTAATAATGATCTTATTTGACAGAACTCACAATGGATTCTTTTGGGTGGAGTATAGATGTGACAACACGTGGTGACATTCTGATTGGTGGCCCCGCTATGACGAAAGGTATTTTTATTTGTATGTCATGTTGATTATATATTATAGTAACATTAATTTGGTAATCAGATAGATCGCATCATAAACTACAATCATCGATTGACACGGCACACAATCCTTATAGTTTGAATTCGTTAATTAGTTTAATATTGGTTTCGCTAATAATTTGTGACGTTTATTCCAGTGTAAGTAAAAGATTTTTTTTCTTTTCTATAGAATAAGGGTGACAAACGAGCATACAGTCCACCTGATGGTAGGTGGATGCTTTGGCCCATAGGAATCTACATTTATCCTCGATTAAGAATCAAAACGCAGATGTGTTGTCACCCCTGAGAACTAAGATGGAATGCCTCGTTTGCAGTAAAACATCGTCTCTGGATCTCTACAGTCACCATACGAAACACAGCAGTGTTAAGCTGCTATTTTACGCTGGTATTCTGTAAGAGCATGGTCCTTCTCCGGTCGAGCCGACCCATTCGTGCTACAACCATAATATAGCTGCATTATGACTCTATCACATAAGAAAGATAAAGCAAATTTAAGCAGACTTCAACTAATAATTCATTATTAGTTGAAGTCTGCTAACATTTATATAGACCCCCTATATAAGTGCAAATGTATGTATGTATTTAATTTTGTAATATTCATTACTCTTATATCTCTCTTACACTTATGTATCAATATTTTATTTAAGATTTTTATTATATAGGTAGTTATCGAATACGTGTACTTACTATAGCTTTGTTATAGCCTAACACAGTTATAAATAATAATATTATATATGAATTTCGCTACTATACTTGTGCTACCATACCTTATAACTGACATTTTTTTCTATCTCAGGCCGTGTAATTCGGTATAAAAATGTATCTCAAGAGCCGCAACTGATAACGCCGCCACCGTTTGGATTTTTCCAAAATAATAATACAGATACGTTTAACTTTGGTATGCTTAAAATAATTTTTAATACTAATATTACGAATATTTGTTTTATTTTATTCTCAATTACTGAATTAATTTAATTTTGACCTCCAGGTTACAGCATTGCTAGCGGTAATTTCTTTTCCAACTCAGAAGATAATATAGCCTATGCTGTCAGCACCCCATACGGAAATATTGGCATTGGACAGGTAATTTTTAGCTTCATATAATATCTCCTGATAAAGTATATGGCATCATTCTGTGTGTGTCACAAAAGGGAGTATAGGAAACGTCAGAACGGCTCATGGCTCTTCTCACAACGTCTCCGGCATTAAGTACTTGTTGAAGCCATAGCGTAGCTCATAAAAGGCCAATTTTAAATGAAAATATTTTGACTTTGACTTTTTATTCTTTGCGCCTGACACAAAATACTCAGACCGGTGATGAGCAGGACTATTAAAATTGCAAGACGTTTGGTACTGTAATCAGCAATGTGAGGGAATCACCATTTTGCTATGCTTCGCAGGCAGCATAGCGAAATAGCAATTTCTCCCAACAAGAACGAAGGGTTTGTGTCCAACAGTAAGATGATTGTCGAGGATTATATGCTAAGAAGACCTTCAGAAATAGGCGATCACTTTAACGCCCGTTCGTCCATCTTCCCGTCTGTACGGTTGTCGTCTGCTAAGACCTTTTTCTCAGGAACGGGAAGGACAGAAGGGGAGAGAAGAAGAGGGAAGAGAAGAGGAAGAGAACGGAAATAATGCTAAATACTGACGTGGTTTATGAAAATTCTTGCTTCAAAGTCAACACATTCGAAAAATGCGCATATTTTGATATTTGTAAAGTAACACATGAGAACCTATAGTATTTTCTGTTCTGTTGACTCATAACCTTGAAATTTTGCAACAAGCAGGATCTTACTGCAAAAGTATCTAAAGGCGAAAATCCAAAAACCATTGTTTTGTAGTTAGATCAAAGTATATTTAAAATGTATTTTTCTAAAATATATTTTAACTATCATTCTGAGGATGAAGCAATTATCCATAAACATAATTTAGTTTATAAGGAATTTGAAGCCGAAACAATGAGTTATAAGAAAGCTGCACAGTCTTCAATGTACCTAATCTCTTTCGGTTTTGTCATACCAACGATCCAAATATAGACTGCCGCGTTGGTCGTAAAACAATGTTGGTACCTGACATTGAACATATTGTTGCATGAATAAGTCAACTAGCGCCATCTAGTGTCAGGAACGAGAGCGAGGGGAGCATTGAGAAAATGACATCACAAATCGCTCAACTGACAGCGCCTAGTAGAAACTCGAACGCTCGGTACCTTCCGCGTGTTTACTTGAACATTCTGGATATTTCTTTGCTAATTCAAATATATAGGCGCTGCAAGATGCGATCGAGGCAGTGTTGATTTGGGCGAAACAAGCGAAGCTTCGGAGCGAAATTAAGTGAATTAGTGTGTTTAATTATTAGTGTTTTAAGTTTTAATTTGTTTAAAGTAAATTAAAGTGTTAATTTAGGTAATTTTATCGGCAATTTTTATTGTCACGAACCTCAAGCTCGTAACAATTGGTGTCAGAAGTGGGATAAAATCATGCCGATTTTACCTAAGGAGGAAACGGAGGGTGTCCGTACCCGAAGTCAACGCCAGCAGGAGACGGACCAACGAAGATTTGGTGGTGCAACGCCGCAGACTTCGGAGGGCCAGCCACCGGCTGCAGGCCCGTCGGTAGCTCCTACATCTGCAGCACCTGACTTAGGTGCTCTGATGGTGATGCTACAGGAGCTGAAGCGCGGACAGGAGGAACAGGCCAGTCAGTTGAAAGAGCAGCAGGAGGAACAGGCCCGCCGATTGGAAGAGCAGCTGCGGGGCGGACAGGAAGAACAGGCCCATCGGTTGGAAGAGCAGATGCTCCTCATGAAGGACCTTCACGCTACCTTCGGGAAGGAGATAAAGGAGGTGAAGGATAGGGTTGCTCAGCATGACAACCGCCTGTCGGAAGCTGAAACCCAAATCGCGAAAGCTGAAAACCGAATCGAGAAAGCTGAAACCCGAATCGACCAAGTAAACAATCGGGTTGACAACGTAATGGCTGACATGAAGAAATCACTGGACGAACTCAAACTTGGAGATGGAGCTACAGCTCCCGTAGTAGCTACAACACCTTCGCTACGTGGGTTCAAGGTGCCACCATTCGACGGGACTTCTTCCTGGTCAGCCTACAAAATCCAGTTCGAGGCTGTTATGAAGGCGAACGGCTGGAATAAAAGTCAGGCCATGACTGCTCTCACACTAGGCCTGCGCGACCAGGCCTTAACAGTTCTGTAAGCTCTCGGTGAGGAAGTGACTTATGAGCAACTCCTTGATGCATTGGAGGCGAGATATGGCGACGCTCACCTGGAACACGTCTTTCGTGCGCAGCTTAAAGATCGTGTGCAGCGCATCAACGAAAACCTGCAGCAGTGGGCTCTAGAAGTGGAGAAGCTGGTGCGAAAAGCATACCGGTCTGTACCTGCGCTCATTGAAGGGAACCTGGTGCAGACATTCATCGACGGCATCCGCGACCTGGAAGTCAGAGCTGCTGTGAGGCTCGGGCACCACGAGACGCTTAAGGACGCCTTGGCCCATGCACTGGAAGTGGAAGCCGTGCGGCAGGATCATCATTCCCCTCGCGTCAGGGAGGTTGCAGCAGCTACAGTTCGCGACCGCAACAAAGGATACAGCCCAAGGTGCTATGGCTGTGGGGAAAAGGGCCATCTTCGATCCAGCTGCCCTAAGCGAACCCTAGAAAGGGAAATTGAACGATCTCAGGAGGGTAGTGCGGCCAACAGCACCGCCCAGCAGCGGCAGGGAAACGAGTAAAAGCCAGAACTGCGGGGCGGGTGCTGGCTGTTGTTAAAAGAGCCCCAAGGATCTCGATCTCACAAACCCATGATGGGAACAGCCTAATCATATAGGGCGAGATCAACGGAATGCCGTGTAAGCTGACCATAGACACTGGAGCCTCTCGTACGGTTGTTAGTTCCCAACTTATAAGTCAGTTCCTTGGGGACTCCGCATACAACCGAGAACGCCTTAATTTGGTAACAGCCACCGGTCAGCGTATACCCGTCCGTGGAGAGAAGGAGATGGAGTTGAAGCTAGGCAACGTGATCTACCTGCATAATGTCATCGTGGCTGATATAATGGACGACTGCATCTTAGGCCTAGACTTTATGAGGAATAATTGTTGTGAGATCGACGTTAAGCAAGGTGTTTTGAAATGTGGACAGGAGGAACTTTTTATGGAAGGTGCGTTACCAGGGAACGTGTACAGCATCAAGAAGATTGTTCTTCCGCCGAGATCGGAAACGATTGTTCCGGTTAGTCTACCTCGAAACGCTGGGCAAGCTCACCGTTGTGTACTTGTGGAAAGGGTAAACAATGACCTTCCATGGAAAGTAGCTCGAACCTTGGTCAGGACCACTGACATCTCAGGAGTACGTGTGCTGAACCTTTGCGACCGGGAACAGATTATAGAAAAAGGCACACTGGTTGGTACTTGTGAGGAAGTGGATTGGTTACGTCAGTGCCAATATATATCGAGTGGGACCCCCAGCAAGGATTCAGAAACGAGAGTGACCACACTTTTGGAAGACTGTCGCAGTGTTCTGTCCCCGAACGAATTGGTCAAGGCGAAGAAGTTGTTACTCAAGTACGCCGATGTATTCTCATCAAATGATGCTGACATAGGAAAGACTGGCCTAGTTCAACACAAAATAAACACAGGAGAGGAATTGCCTATCCGTCAGCGGCCAAGAAGATTGCCGGTAGCACGTGAAAAGGAAGTGGAAACCATGATTGAAGGAATGGTGAAGGATGGTGTTATTGAACCTTCCTCTAGTCCATGGTGTTCACCAGTGGTGCTGGTGAAAAAGAAGGATGGCAGCATGCGGTTCTGTGTTGATACGCACTGAGCTATCCCTTGCCAAGAATTGATGACACGCTGGACATGCTTACAGGAGTAAAATGGTTTAGCACGCTGGATCTAAAAAGTGGCTACTGGCAAGTTGAAATTGACCCTAAGGACAAGGAGAAAACTGCGTTCTCGACGGGAAAGGGTCTGTGGCAATTCAAAGTAATGCCGTTTGGGTTGTGCAATGCTCCAGCAACGTTTGAAAGGCTGATGGAACTTGTACTTACCGGGCTAATTGGCGATGCCTGTCTGGTCTACTTGGATGACATCATCATCGTGGGCCGTACGTTTGAGGAACACCTTCAAAACCTGGAACGCGTGCTCATGAAGATTCAGAGTGCCAACCTCAAGTTGAGCCCGAAGAAATGTTCACTATTTCAACGGCAAGTTAACTTTTTGGGGTTTGTAGTATCGGAAGAAGGTATCCGCACAGATCCAGAGAAAATCGCCGCTGTCAAGGATTGGCCGGTTCCAAAAGACAAGACGCAGGTTAGAGCATTTTTGGGTTTGTGCTCCTATTACCGGCGATTCGTGAAGAACTTTGCAGATATAGCCAAACCTCTGCACAAGCTAACCGAGGAGAAGCGACATTTCTGCTGGGATGAAAGTTGCAATATCGCATTCCAGGAGCTCAAGGACCGTCTGTGCAAAACACCTATTTTGGGATACCCTGATGCACGCAAAGAATTTATAGTTGACACAGACGCAAGTGATGTAGGACTCGGCGGTGTGTTGTCTCAACGGAATGGTGACCAAGAGGTCGTGATAGCGTACCTCAGCAAGTCGTTGTCAAAACCGGAAAGGAACTACTGTGTCACAAGACGCGAATTGCTAGCTGTGGTAAAGTCGTTGCAACATTTTAGCAAATATCTTCTGGGACGAAAATTTCACTTACGAACTGACCATGCTGCACTAAAATGGCTATTGCAGTTTAAAAACCCAGAAGGACAAGTTGCGAGGTGGATTGAACTACTGCAGGAATACGACTTTGAGATCGAACATCGCAGCGGGAAATCTCATGGCAACGCAGATGCATTGTCAAGAAGACCTTGTCCTGAAGATTGCAAACATTGTACTAGGCAAGAGAGTAAGGAAGTGGTATCCGTGAGGATGCTCAGGGCGGACCACCTCAGCAACGAGTGGAAGGACAGCTTACTACATGCACAGCAGGAAGATCCGGACATCAAGCCGATTCTGGAATGGATAAAGGCCAGTGCTCCCAAGCCCAAGTGGAGTGACGTCTCAGCGATGAGTTCGACCACTAAAAGCTATTGGGCCCAGTGGGACAGCTTGCTGCTTCAGGATGGAGTTCTGTGTCGTAAATGGGAAAACGTTCGGGGAGACAGCTGTCATTTGCAAATGGTTGTCCCTAAAGTTAAAGTACCGGATGTTCTACAGCTGTACCATAATGATTGTTCAGGAGGCCATCTGGGAGTTAAACGAACTCTACTGAAGATCCGAGAACGGTTTTACTGGGTCCACTGTCGAAACGATGTCGAGGACTGGTGTCGCAAATGTACAAGTTGTGCGGCTGTAAAGGGACCTCAGACTCGTAGTAGAGGTGCATTGAAGTTGTACAATGTTGGTGCACCATGGGAGAGAATAGCCATTGACGTGGCGGGGCCGTTTCCGGAGAGTGAAAGCGGTAACAAGTATTTCATGGTTGTGATGGATTACTTCACTAAGTGGCCAGAAGTCTTCGCCATTCCAAATCAAGAAGCTTCAACAGTTGCAGATAAACTAGTTCATGAAGTCTTCTGTCGTTTTGGAGTACCTTTAGAGATTCACAGCGATCAAGGAAGGAATTTTGAGTCTCAAATATTCCAGGAAACTTGCCGAGTTATGGGTACTCATAAAACAAGAACGACTTCTTATCACCCGCAATCTGATGGAATGGTGGAACGATTTAATCAGACATTGGAGAGGTACCTAACAAAAGTTGTAGACAATCGGCAACGAGATTGGGACAAGCACATACAACCGTTTTTGTTGTCATATCGAAGTTCTGTTCACGAAAGTACAGCAGTGACACCAGCTTTCGCAAACTTTGGAAGAGAATTACGGCTGCCTGCAGACCTGATCACCGGGATACCACCCGATGCTCCACGCAGTATAACCGATTATGCAAATGACTTGCGGAAAAAAATGAATGACGTTTATGAGCACGTCAGACAATCGGGCCAGCAAATGTCTGAAAAGATGAAAACCCGGTATGACCGCAAAATGAACAACAAAGGTTTCGACGAAGGTTCACTTGTGTGGTTGCACAATCCAGTCCGCAGCAAAGGGAAATCTCCTAAGCTTCAAGCTAAATGGGACGGCCCGTACCGGATTGTAACCAGGATCAACGATGTGACCTACCGGATACAGAAAGGCGCAAGAGGGACTCCTAAGATCGTCCATGTGGATCGCTTGGCGCGTTATTATGGGACCGATAATGCTCGGGACGAGCATGTCTTAGGAGGGGGCAGTGTTGCATGAATAAGTCAACTAGCGCCATCTAGTGTCAGGAACGAGAGCGAGGGGAGCATTGAGAAAATGACATCACAAATCGCTCAACTGACAGCGCCTAGTAGAAACTCGAACGCTCGGTACCTTCCGCGTGTTTACTTGAACATTCTGGATATTTCTTTGCTAATTCAAATATATAGGCGCTGCAAGATGCGATGGAAGCAGTGTTGATTTGGGCGAAACAAGCGAAGCTTCGGAGCGAAATTAAGTGAATTAGTGTGTTTAATTATTAGTGTTTTAAGTTTTAATTTGTTTAAAGTAAATTAAAGTGTTAATTTAGGTAATTTTATCGGCAATTTTTATTGTCACGAACCTCAAGCTCGTAACAATATGTTAGTACAGTATGTCAAGCAAATGGAAAAACAGTAGTTTGGGCTAACACGAATGATGTGAAGAGAATGGTATATCAGTTGGCGGTAAAAATAATTTAAAAAATCCTTTTAATTATAGAACAGCTGAACGCAAATGGTTAAAAGCATAGATTTATAAAAAAGTTAAAAGGGTTTTGGCGAGGCATGAAAAACTTTCACTGGGCCAACCTACTGGTACATCATTTGCTCGGGTTAAAGAATTTATGAAAGAAAATGTTAAATCCTTCTTTGATTTACTCGAAAAGGAATTTGAGCTAGGGATCTATAGCGCCGACGAGACTTGATTTAGCATAGTTCAATCGAAGGCACTCAAGGTTGTAGCTACGAAGGGTAAAAATAAATCGGAGCACTGACCTCCGCTGAAAGAGGGTTCTCGTGACAGTTTGTTTTGCAATAAGTGCAGCTGATGAATTTTTACCCCCGCTGATCATTTTCAAACAGTAAAAAATACATGTTTTGCTCATGATAATAACACCTGTAGGTGCTATTGAACGATGCCATCCGCCAGGTTGGATCCAGGCGGACACTTTTTTAAAAATTTGTGTAAGTATTCCATATTCGGTCCTTTTCCTGTAATAGACAGTACATCGAACCGTCGATACCTTGCCTAATAGAAGCATACGCATACGCAAGACATTTATGAAAGATTGTAATTATGTATCATTTAAGGGTATTTTATTTGATTTTCAGGTGTTATTTTACAGTAAAAATGGAAAATATATAAACATAATACAGGATAAAGATTCCGGATTGGGAACTCTTTTTGGGGCAGCTCTGTGTACAGTTAAACTAGGCGGTAAAAGAACTTCACTGCTTGTCGGAGCTCCGGCTTATATCCCGGAAGATGCACATGGCTTTGATTTAGGCGCTGTCCATATATTTATGCCAAATTATAAGGTAATTTAACTTGTATTATAAGACTTTAAGTACATTCATATGTTCCAAATGAAATCAGTGTGCTCGTAATTCATCTCTTTTTAAAAGGGCTTTGTTGTTGATGAACCGATGTTGACGATTATTTTGGGGATACCTATAGATGATTCTTAGTTTTGATTGGACCCGGTAGGTGACGCTGTTGTCAAGATCTGGAAATTACTCCTGCGAAGTCAGGGCGAACCGCTGGTTGAATATATTTCGGAAATCTTTTCTTTAATAAAAACTAGCTCGTTACTTTTGACATGCACGAATTCAAGAATGCTCTCAAAACAAAAGATAAACAACTCAATTAAAATCAGTCACATTTAATGATGTCCTGCTTTACCTTTATTATAAATTTGTTAAGTGTTTGGGTATTCTGTTGTGTTCCAGCATTTTTGGACTTCTTAAATTATTTTTTTTAATTTATTTAGGACAACCAAAAATACATACACGAACACAATGTAAATACTACAAATTACAGGAAAGTTTATGTCTAAGTGTCGTCTTAATTAAAGGTTCCTACGGCCAGCAATGTGAACAACGAATATTATGCATTAAGCCGATAAATGTAAAAACAACAACATATTTCTGATAAAATAATAATATTACGGTTGCCAATTTACCTGCCATGCTTGGCAACCGTGGCAAACCTCCTCTATGTGGCAATCTATGGCATCTATGTGGTAGTCTATGTTCAACAGTGAACTTTAGGTAATTTATAATGATGATGATGATCTCTATGTAGGCTTAACTACTTTTTACCCATTACTATTATTAAACCTACTAATATTATGTTTACTTGATCCTTACTAATTGCCCATCCTTGACTATGCTGACATTTGCATCTTGATATCTGCGAAGATTTATTAGTTACTATAAAACTGTGAGCGTTAAATAAGTGAAAATTAAATAGTAGTATGTATATAGTATTGTATATAGTATAAATAGATATAAATAATCATAAAGAACATAGCGGATCACAAAAAATTATACTGTTTTTCCTGTCACAAAATTTCAAACACTGTAACAAATACGATATAGTAATATAATATAGTTCAGTTACAGAATGACCTAATTAGCTAGAAACAGCTGATTACAATAGACCACAATTAATCACAGTGCCAGCGGGTTGACGACTAACGCTGCTCAGCAATATTTCCGCCATCAGTAATTAGTAACACATACATATTATATGCCACTATATTGGTTTTGATTTTAATTAAACTTTTTTTTTTCTAATTATATGCCAGTTATTGACCTCAGTCCCACCTGGTGGCAAGAGGTGATGCAGCCTTAGATGGTAACTCTCACTCTTAGCATAACAAATGCCTATTCACTCTTACCTTGAATACGGTCAGATTGTAATCTGACGGAAAAATAGACGCCGACAAATTATTCCACTCTTTTGCTGTAAGTCCAAGCAAACCGTTTGGTTCCAATGCGTGGAATATCGACAACAAAGGGGTGAAGACCCGCCGACCGCCTGGTCGTCCGATAATGGAAAGGCATGCTCGTTTGCCCCCTATTCTATAAAAAAAAGGAGAGGAATGAAAAAGTATGCAATTCCTAATGCATCCTATAGAATACCGAGAGGCTGGTCACTCTGCGTCTATAGTACCAGTTACTCGACTCCACCGAGTCAGTAATTCATTCTTGGGGCGATGTATACGCTTTTACAACAAAATCCCAGAAAATATACAAAATTTATCATACACGAAGTTCAAAAATGTTATTAAACTAAGTTTGTATAAAAAGGGTTATTATAATATTAAGGAATTTATGGATGATAATAACCCCTGGGAAGGGTGATCGCTACCACGCTATTTCTAATTTGTCTTGTGTTGTTTATTGTAAACACAAGTGTAAGTTATTATTGGAAAAAAATAGTCTCGCTGGATTTCTTGCTGGTTCTTCCCAGGACAGAGGTTTTTTTTTTGTGAACCAGTGGTAAATGAAAAAAGTGACTTTCAATAAGTATTGTTGTTATCTACATTGAATAAAAAAGTTTCTGTTTCTGTTTCTGTGTTTGACCAAATCAAGGTCACCAATAAGCCTCTTCGCACGTTCTCTACTGAGTCCAACACTGTCAGGTGGCATTTTGCAGCGCCAGCCCATATGACAAAAAACAATTTTTTTCTTTATATCGTTTATAAAATGGGGGGTGACAAATGAGCACACTGTCCACAGTTATCACCATAGAATACTACAATACATACATAATATAACGGGGGAGTGGGCGGAGCCCGCGTAATCCACTAAAATGCCATTAACACGTCAATTCACACGTATAATTGTAAATACGAGATGTGTTTTCACGTTACAATCGTTTCCAAATTTCGCATGTAAATTATTTAGAAAATGCCAAATTGCACGCTATTTACAAATAAATGTGTAGTACCCGGATGACCAAGCATTGCCCGGTTTTTTTCTTTTTTTTTTTTGAAATTACATTTATAAATTACACACTGATGAAACATGAATAATCTTACTGACAGAATAGAAAAAATTGAACTGGTTATTTGAATAAAATATCATGAGTGCAATTAGTTTTATTAAAATTTTCGTATTTTTAAAAAATACTAAAAAAGGGCTTGAAATAATAGATTTTTTTCACAAAAGAAGTGAACTTGAAAAAAAAGGAAAAAAAGTCGGACCAGAGACAGGACGCGAACCACGGAACTACGATATCACGCCCGACCGACATCCCTGAGCTATTACGATCGTTAGTGATCTGTCAAAATTTACCTTCTTATATTGTAGCAGTTTTTTTTATTGCCTGAAAACACGGACAAAAGGACATTTTCTAAAAATAAATCCTAGCAAGATCGATTTATTGCCCCCGAAACTCCCTGGACACTCAATTTTATGAAAATCGTTACATCCGTTTACGAGATTCCGATTATATATATACAAGAATTGCTCGTTTAAAGGTATAGGATTAAAATCCGTCTGTCAATACAGCGGATCGCGTTTGTAGTAGTGATTAACTGATGATACGACGTAATTGCTTGTATGTGTGCTCCCGGCGACGCCTATTCTTAGTAAAAAATAAGGTTGACAGCCATTATATTGTGTATTATAGTATTCTATGGTTATCACCCTGAGGACTACGATGGATTGCCTCGTTTTCAGTAAAAAGGGTCTCCAGTTCTCTACACTCACCATACGAAACACAGCAGCATTAATCTGCTGTTTTATTATGGTATAGAGAGGTTGAGCCGACCCATTACTACGTGTTACAGCTAATATAGCTGCAACGTGACTCTACCACGGAAAAAAGTCATCTTGTATCAATTTTTTTATATTTTTTTATATTTTTCTCTTTAATTATAGTCGCTAACTCTGAAGACAACTATTAGAGGTCAAAGCTCCGGCGGGCGCTTTGGTAGTGCTATTATAAACATCGGCGACTTGGATAATGATCAGAAAGACGGTATGAATATGTTCATTTTCTTAATCTTTTTTCGACATTAGGTACTCACGTTACTCACACGTTCTCTTTATAATAAGAACGTCCATTTGCTCCATTTAACAAAGTTTAACGTGTATAATCCTCGTAAATAAAAATGCTTTGTCACCCTTGAGGACTAAGATTCCTTGTTACCTGATAAAAGGGACTGATAACAAACATTCGAAACACAGCAGCGTAATGCACCCGTGTTATACTGGTATTCTTGGAAAATGTGGCTCTACTTCGATGAAGTTAACGTATTTATGATGCAGCTATAATTCAGCTAGAACTACTACCACGAATTAAATCCTCATAAAAAAGGCTTTACTAAAATGAATTGGAATATCAGAAGCTGGACTCTCACCTTAAATTTCGTACCATGCGTACAACCTATATTTTTTTGCTAAATATATATATTTCAGTTTTTCATTTTATATTATTATATTATTCATAGAAAAAGTTACTTCATACTAGGATTTTCTCCTGTATCATGTTAGCAGTTTACATTCATAAATTTTACGAGAAGACTAAGAACAATTATTTGATGACCATACCAATTGTTCTGTTCGAGATTGTTGTGTTGTAATTCATTGCTAAGCCACTGCGCTACATAGGCGTTAATATATTGTTACGATTGTAGGTAGAAAATAAAACAAACTACAAATGAGGGTAAACTTAAAACTTTCACTCGTTCAAGCGGTACAAAATACGGCGCAGGCAACTAGCTTGGAACCTTCAGTCTATGAGACTTAATCGATGACGTGTTTCTGTGCGTTGTGGTAATTCTTTTAGTAATAGTAAATAAAGTTAACGGTGTAGTGATGGTGGAACCGAATCCACTACCCCCCATCCCGTGGGTGTCGTAAGAGGTGGTAGAGGGAGAACTGACCTGGAGTTGAGCAATATCATCTTCCTGATAACAACTGAGAACAATAAAAACCTCGTTTGTCATCCTTATTCTATAAAAGAAACCTGCGGTCAGCCCGCCTGCCAATCGTAGCAACTATGGCAAAATTCTATCTATATAAGCAATATTAGGAAATCCATGGGGAAGGCCTATGCCTAATGGTGGACTTTTGATAGATAGGCTGTAATGAACGATGGTGAATGAATGAAACAAGATTATGTTGCGGATAAGCTACCTTTATCAATTTTGGTATTTTTAGGGTTCCGTACCAGAAGGGTAACCAACGGGACCCTTGAGTATGGTCGAATACTCGACGACGGGACCCTATTACTAAGCTTCCGCTGTCCGTCCATCCGTCCGCGGTCCGCGGTCTGTTTGTCAGCGGGCTGTATCTTAGATCCACAATAGGTAGACGATTGAAATTTTCACAGAATGTGTATTTCTGTTGCCGCTATGACAAGAAATATTAAAAATAATAAATAAAAAATAAAAATAATAAAAATGTTGTTCTTTTGATGGCTATTTTGCTCGATTTTGATATTTGCAGCAAGTAGACGCTTGAAATGGTCACAGAGTTTGTATTGCTATATTTTATTAACATAGTACCTACCTACATACGATTAAATCTTGTACGATGGTACGGGACTCGCACTTGGCCGGTTTTTATATACTCGTAATAACTTTCAATTGTTTACTATATCCCATTATTTTTTTATAACATAGAGTTGTTACCAAGCAATATTCATTTATTTGTGTAATTTTATGAGTAATTTCTACTATATAGTAAATAATATACACAAATAAATCATAATATTTTCAAAGTTAAGGAACACTCGACATCGATAGATAAGGAAAACTCGTATGTCTGAGAGATTAAAAATATGTACTTTCAAAACACAACAGTACGATAGATAGGACACATAAAAGCTGTTAGTAGGGACTAGCTTGACAAATTAGGTATATAACTAATTTGTCAAATGAGCCTTTTATAGTTTTAGAAAATTAACTAAGTCTTCTTAAATTATTTTTATCGTACAATCGTCTATTTTTCGTAGATGTAGCGATTGGTGCACCTTACGAAGACGATGGCAAGGGCGCAGTTTATATTTACACATCCAATAACATTCTCAATAACAAAAACGTTATGTATTCTCAAAGGATACAGCCTGAGGCATTCAGGACTTTCGGGTTAAGTATGACAGCGCTTCGAGACTACGATCATAATGGTTGCAATGGTAAGGAAGCATTACAAATTAAGTAATTTCTCAATAAATTATTATAACAATAGTCTATATATCAGTATGTGTCTTCAGACCGGTTTTTGGTAACAGCAGCCAGAACTGAGGCTGGCCATCTGTGCAGGACAGGATTATAGTGCATGAGTGTTGCACACTCTCAATTCCCTCGCTCTCATAGTCCGATGGGGTGGCAATCAGAGATGACCGGAGCGAGATCAGGCGAAGGATCAACGGCTTTACGGACTTTCCGAAACACGTGGATGCAACACCGCTAACTTTGATTGACTTAATTGACTGTGCTACTGCAAATTTCTTGACTGAATATCTAATACCTGATTTTGGTACATTACCAGCAGTCGCGTTTACGAACACAAGACAATGCAGTCAAGCCCAAAATCACTTCGTAAATTTATAAAAGAGTTTTTATATTTTTTTATTCTAAGTTAAGACAAAAGGACGTAGTTGACCTAAAGGAACTGGCATTATAAGTCCTCATTTTGATACTTATTTGAGGGAAGATGTAAATGTCTAGGAGTCACAGCATCCTCTTACCATCAGGTGGGCTGTGTGCTCGCCTGTCACCATTATTCAATAAAAAGAACACATGGTAGCTCGATTAAGCTTTACAATACATTGTTAGTCCTGAGGGCTCGAGTGAAATGCATTATAATCAATAAATATGGTATCCAGTTATCGCTACTCACTATACGAAACAAAAGAACGACGGCATCATTCTGCTATTTATTTGAACACTGTTATTTTGGAACTATGTCCTACTTTTACGTGGTAGACGACCACACTGCATCTGTACCCCGGCTCACAGTATCAGGGCCACGCTCTTACAGAATACCAGCGAAATGAATAACGGTACTGTTGTATGATACGTGTAAAGAACTAGACTCTTTTTTCTGTTAAACAGGCATTCCTTTTGAGATTGCTACTCGATAACCATGCAAGCCCAGCAGGGTTGTTAAATCTTCGAGCGATTTGACAGCCTATTACTACCTCAGCCGTCTGAGCCGCTGTTCTACGTCAGTTACTTTTGTTTCATTCAGAATAATCTGTTCCCTTTCCATTGTTCGCTGTGTGACTTTAGTTATTTTCTTCTTTAGTTATTTTGGTTATGTTTAAAAACCCTGCTTTAAATTGCAAAAGCTTTAAATTTCACATAATAAATTACGACAGATAATTATAACAGATAAAAAATGTCCATAAGCGGCACGCTCGGCATCACCTAAACGGACTCCTAGGGTAAGAACGGGTAGAAGGGGATATTATTTAACTAACTCTCCATAAGAGCTCGTATTTTACTTTTCAAACGCTAGCCTTCTGGTGCATTCATGAAAAACCCTATACTCACCTATCTCGCATGTGAAGAAGGAGAAATTAATATACTCAAGAAACAACAAACATATACTGATTTTATGACCTCTCTCGCTTCGCGTTCGAGGTGTGCTATTAGCTGATTAAGACCCTAAAATAGAATTTCAAATTAATACTAAATTAAGACGAGGGTGGTATTGAATGTTACTTAATTAAACATTTCGCTGGTAATGTATCACAGTCATATAATTATTCCTTCTCTTCACGCAGAAATAGCAATTGGAGCACCAGATAGTAACGCTGTTGCGATATTCAATTGTTTTTCGTCAGTGACATTAAATGTCTTCACTGTGCTTCCTAATCTACAGGTACAGTTATGTTGTTTACTTTAAAAATACTAACATTCTTAAACCTTTAAACAAGAAAAAAATTACGAAGTGATAAAAGCGTTAAGCATCCAAGCTTAAAAAAATAATACCTACACGTCAATCTTAAAAGAATGTACATAAATGATGATATTATATCTATGTATGATACATGTTTTGTTCATATATTTAAATACACATTATATATCTCAGTACGTATGTATGTATATATTATGTACATTATATATGTATTTGCACTTGCCACAAAATCTCATCACTCCACGGGTTGACTTGCAAAGAATGCCATTAGGCATTAAGTCCACCCTCAGTTACCCTAGTTATTAAGGTGTTAACAATGAAAATTAAATAAATAAACGCATGAGTTGTGCCCATATTCGCTGATGGGTTGACAATCCGATGAATATGAAACATTTGTCACATTCTTAATTTTTAAAGTCGGACGTCACGGTCTAGAAATATGTTAATATACAATGGTATATTAACATATTCCTAGTATTATATTATTATTTTATTTCTAATATCTTATATTTTTACATATACTGCAGATCACCATAAATTTAGAGTAACAAATTTTATTACATTTCCAATTTTTATATCTAAAAAGAAATAATTATTTTACTGCAGAACCGAGAGAGCGCGGAAAAAGAAAAAATTACTTTTAAATCTTGTTTAAACGTATCATACCCAGAAAAGCCTGAGAACATTGTAGCAAGTAAGAACTTTATATTTTTTGACTATCATGTACTTATTAAATAGATCAGTGCTTGACTAATTATGATATACATCTGGTATTTATGGATTACATCTGGTAGTAATTGGTGATGCAGCAGATGCAGGTGATGGTATTTTAAATATAAGCCTCAAGCAGAAGGGTTGCCGTGGTTAATGGTCGTAATACATCTCTTACTTAGGGTACCCGTACTATAATATATAGTATTGTACTATATTTCAATCACTTGTACTATATATTATAGAAAAATAATATAGTACGAAAAATACTATACTTTTACCCCCAATTCAACTGTCGCGCTTTTTATATTAACTGTGATTGAAAGACTGGAAACAAGTTTTACGAAAAGAATTTTTTTCGTCATGAATGTAGAATAGAAAGAAGAAAGAAATAGAATATATATTAATTTAAGTAAAATGAATAGATAATTTATTTTAATATGAATCTAAATTCTCTCTAACTATTTTAAAGGTAACAGATCATTGATGGTCAAAGCAAAGAGCAATAACAAATATATATGGAAAAATACATAAAGATTAAAAATAAATGTGTACTTTTTTCTCCTGAATTTCTCAAAAGTACTATATTTTTGAGTCTTTTTTGGGAAACATACTACATTTATTTAAAAAAAAGATGGCAACCCTACTCTTACTCTATATCAAATCATATCTATGAATTTGATTTGAATATCTGATATTAAATGTATACATTTCAATATCCATGTATTGGTTTATATCCACGTGATTCTATAACTCTGGACTAACTGTAACTTAGGAAGTCAGTGTTCAGTACAACACGGTGATACGTGATTTTTGATAGGTTTGGGTTACTAATATTTATAGATGTATTATAATATCTATATTTCAAGTACGATATTACGTATTGGTTAACATCTATGGTACTCTGAAACGAGTTTATCCTACAAAGAAGAGTCGAAGTAGGTACATGATATCCTCACGACACAGGCATGCCTAGTGTGAGGACCACAGAACTATACACCATTGTTTATATACTCCTGCTTAGTTGGTGTGATAAGATCATAGTTTATAATTATGTACTAAAGAATTAAGACTACTGTACTTACATTTCATTATCTTATATTATATATTATGATCTGTACCAGCTTAGCTGTAAATAAACATTTTATCATATTTTTTTCACTCTAATATTAATAATTTGCATTTAATAGCAGCGTTTTTAACAGCAAATTTTACAATTTTTTTCGAGTTAAATGATAGACATTTTGTAAAGAAACGCTGTACTGCAGTGATATCTAATACATAATTAGTCTGTCGCCCGATATATAGATATCGGATATAGTACCGATATGAAGATATTGTACATATACACATATGATTTGTATCGCCTACTCATAGCACATGAGTAATTAATCCTTACTCTGTGCTTATAGTTTGCTTAGAACTACCCCAGAATATATTAATAGTAGCTACTGCACGTTAATAACGCTTCGATCACCGACGTCATAACGCTATCGGCAAATCTTCCGTACACGGGTTGTACATTTGTCGGCGCATTTCGTCCGTTTTGCTTTTTCCAAATTGCCAAAAACAAAAGCTTTAGGAGAAAAAAAATTGGGTTTACGTCATGTGCATAGATATTAAGCACTTGCCAGTTTTTTTTTTATTACTTACTACATGTTATTAACACTTCATAACTAATTACAGATATTGTCATTTCAATTGGTATAATGCATCCCAGTGCTAGATTGGAAAATAGCAAAAATGGTGTTTTAACCTATACAGAATCGTTAAGCAGCAAGAAAAACGTTTACTGCAAATATGTTGGAGTTATGACTCCTTTGGTAGGTATGCCATTTTAATGATAAAAGATTGATCACAAGTATTTCAAAAAAAAAAAGAAACTATCTTTATTTTTTTTTCACCTATTACCTTTATTAATCACTCAAATTTTCTTTTGTATCATAGCGTCGGTTCACCGTTTATCCAAATCTGGAAAAATTATTTGTAAGCCAAACAAGTACTTGTCCATTTTGGGATTCTAACCTGCAGCCCCACAGCGCCCGAGCCAAACGCTCACGCGAACCGATTCAATAGTTTTACTGATTGCTGTTAAGGACGTAAGAAGTCCAAACAGAGAAGAAATTGGGTATCATCTTTCTAAAACTCAAAATAATAAAAAACTGCTAAATAAAAAATATTCTTTTAAGGCAATCTATAATCAAATTTTTATTACGCATTGATGATTGATTAATCGTTTCATTGGCTTCTAGTGATCTAATTCTGTTTGCTCGTGTACTACAGAATTTTAAAGGTTCAAAAGCTACGAGCTACGGCGGCTCGCCACAGTATCCAAACCTTTATAATCAACTATTTTTATCAACTATTTTTCTCCAGCATTTTAAGAGCTTTAAAATGTCGCAGTTTGTAGTCGCAACGTAAAAGAATCCCTATATCCGAGGGTGTTTAAAGAGATGACGAAGGGACAAGAAGCAGGAGATGGGCTACGGCATCTTCCAGGTACAGGTAGCTGCGGGTCAGCTACTTGTACCTGGAAGATGTCTTACAAGAAACAACTATAGTAAAATCCTTAAGGAGCAATAAAAGGCCCATGTTCAGCTGTGCACATTTGATGGGATGATATTATTGCTGAATTCCTTGATGTAGACACCCGTTAATAAGGGATTTTGAAAAACTCAACTCCTGAGGAGGTAAAACAGAGTTTTACAGCTTGTATGGAAATAACTGCCTCTTATCGAGCTCAGGAGGTTATTTAAGACATGAATTTGTTAAATTTTTGTTAGCCGATTAGCCGATAGACAGACAGACATGTCTGTCTATCGGCTAATCTTCGAAATAACTGGAACCAATTGTAATAAAACTTTACAAAAAGATAGAAAGCAATGCTAAGCGTGATCTAAGCTATATTTTATTTGCAGATTTTTTTTGTGAAATGGAAAAATTGATAAGATAAAATGGTCAATAATGATTGCTTTGAAGTCTAAATGACGCCACTTAACAGATTCCAACTAAGCGAAGTCAGCGCTAATAACGTCCAAAGATAATGCCTTTAACCTGTGTTATGTTGCAGGACAAAGATAAGGAGCTAAATTCAATACAAATAACCGTAAACGCTCACTTAGACGACGACCCAAGACAGTTGAAGGTGTTTGACCCGCAGCGTGTCATTTTGTCCGAGCGCAGTTCACTTTCTACTTTCAATACAATTTGGGCATCAGGGTGCAGTTCAACAATATGCGTGCCAATTCTAAGTTCAAAATTTTTTTCTTCCATGACGTATGTATATAACTTGTCTAAACAATGAAAAACCGTAGATTTTAGTATATGCTAAATTATTTTCTTTATATAATATGGGTGACAATCGAGCACACAGCCAACCTGATGGTAAGTGGATGTTGTGGCCCATGGACATAATTATACATCTGTACTCGATTAAGCATGAAAATGCAGATACATTCCGAAGAATAAAATGAAATGCCTCTTTTTCAGTGAAAGGGTCTCTGATTCTCTACGCTCACGGTATGAAACACAACAGCATTAATCTGATGGTATTTTGTGATAGCGCGGTCCTTCACCGATCGGGTCGACCCATTCGCGCTACAATTATTATGTATCTGTAGCGGGGTTCTACTAGATATACTATTTAATACGTGTATGGTTTTAGTTTGAAAGGTTTGCCAAACTAAAAATATCATTATCATCATCATCATAATTACAGTCCTTCACAAGCCTATTGCTGAATATAGGCCTCCCACAAAGAATGCCACACAGCACGGTCCACCTGTATTCATCGACTTCCTGCATGTCTTACCAGGTCGTCATTTCATCTAGTGGGGGTTCGCCCAACACTTTCAGGCTACCAGGTCGCCTACCGGTAAGAGGCTGCCACTCGAGAACCTTTATCCCCATCGGTCATCGGTTCTTCGAGCTTTCGGTTTTTCATTTCTAAATTTACCACGCATAGAAACCCCGAGCATAGCCCTCTCCATAGCTTGCTCAGCGACCTTGAGCTTCCTCATACGACCAGCAGTGAGGGACCACATCTCAGACCCGTAAGATGACTTACGGATCTGAGACGTGGTAACACGGCTGGCAACACGCACTTGTTGTAATCACAATCACAATCTAAAACAAAAACATGCACATGTTTCTTTCGTTTTGTTTGTTCGTTGGTGTTGTATTTAAAACAGATGCCTGAAGCCGGATGTCAATTATCATACATCCAGCTTTGATAATATGTCACTAGTTCAACATCAAACGATACGATCAAATCTTAATCTAAAATCAAACGCATACCGTATCGTTAAAAACTACATTTCATTTCAATTCACGCTTGTATTTTGAGCTATTTGTAGTGGGCCGAGACCTTAAGTATGAATTTTGCTTTATTCTACACTCAAATTTAGGCCTTAAGTGTGCATGAAACGGCTCTATTTCTTACTTTGGATTAATTTTTATGTATGTTTCAAACCACAGTAGTCCCTACATAATCGGCTCTTCAGATGCTGAGAATATCTCTGTAACAATAGCAAATAGTGGAGAGACAGCGTACAGTGCATGTGTGCGTATCCGCGTTGACAGTGTGCGTGTCTTACAAGCGCCTGGCTGTCGGCGATATGACGATAAAAATCTGATTTGTGAGCCAAGGAACCCCGTGCGAACTAAGCAGAGTTGGGTACGTACATCAATTTTTCTCATCTCAGTTTTGAAATTTATGTTTAAAAAAAACTTCATAAACTTTATTTAATAATATAGCTGTCTCAAGATTACGAAATTATTTTATTTTTTAAATAAATCAGACGCCAACAGTCTTAATAAGGCATAAACCTTTCGAACAGGGCGTAATGCTTGCTTTTCGCACTTGCTTTAGTTGGTGAGCGCAGAGCTTATCCTTGCACTAATCTACTATATGACGAATTTAATAAAACTAAACACAAAAGAAATATTTATGTTATAGTTTTGAAATTGTTTGATTTTTTTGATAACTCACTCGTTTAATTAAAAAAGAATATATTTTTAATTGCGCATTATAAACCCTAAAACCAGCCCCCAAATCGAATATTGCTAATAATAAGTAATTGCAATTGTAAGTAATTGTCTCTGAGAAGAATGTGACAAACAAGCAAACACAATAAAAACGACGAGATTCGCTTCGAATTTCATAAATTGTATTCAAAAAATGGAAGTCAGAAAATATGTAATTTTTCTTTAATGCTTTACAGAAAACTGGTCATATCACGCTTGAAACCAAATCATTGACAAGTGCAGATAGAGAAATAACCGTCGACGTTGATGTACACAACCACTGCGAAAATGAAACTGACAATACATCTGAACAAATAGTTATCAGCTTAGAAAGAGACACTTCAAAATTGGTATTAATGAGGTAATCAAAATTTTTAATTCCTTGATTGCACATAAAATAAACAAAAACTTGTCTCTGACATTAGTTCTTGTAACATTTAAAATTTACCGTCTAGAAAAAAATAGGGTGGACGGAATAGAAGCCTATATTTTTGGTAAATTGCATTCGCAAATATATACAACAAATACTACTAATTTGAAATAAACTTTCGGTACATAATTACGGTAAATAAAAAAATCAAATAAAACTATCGGAATTGAAATATTACGTACCCATTTAGTAGTATTTCTTCATAGAACAATTTCATAATAAGTATGTTAGTGTAAAATAAAATATAAATTGTAAAATATCACTGCCATAGGCTTCTATTCCGTTCAACTACATTCTATTTTTTTTAGACGGAAAAATCACTCAGTATAAACTTAGAACATGTATTTAATTTAAATACATATTTATTCCAGGGAATCAATACCAGACGAAGTTGTTAATATCACATCTATCAATTTAGAAACTGAAATAAGTCATTTATATACTGTAAGTACAAAAATATATTATGTAAGTCATCACCATCAACATCATTACATCCCACCAAAGTTCATTGTTGAGTGAGGCTCATAAAGAATGACCCTCACGTACCTAAATTCATAAAGTCCCTGAATGTTTCATCTATAAAAATTCTCCGTGGAGGATCGCCCAAAACGGCTCTTATCGTAATGAGGTTACCACTCAATACTATTTCTCACTTATCTATTGACGATCCTTCGAGCCGGCCGATTGCTAATTTAGCTTACTGTTTCTTTAAGTCATTAGTTAACTTGCTTACAATTGTGCTACTGCAAACATCCTCGTTACTGATTATGCCACGTAGAAAGCTCGTAACCATATTAAAATTTTGCATATCTTAATAAGTGATTTGGAGATTTCTCATAACGCACAGGTACTTCTTCGTTTCATAGTTTCAGTAAGTGATGAGTGATGACTGATAATAAAGTCATAAAAAAAATTATAATAGAAATTACTGGTTACACGCTGTGTCATGAAGTAATCTGGACACACTTGTGCATCGCCGTAGGAATCCCTCTAGGAGTGTCAATTTGTCAATGTCACCAGCGTCGATGAGTTTGGGCTCCACGGAGTTTCATGTAAGAAAAGTGCAGGTAGGTTTTCTCGTCACGGTTCTAAGAACGAAGTCATCCGAAGGGCTCTTGTCTCTATATATGGTCCGTCGGTTTTAAAGATTTGCGGGATATTTAGAGATGATGGCAAGAAACCCGGCGGTATGCCTTTAGTCCCTTGGGGAGAGGTACAACCATAGTGTGAGATGCTACTTGCATTGATACTTTGGGGGCCTCTCATCTCAAACGTATCTCTTTCAGAGCCGTGAGTGAAGAAAATGGCGCAAATATGAGTCTTTGTCAAATGACTATATATTTGTGCCATTTGCTGTAGAGACTATCGGTCCGTGGGGTCCACGTGCAGTGAAGTTCCTAAAGCAATCTTAGCCGCGACTGGTTGTCGTTGCTGGTGATAAGAGGGCTGGTTCTTTTCTTGCTCAGAGTCTAAGTATAGCTATTCAGCGAGGAAACTCAGCCAGCGTTCTTGGCACGATACCACAGGGAGCAAGACTTCATGAAAATTTAAACTTTCAGTTTTAGTTTTTCTTTATTATAGTTTTTTTTTAATATTGTGTCTAATGAATATTAGTTGTAAATATTGCTTGTTGTAAATTATTTATCATAATTATTAGAAATTATATTTTAACTTAGTTTTCATTAATTCTATTAAACTACTTATTTTTAATTTTTTTTTTACTCTTTAATGTTACTTTTAGTTTTAGTATTTTAATGTAAATGGAATTTACTAGATAATAATTTAATTTATATACTTTAAAGCAATAATCCAAGTTTAATCATGATGTTAATAAACAAATAGTATTCATCAATTACAGATTATAAATAATGGAGTTACGCATTGGACTGGAGTGGAATGTAAAATTTTCCTAAACAATTCGTATGTCAAATTTAAATACCCGATAATCGTGAGTATATAATTAAAATACAAATTAACATCTTACATAAGTCTCAGCTGAACTCTGAAGTCAAGCCTCCATTTTTAAGAGAGCTATTTACCAGAAAAAATTACCTTATTCGTTGACATATTGCCGAAATGTTTTTACTAACATACCTTATCATTTTTAACTAAATACTTACGTAGATTGATTGATGTGAATTGTATTTTTAGATATATACTGATAACCAAAAAAGGGAACTTTGTTACGTTAACACGGAAATGAAAAATAATATAAGCACAGAAGTAATATGCAATTTAGGCGAAATAAGGAAGAACCAAAAAGTATACATAATGGTATCTTTGATGATTGAACCGATGCCTACTGGTATGTATCTATCATCAATTAACCTCAATTCATCATCCCATTTGATCCCGTTAGCATCTAAAGTTGCAATAATGACTAAAAAACAGCAAACGAAAGATGGCAGTAAGCCATCTCGTTTACGCCGGACGTAAAATTCCTAGACCGGCGATGTCAGCTGCATCAGGTGCGAGACGTCTGGTACTGTAAATCCTCCCTATATTGGTTGAAGTTGATAAAGAAGATAACAATAATTATTATTATTAGACTAGCTCATTATGATTGAATTTCATGGTTTTTAATTTTTTTAGTGTATTTAATTAGACGGGGCTATTATTGACAGATAGTTGATGTAATTTCTCTTTACATCAACTATCTGTCAATATTAGCCCCGTCAAAATTGGTCGAGGCATTTTGGAGATTCACCGGAACAAACGGACAGACAGATAGTAATTTAAAAAGTTGTTTTTTTTTTTTGTTTGAAGTACCGCATATGCATCTGATAAAAAGGTGTTGTTTTGACATTACAAACAGACGCTTCAGTTTCATTTAACTGTATAGATTATATATGTATACAGTCAACTGAGATTATTGATAACCTCATTAACTTATATTGCATCATTGACGTGACATACTAAACTATAGTTCACCTGAATCACCTCTGCAATCAATTTTAAGCAAGGAAGGTTACATAATGATTTCTTAAGTTTTATTCAAGGAAGGTTACAGATGCGTTATGGCGTACAAAACATAAATCAACTTTAACGTCTTCAAGGCTGTGATTACACCGGCTGTCTAACCCTTCAAACTCGTACCACCTGTAGGCTGATGCCAAGATAATAGAGCCATACCACCTACAAGTCTGTAATAAATGACATTACAACCTATCAAAAACTCACTGCTATCATGGCTGCTATCATAGATTGCCTATATGTTTGCCATAGCTACCACGCTTGGTATGCCTGTTGTCGACCACAGTTACCTATTTATTATTTTGAGCTTACATCCGGATGAACTCTCTATGCTATGCTGCTTCCCATCTCCTGAATCATATCCTCCTGTCGCTTTTTATACCACTAGAGTAGTGAATTCTCTTAAACCTCGACTACACGACGCAAAAGTTAAAGTTAACGTTAAAGTGACAGCCTATTTACGTCTCACAGCTGCACACAGGACTCCTCTCGTTTTTGTTGAGAGGGACACGACGCAAACCAACTAGTAAAAGCTTTATAATAATTTTTCCTCATACTAATTCTTTTTCTTTCTATTAGTTTATTGAACATCTCATCTTTTTAATTGTAACTTTATTTATCTGCCTTTTTACATTGAAATGTTCTACATTTCAGATATATTTGATGTAGATAAAAATATTAGTATAGCCACAAAACTTAATTTACAGTTAAATTATGAAGAAATGACAGTAAGGTGAGTTAGTTGGTGATATACTCACCTAATGTATTATGTATAATAAAATAATTTCATTGACTTGTGAGCACAACATAATGTTTAAGATCTCTATCACAGTGTTATGAATGTCACGGCAACAATGTCGCGATTGTATCGCAGCCGGTATTAAGGAAAACTGTCGATCGAAATAAAATATGATGACGGCGCGACGAAGAAAAGTGAAGCCAAGAAAAATTCAAAAATAGTTTAACCAGTCCTACAAACTCTTTACAAGACCGGGAGGAAAAATATTTAATAGTTCTTTATTACTAGACAGTAAAATATAATGAGAAGTTTTTCTTGCAGAATTATGTCTTGTACACTCTGAATTGCGCTAGTAAACACTATGAGCAACTATTATTTTGCTGTTTTGTATTTTCTTTCTTTGGCTTCACTTCATTGTCAGACTGACTCCGTTTTTTTTTTGGTAAGAAAGACAGAGGCTTTAGGCTTTTCAATAGTCTCAGCCGTAGCAGAGAAAAAATAAGCTTGTGAACATTACGCAAAAATATTCGTAAAAGTTCGAAAATAATGAACGACTAAGGCCCGTATTAATAAACGTTCCTCAGCTCAAGTGCACGTACTTAAGGACGATCTTGAGGTTATGATGCTATTAATAAACATCTCAAGTTGCGGCTTAGGTTTACGTTATCAGCAGATTGATTAAATAACGAAACTCGACTTTCAGGTACACAAATAAGTGCGTGTACTTAAAATGCTGAAATCTGAATGCAGGCGGTCTGTGCCTTGTGATCGTGATGGTAGTAACGTTAATCTTGGAATTTAAAATATTTTAAAAGAGATTATTTATTACGATGAAACAGAGTCCTATTATGATATTTTATGGACTTCGCAAAATCGTTTAAGTACTAAAAATTTATATGAACCATGCCTCGAATTCTTTTGAGTTATCTTCCTTTTGAGACGCGCCATCGGTCTTCTTGTTTTCCATCACAGCTCTTTATTTTTTCATAATAACAAGACAGAATTTTTTTCTTTGTCTAAATTAAATTATAACGCGAGATCAGCTATATAGATCAGCTAGTAAGCGATCGGATAGTTAAAATATAACTACGTTTTCGTCGTCTCTTTTTAACACTGATGCGTTTGGTTAGTTGAATAGATTGAGTTGAGTATTAAACATTTAAGTCGTATTTATTTGAACAACTTAAGGTTTTCATAAGTAGAATACAACTTATTATATATTATAACGTGAAATGTGATGTGACACGATATTCTAAGCCTTCTATTGTTGTTATATAATTGTTCACAATACCAAGTCCTCAAATTACAGAACACTATCATAAGTACAGCGTCTTGAGGAGCTGATCTTGGTAACTGAGATACTGTTTATATTTATCTTATTTATCTTACGATGCTAACATTGTAATGAAGGCGTATTAAACGATTACGCACTTGAGTTCGTCGTTGATTAAAGTTTATTAATACGGAACTAAGTCGTGTCGAGGACATCAGAACTCGAATACGAAACTTTCGCTACTGAGCCGCTACGGTATTGTCTTATAATATCTATATAGTATATGCTGAAGACCTGGGTATTTCTATAATCAACTAAGAATCTCAAAAATAAGATGGAATGCTTCGTTACCAGTTAAAAGGGATTTCACTAGTTTCACGCTGGTGTTCTGTGTGAGGGTGGTCGATCCCCAGTCCAGCAGCTGCAAATTCATGCTGCAGCCATTTAGAATAAAGTAAAATAGAATAATTTTTATTCAATATACTGAATGACCTTTTTTACCGTCTGGAAAAAATAGGGTGTAACATGTGAACGGAGTAGAAGCCTATGGCACTGATATTTTACATACTATAAAAACAAAAATTTTGAATTAAAATAAATAAATTAATTAAAATCTATCAAAATTCAAATCATATCCACCCTACTTTATACAACAATAAATTTAGTAGGCATCTTATCAACTCCACAGATGGTAAAAAAGTCATCCAATATATTATTACATACCACTTATTGAAAGTTTTCTTATTTATCACTGGTTTGGAAAATACCTTTGTCTTGGGCAGAACCTGAAAGAAACTTAGCGGGATTATATTTTTTTAGACATATATATCTTTACAATAAGTTTGGACAATCTTATACGTACATGAATTTAATCGAACCAGCGTGGTAGCGATCATTTCATTTCATTTTACGAGTATACAGCTGCAGCGTGGCTCTACCACATAAAGTAGGGTACAAATACAAAACATAAACAAAGTTAATTATTTCAGCGTGAGCAGCACGTTAGTGAGAGTTCCAATACCAAAGGTATCAATCTGGATCTATATCTGCGCCGGCGTCGTTGCACTCTTGGTCATATTTGTTTTAGTAATAATCTTTTACGAAGTAAGTTGAATTAATTTTTTAATTTTCGATCTCATTTTCAATCTCCATCAGCCCATAAATAGCCATCTTCTGGAAATGGCCCTTTCCCATGGTTGGTAAGATTCTCATAATTCTCACAGTTAGTATACAAATAAGCAATCTGAATACTAGATGATTAGTCGGTGCTTCCCATCGCCTTTCTTTGAATTCACTATTTATTATTTTTATTTATACCCTAGAGATGGAGAAAAAACAAGTAAACGAAGTAGAAGTCTATGGCATATATATTTTTCAAATTAATAGTTTTTTCATTGACTTTTTATCAAAATTACTAATTCGAAGAAATCTTTTTACCTACAGGGATCGTGGAAAACTTCTTTTCCAAGATCCCTGTAGGTATCGCTGTTTAGAATATAGGTGACAAATGAGCACCCAGTCCACCTGATAGTAACTCACCTACATCTATCCTTAACTAGGAATCAAAATTTGGAAGCGTTGTCACACCCGAGACACTACTGAGACTACGATAAAATGCCTATTTAACAACAAAATAGGTAAGTTCTTAAGCCGCTGGTATATAATCAGCTCAGTACTTTCCTTCGTAGTAATTATTTTTTAATATACATATAATCCTCTATAATGTGGTTCTCGTCCTGGGCATAGTACTGTCACAGCCTTGGTCAATATTACGGAAGATATTAGATCTACAAAATAAAATAGCAAATTAACTACCCTTTCTTTATTAGATTTTAGCAGTCTTTAATTTAGTTGATTTTAAAATTTTGCTAGATGTAATTATATTTCTGAACATATCTCCCACGGTGATTGATTGGTTTCAAAGTTACCTGTCTGGGCGCCGGCAATGTATTCTGGGCGTCGGTAATGCTTTGATGACACATTTTCTTCCTTGTGTGTGGCGTATTATCTACCCTACTTCTTTAAATTTTTATTGATTTTACGACCACCAAGATTACTTCTTCCTACTATACGCAAATAATCTTCAAATATTTAAATGTATATACTATATATATATATATATATATATATATATATATATATATATTGTTATTTATTTCTATATATTTTTGGGATTTGAAATTGTCTGGAAGAAATCGCTTTTAGCAAGAAGTCCGCCCATTGTGACTCAATTATTTTCTACTTTCGTTCATGTATTCTTTTGGTATAGAATATCTTTATTGTAAATGATAACTCTTGTAGTTGGTCTATTTTTTCTCTTCATCATTATCAGCCCATAATTATCCATATATGAAAAGATTTTTTACAATTGTCAAGCTTGACAGATGTCTTGGTTATCATATAACAGAAGACTCGCATCACTGACGCTACTCCACGTCACCGGTTAAGTTCTTTACATCAGTCACATTTTACGAGATAGAGGTATATCTAGATTTACCAAGATCTCTAAGGATTTTGCCGCATCTTGCGACACTTATAGGACGAAATAGGATGTTGGATTCTCTAATTATGATATTATGTATATATGATATTTATATATTATTATTTAGATATAATTATATATGATATTTATTAAATATTGAAATAAATTCTGCTTTCCATATTTTCCTTAAACTTTAATATAATATTATTTTTAATTCTTTTGATATTTACAGTGTGGCTTCTTGCAACGAAAGAACAAGGAAATGCTTAAAAATTTAAAACAAGACGTCAGACGACAGAGCATGGTATTTATAATTATTTTATCTTCTATTAAATTATTCCTGATCAGATTGAACTGAAGAGCCGTGGTAGCTCAGTGGTTAACGCTCGCTGTAAATATAACAGAACGCGAGTAACCCGGGTTCGATCCCCGCCGGCACCAATGAAATTGTTAATTGCAATTTTAAGTGCTGATTTACCACGTGCTCGGCGGTGAAGGAAAACATCGTGAGGAAACCTGCATGTCTGAGGAAAAAGAACAAAAAAATATTTCAAAGACATGTGAAGTTCGTCAACAAGCATTTGGGCAGCGCCGCGGACACTTCCTTGCCCTAAACCCTCTCAGAAATGAGGGTAGGCCTGAGCCCAGCAGTGGGACGTATATAGGCTGTAACTTTACTTTTTTTTTAGATTGAACTTCACCAACTTTTATAAGAATGGTTTGGTTTACAAAACAAACTGAATTAAAATACTTATGCTCGTTTATACCAAAACCAATTAAAAACGACTAAAGCTATAATCACTTTTGTTACAGAGACGTACAATTTTACTGCGGGAGAGTATGCGTGCTTCCCAAAATCAAACAGCTGAAGATGTGAACCATCTTATAGATCCGATCGACACGCGTTCAGATGGTAATGTCCCTAATGCAGAATATCATAAAGATAGAGCTGAGACAAAAAAGAAACCCAAAACACGTGTCAAATGTTAATATATGAAATATAAATAAATTAAAAATATGAATCTAGTTTATTATGTTGCAATATCACAAAAGTTGTTTTTTATTAACATTTTTTTGTTGATGAATACTGAATTACTTAAAAAAAGGAAAACTTACTAAGGGAGATTGTGTTAAATCGATTTAACACAATCTCCTTATTTCACTATTCGTTTAAGTTACATAATTATTTATGTAACTTAAACGAAATCTTAAAAGTTCCAAAAACAATTCGCTACGTTTAACTAAAATAACGTATTTCTTGTTTCAACATTCCCATGTTAATAGTGACAAAAGGATCAAAAGCATGTGCTGATGAGAGGAACATTATTCCAAGCTCAAAAATATTGTTTTTGAGCGTTCATCGATAATGAACCGATTCTAATTAATTTTGTGTGTGTGTGTGTGTGTGTGTGTGTGTGTGTGTGTGTGTGTGTGTGTGTGTGTGTGTGTGTGTGTGTGTGTGAGTCCCTGGATGGTTTAGATTTACAATTGAACGCGGTAGGTGGAGCTATTGTCGAGATCCAGGAATCATCTGTGCAAAGCAGAGGTAGATCACTAGGAAATTATAATCTCGAATTTATTAGTACAGTTATATTTTAGTTTGGAAATAATTAAACGTTTAATAAAAAGTGCAAACCCACTTCAAAACATAACGAAATTCCACATAATACGAGGCTGCTGAAATCGGTGCTAAGCTGCTAAGATCTAGTGTATCGAAACATTACAGCCTCGAATACTAACCCTTATAGAATTTGTATTCGGTGCTAAGACTAAGTATTGAATTAAAACCTTCACTTCCGAAGCAATTGTGTGAAAATTATTTTCGTATTTTTGTTTTGAAGTTGGTTTAGTGCTTTTTATTAAATTTTTATTCCTTTACTAATGACTATCACAAGTTCAAAGTAACATTTTGAACTTAGAGTAGTTATCCTAAAAATTTAGATCCCCTATATTCCACCCAGGGGAATAGATTTTTAATTTAAATTTATATAAGACCTCCTTTTGTAGTAATATTTATTAAATAATTTATTAAATAAAAAATCATTCAAACGGACGGCAGTCATTTCCAATAAATCGGTGAACATTCATAAAAACATAAGCTTCGAATTTTCAAACTAGTGAATATATTAATATTGTGTCTGAAGTCGAGACTTTGTTGAACAGAGTCTCGACCTTCAGACACAAGCTTGTACCAGTACCGGTAATATTGGCATGGCGGATGTATAAGCATCACTAGTGTTGTCGTCCGCATAGCAATGAATGTTAACCGGCTATACATGTTGGCCGAGCGAAGGCGAGCACCAACGTATAGACAGCCCATTTGTCCAGCCTCGGCATTACTCGTCGACGCTCGCCTAGCTGACCGAGTGAAGGCGAACGCTAACGTGTATACGGTTCGTTTGGCATGCCTTGCCGACGCTCGGGATCGTTCGCTACGAATCGACCACTTCGAAACAGTGTCGGTTTTTCTGCACAAATCAAAGGCCCTCGCCTGCACTCGGCAAGTCGTGTCCACATGTCCATTGCAGTCGCCCATGCCCATTTCAGTCACAGCTTGGCGTCCGTCCCGGTAAGTTATTAATTTAATTAAGTTGCAACTTTAAAATAATTTCGACAATTTCACTGTACTAACAAGGACATCTTTAAGTTTTTTACATTACTGCGGAGTACACAGACACAATAATTATACGCACTTATTAAATAAATAGCAGAAGCTACAACAACTTTTACGTCGTCCATATCATACCAATTCTCAATGACGACTAATTACGGCCAACATGTAGATAACTCCACAAAAACTCGTGCACATTGGCCTTGGAATTGGTCTCTTTCGAACTTGACCAACGTGTAGACTGTAGCACTCACCTTGTATCAATTTGTCTACGCTCGCGTTGGTCGCGTCGGCTTGGCCAACATGTATTGCCGGGGTTACCGGGATATGCAGAAGAAACAGCGTATGTGATAGCACGCAGCCTTGTGTAACACCAGCATTAATGGGCTTGTAATCGTAGCATATACCTTCTACTCCTTGATGCTCCGATCTGCCAAAAAACTGGTGATCCATTTGTACAATTTCTCGGGAAGCTCATAGAAAGGAAGCTTCGTTAGAAGCGCTTCGTGCCAAACCCGATCGAAGGCCTTCGCTATATTCAAACTAACAGCCAAGGCCTCCTCCTTGGACTCAACTGCCTCCACCCATCTATGAGTTAGGTAACCCAGAAGATCACCAGCCGAGCGACTCCGACAGAAACTGTACTGGTGGTCACTAACCAACTGGTGAACCTCAAGGTACCTCATGAGGTGGCAGTTTATAATAGATTCCATTATTTTACACATTTATTTTCCATACTTTTTTAATTCCCTCGTATTTATTTAAGCTTTAAATTTTTAACTAACGGGCACTTGTTGTAATTCCACATGAAATAAAAACTCTCTGTTTTCCTCTATGCAGATTCCTTATCTCTATTCGTCTTTATATTTGCTATGCTGACAATATGTTGGTGGTAGCTAGTGGGGCCACCTTCGAGAAGTCCTTGGAGCTTGCTGAGCTTAGGGCGGAAGTGGTAGTCACCAAAATCCACGAGTTGGGATTACTGTAGCGCCTTACAAGACCGAGGCCCTATGGTTCCATCGATTACGATGCAGTGGGAAACCACCCGACTCGTGTGTCCACGTGGGTAGGTCTAAAGTCAGAGTGCGGCGGTAAATAGAGTACCTAGGCCACTATCGATGTCAACAGCCACAGCAACACTTCGCCTAGTCTCCCAGATTGGAAGGGTAGCGGGTGCTATGCATAGACTGCTACCCAATGTTGGAGGACCGAGGAAGTATGTACGTCACCTATATGCTGGGCTAATACCATCCGTATGCCTGTATGGGGCACCTGTGTGGGAGAAAAGGCTGGCGATCCAATGGAGTGAGCCAGATGAGGCGTTCGAGGGATATGCTTACGACTATGCATTCGGAATGTGGCGCGATCGTCTCTGTGAGAAGCTTTATGAACGCAAACAGGTTGTTCAATCAATCCTGCTGCACTTTGAAGCCCGGATGCATAGACGGCCAGGAATATTCACCTACAAACTTACTGGGCACTGATGCTTCGGTGATTATTTGTTTAACGAACTGCATGCCCTGAGGTAGGCGGGACCGGGACTTCGGCTCCCACTTGGAGGCGACGTCTCCAAGACATTCGTCACGGCTCTCCCCATCATGACGGTGTTCTTCGACCAGAAACTGGGCCTCTGGGGTTGCAGTCGCTCGAGGCGGGGTCCCCAAATGCCTTGTGTTGTAATCCCTTAGGGGTTCATGACGTGAAGACAGCAAACAACCAGGGTACTGGGGGTAATAGGAGCTACCCTCGGGTCGTGTTAATAGTCAAGCGAAACGATGGAGGAGCCCCAGTTGCGTTCCAAACGGAGATTCCGTGACATCCCGTATGCACATATATGCTAATAATAACTTTAGCCGGTAGAAGTCAGGCATAACCCAGTAGTGGCGCTGTCGTCGCGCCACTAGCACACCGAAACACACCGAAGCCTAAATCGCGCTATTAACATTCCGAATCATAAACAGTATATATAGAACATCTCCGAATTATCACATGGAGTGTTGGCCGCTCCCCGGGCAGAACACCTTGCCCGGCGGGAGATCTCCCCTTTTCCTTTCTACGGCCACAGTGGTGACTACCCGAAGTGATCTGACCACGTACCCAATAACCTTCGGAAACTTCAAGCTTCATCATCGTCCCAGAATATCCCACCCATTCGCTCCCGAGCAGATATCCTCTGCAGTCTTCATATCCTGCAAGCCATCTAGCTTCACAAGGTTCATCGCAGCACTGGAATAATAATGCTTCCTGTTCCTTCAAGCTACTCTCTACGCTACAGTGTTCGGCACGGCTCTGAGCCTTACTGCTCGCCTCTGCTTCACGGCACTCTCGCAGATTACTTGCCTTCTTCTCGACTCACCGCAGACTACAAGGCAACTCCTGGCACTTGCACATTCGTCGGCAACGAGGCTGCACTATCGACCTCCGGTCTGAGCAGGGGGTGATGTAGCGGCGCTGTCGTCGCGCCACTAGCACACCGAAACACACCGAAGCCTAAATCGCGCTATTAACATTCCGAATCATAGACAGTATATATAGAACATCTCCGAACTATCACACGGAGCGTTGTTGGCCGCTCCCCGGGCAGAACACCTTGCCCGGCGGGAGCTCCCCTTTTCCTTCCATGGCCACAACCCTTTCGTTGTACTCACATCGAAAGGTATCACAATATTAATTGTAATTATTGTTATTACTTTATCTGCTGTAAGTTGTTTTTGTGTTTAATTAATAAAACTCATTTACATTAATCGATTAAAGTAATCGATTTCTTATTTTGTTCTCGAAAAATACTTATTTTTAAGATTTCTCATCTTCCAGATTGTGAATTGGGCTAATTTTCTATATTTTGAAATGGGAAAATATACCGTTTTTTTAACCCATATTTTCAACTTATTACAAATGGGCCCAGAAATCCCCGTCTCCTTTTTAGGTTTAATTATAGATGACAATATAAATTGGAAACCACATGTACACGATGTTTTTATTAAAATAAGTAAAATCGCGTATGCTCCTAACAAATAAAATACATAACAAGCGTAAAAATCGCTGTCATGTCCTACCATGCATTACCTAGGAATCATCACTGGTCTATGATCTTATAATGTGGGGTAACAGCACTGATCATAATAAAGCATTTTTCGAGCAAAAAATGTATTAGAGCGATATGTGGGCTTAAACCGAATGAATCGTAATGACTTCTTATATTTACGGGAAAACTACATGTCAAAGGAAACTAATTTTCCGGATTTTATTGTGTTTAATTATAACTTTTTAAAGATTTTCCCACGGTAGTTAACCGTTTAAATATCGATTGGTATGCGTCATTTTCTCATACACAGCGTGACCAATAGTGTTATGTTGTATCCGAAATCCTGATCCACAAGGGTCTACAGTCTGTGACCATGTTGAAGGTCGTCCCCGCCATTACGTTAGATTTGATACACCACAAATCCTCGCAAAATAATACCGATTCCTACCAAGGATGATTCGTAAGGCTTGAAATTAAGAAAACATACTAATTTCAATAGAAAAGATGGTTGGGTGCTGCCACCTGCTTGGGATTCTTTAATCAATAAAATGAAATCCAAACCCAAGCATACCACTGTAAGATTTTAGGGTACTGTAAGCTCATTCTGCGTAGATTGTACAAAAAATAATATTCTAAAACTGAATGTAGCCGGGCTACCTATGATACTGGGACGTCAATCACCTCAGTTCCCCCCGTGACCATAGGTGCTGTAAAGCACCCGAAACGTCAGGAATTTAAAATTAAACGCGATAAAATCCGTAAAATTAATTTCATTTAACGAATTAATCGTGTCGTGGGGAGGAATGGTTCGAAATTAATTTTTTGGGTCATTTTGACTGATTATTGAGAAATCGGCCCTAAATGAAACAAAACATTTCGTAATTACCTTGTGTATTATGACAACAATATTGATTTAGTATTTTACTTTATAATATATAATCAGTAATCAAAAATTATTGAATACATAGGAAAATTAACAAAATGCTAAGAATGAAATTGTAACAATTTAAAAAATAATCATTTAGCTCGCACTTTTTTAATCTCCTTCTCGCAAATGAAGCCATACTGGTGAGAGCAGTCTACGTCATTATATTTGCCGTCGTTTTTAAATATGGTCCCACAGTATTCGTTGCCAAAAGCGTTGTTAGGCTCGTTGAGCGACCACTGATTGAAACCGGCCTCTTCTAATGTTTGATCTGCAAAGAATATTTGAAACATTTTAATAAATATTTTCATTTTTTCCCTTTCTTTTTTTAAATATTTCAAATATTATTGAGCTGCCTGTACCTGTAGTTGGACTTTACCTATCCTTACTTCCTATTAACTTCCTATTTATTAAATTTCCCATATTAAACACGTACTGAACATAATGAAATGTTCATCTCATAGATATAGAAAATTTTTCGTTGACACCAATATTTGGGCGAGGTTCTCTACCAAGCGTGGTGCTTACGGTGAATACTGTGTATGAATTGAATTGTGGATTGTAGTGGAAGACGGTGGTACCAAGTGGGTAAGCAGTTTTCTGCGATCTGATGTAAAGTAGAGATAGATAGATAAAGTGGAGGGCCAATAAGTATACTTTCATCTTTATACTCAAAAGTAGTTAGTTAGTACCAGTTCTAGCTCACTGAGTCGGAAGTGGTACAACGTTCGTCGACTCATGATCCTAAAAAAAAATTGATATCCGGTGAGGGCCTCCACCGTTATTAGCACTCCATTGTTCTTATCTATTTATCTATTGTTCATTGAATACCGTCATTATCTATTCTTCCTCAGCGTGTGCGTCGGATTATCAGTGCTATTGTATTATACTTCTTTGTTCCTATCTACAACGCTAATCTGAATCATCAATAAAATAAATTACCTAATTTTGTTAAAATTTTTATTTACAAAATACAAAATTCAATTACTTATTATCTATAAAATAGGAGCGAAACATCTCATCCACTAAAATATCGTTGTACAATGTGTTCCCTGTAAATATATTCGTAACAGCATTGAACATCTTGAAACATATAGCAAATACATTAAGCAATATTCGCCACAAGCTGAAGTCCACTCATTCTGAATCCTATCAACATTCCAGTTCCATCTTTTAAAATTCCTTTTTAAAAACTCTAGATGATATCGTACAGGTGCTCGTCCATATGGATCAAAATATTGACCGACGTCATTCGTATCGATATACAAAGCTACCCAATGTGACCCTGGTTTATCATCTGTATCCAAATTGCATATTATATACGTTGGTACGTGGGTGTACATGGGCAGTCTATTTGCAGCATAAACATTATTTTCTAGACTGGGGTGAATCTTTTTCAGATGTCGGTCGATACATCTAGTGTATCCATGATATTACTACTATTAGTAGATTATTACAGTACAATCTACTCAATGACTATCATAGGAATGATCAATTATAGTGATTTCTAAATATTAAATTGCATTATTTTGTGTTATACAAAACGTATTTGAGTCATCAATACACTGAACAAAACGCAACACGAAGTAACGCTGAGATAAGCAACAGAATGTGAGATAAGCTTGTTGACGCATAAAGTAACTATCAATTCCACTGCAGAAATTCTTTAGATTAGAATTATTACTTACTGGTACTATATAAGACCAAGCAACTGCAGTCATGGAGTTAGTGTATGGTCGTTTGATCGCAGTGGATCTATCAATACTACATTTGTGTTACTTCAACGCATCAAAGGCCATGGATGTAAGTGATTATTCTAATGACAAACTTACTTTTCTTTCTTTCTGTGTTAACAAAATATATTCAAATATTGTGTGTGCATATGATTAAGCCGTGGTAGCTCAGATGGTTAGCGCAAGCTGTAAATTACACAGTACATTAGTTTTTTGGTTTTAATAAACATCAAGTTGACTAAAATTCACTTTTTAGTCAAGTTGATGTTTATTAAAACCAAGCCAATTATTTACAGGTGCTACTATTGTAGTAGATATCAAGTTAGTTGAATCTTGATTTAATTCTTTTGCCTTTATGTGGAGTAATGTATGACACAAATCTATGTAGTCATCGCCTGTCCCAGGAACTTGAAACTCGATAGGTCCATCATCACCAAGAGATGAAATTGGTTTATAATGAATCCACAATCCATTTTCAATGCTAGTTTGTGTAGGCGGTAGTGCAAACAAATCCAATTCTGACTTAACGCACTCGCAAGAATGATTATGAAGGAAAGACATATTTAATTTGAAAATATATCTTTGATATTTTTTGGCTTTAGACCAAGTTTTTTCGCAGCTTTCACTTTAGCAGTTAATGGTGGAATGAACGAGGTCAATCGTTTTCTTTTAGTTTTATACCCAGATCCTGTCATGTTAAATTGATAAATTTTCTCATCAGCCTTTCGTTTTAAATTCGTACTAACTTGCTTTAGAAGATCTTTTATTGAGGCTTCCATAGGACGCGCTTGAACCATATCCGATAAAAGTCCTACTCCAGCGCTTAATGCCTCCTTACCAATCACTCGAGCACCACTTGAAAGTAAAGGTAAAACTGATCTAAATAACCCCCCTAAGAAGCTCCCAATGCCATGACCGCGTTGGTATGGTGAACCCTTATAAATTACTCCAACTCCTGACCCAGCCTGATGTGTATAATAATTTTCATATGGACATTTATGATGATCACGAAGAGAATTCATTATTATAATTTTCGGAAATGTAGTTTAATACACACGGTTCCAAAGTGGAATGGTATTTTTTTGTCCTGTGCTCGATCTTATAACTATTTCCAGCGTATCGAACTCTCTTCGCATAACAGGTAAGTAGTGAGGTTGAGAGAAAACGTGCATTTTATTTGCACCATAAATGTATTTTGTAGGATCTAATGAAATGACTCTTAGTAAAGGAGTCATAACATCACCCACAATCTGAAGATCGATAATGTCGCAATATATAAAGAGTTGAGATGGTAACCCTAAGTGTAAATTAGCAGGACACTTTCCAAAACTTCTCTCTAGGAGATTTTTATTTGGTTCATAACCTAGTTGTAAACTTAATTTGGGTGATAATGTTACGGATGTTATATTTTTATCTAAAACAGAAATAGACACAAATTTTGTTATTTCGTCATAGCGAAATTTCAAGTTCTCTCCGATACCATTTAACACTCTTAAAATATGCTCAACGTTATCATAATTGGTAGCTGGAATATGTTTTTTGTAGTACACTGTGGATGGTTTATCTTCATTAGGCATTAACATAGATTTTGTAATGTATATAACATTTTCATGATCTTGAACAGTAAACATGGTACATGGATATTGAAACTCGACAACTCCAATCGACCATTCACCTTCTAATTTAATAGCTTTTGGTAATTACGTTGAAAAATTTGTGGTCTTGTTATCAGGAAAGTATTCCATTGTACTATTGCTGAGCAAAGTTAAATAAAAACTTTCTTTATTCATATTTCTTTTAAACTAGAAGCTAAAATCCAACTGTTAAATTTATCTGGATAACTGGATGAAGGGGAAAGCCACTTCACTAATACTTCTTTTCTGTTACCTGAATAATGAGTGTCAATTATTTTATCCGAGTATTTTATATTGTGAGGTGTGGTTGTAAGTGATTTTCTGTAAATCTCTTTCATAAAAAGTATCTATCAACTATTGGTTCATTTTGTAAATCTGTTATTGTATAAACAACCCATGGAGATCTGTCAATTATTGAGGATATAATAAATATTTCACCACTCCAATTTGATTCATATCCTTTTTTGGAAAACATGTTTATATTTAGTTATTCGAACATAATCACACACATTGAAATTTGGTTTATGATTTTCTAAAGAAAGTTTATTTGACCGTCTATCATAAAGATTAGTAAAAACTGTCATAATATTGTTGAAATTTGCATCACATGGGCACATCTTAATACTAGCGTGAAGGCTGTGATTATAAGAGTATATTAAATCTTGTAAAACATCTATATATTTATAAGTAATTATGAGTGAAATAACGCCACATATACATTTTTAGTGTTCTTTGAAATCGTTCAACAATACTGGCCTTAATATCAGGATTGTTAGTGGTATAGTAATTAATCTTTTTGGATTTAAAGTTTTTTTTGTACATCTTTTGAAACAAATTCTGTACCTTTATCAGATTGTATGTGAGTAGGTGTAAATTTCTTTCAGTAAATATACTTTCAAAACATTCTCTAGTTGTTTCTGAGATTTTCTTTTTCATTGGTCTTGCAAAAGCATATTTACTAAATACATCAATAACACAAAGTATATATTTGATACCATCATTATATTGAGAATAAGTTCGCATATCACTTAAATCAGCTTGCCACACTTCATTAATATTTGATAGAATGTACTTATTACGCTGGAATTTTTTTCGAATGGGTTTATGTAATGTGTAAGTTTCTTGTGATTTTAACCATTCCTTTACTTGCTTTTTATTCATTTTACCCTTCATGGCTTTTGATAATTTATCAATACTACCAAAACCAGCAGGATTAGATGGATCATAATAAATCCTGTTAATTTCTTCTAGTACGGGGTCCATTTTTCCCACTCAAGCCTTTTACGTATTTTAGTTGTTACTTTTTATCTCTACTGCTCGGTGTAGAAAACTCTATTTTAGTTATAGATTTTGTATCTCCCCTACTCGGTGTAAAAAACTCTTGAACTTCAATCTCAGAGGGTTTGTTCAGATCTTTTGCTTGAAGTTGGTTAATAAACTCACATCTCCTTGGATTTCCAATATAAGTAAGTGGTACTTTAATATTTTTTAATGCTTCAGAAAATCTATCCCACCCTACTGGATCACTTTTTTAAGGGTCTTAGTGAATCATTTATTAAATCAACAATATTACTTCCAGGAATTTTTTCATTATCAATTATGACTATACCTTCATTATCCCAATGTATTTTACTTTTACTTGTTTTAACTACGTTTAATAATAACTGTCCTTTTTTATTATAAGTTTTTGGTATTAAACTTAGTATTTGAGCTGGTGCGTAAAGGGGATTTTCATCATTTTCTTTACTTTTACTGGATCGATTCTCCTCCAACAAATATTCAGTATCAACTGAAGTTTTTAGATCTCTATCTTTATTTTTAAAACCAATTTTAGACTTATTTGAATCTTCATTAGATGTAACAGAATAAATTAGTAATCTGAGCGGTTGACGATCCTCTTCGATAAAATGAAGGTATCTTTGCAGTGTTTGTAAATATAACATCCATTTCTTTCGGTCTTCCGTCTTACTATTTAGAATATTTTGCATTTCAATATCTAATCGAAACAAATAACTATTAACCCTATTTTCTTGTTTTAATTTTTCAATCAATCCAGGTTCGATAAGTATCATTTTCTTTGCATTTTCCATGTTAACTGGCTAGTCCACTCACTAATCCACTCAATATTGCACCTAATATTATTGGTAAGAAAGCCCCCTCCTTTTTGTATAATTATATTTTTTCTTAGTTTATGTTTACACTTACACATGACGGAGTATATTTTTGTGTTTATTCAATTTTTGCTTATCTTGATCTTTAAGAGGTACTTTTCCTTGTAAAACATTATGAATATATTCACAAATACAATTTATTTCTTCTTCATCATACGTTTTAAGTAATGCTCTTTGATATTTTGTTTGATAGGTTGTGAGTCGACGATGCATCATTTAGAAATGATTTGAATTGTTTGATTATTGGTGTATTTAAACTCTTTTGTGGGGAAGTAGACTGTACAGAAACCATTAAATGGGAAGACATTTGTCTTGATACGACAAAAATCATTGGTATTCTGATATTGGTAATCTACCATTAAATATCCATGTGCCTCTAGAGTTGCATCCCTGTAGGCATCTTCAATGAATTTTGGGTTATCTGGTGACACTTGTCGTGCTAAATATCTTATTTGAGTTTTATCTCGAGGATTTTTAAAATATATTATATAACTTGAGTTTAAAGATATGTCTCTTAGCCCTTTACCCTGATGAAATAAATTTTGTGTTAAATAAAATACACTGAGATTCCTGAGATGACTACCTTTTGTAAATATATCCACAATTCTTCCATCGGACTCTCTCATAAGATCATCAATAATAACGAGATGTGGGTTTTCACCATCAAACATATTAAGATTTGGAATTCCTTGATGATAGTTAACATTTGGTAAATTATATAAAGGTTGCATTTCATCAAAGCACCATGTGATCTGATTAAAATCACAATTACATATTTCTGTAACTGATTTTATGAAATTTGTTATTTCCCACTTGGTCCTGCCACAATAGCAGTAAACGGATGTATAAAGTGAATCATTACACACGTCTAAAGTACTAAGGGGTGAAATAAAAAATGAAAGTGTTGGTGAAAACAATTAAATATATATTGTGTACTATAACTAATGCTTTTTGGAAAATCAAACAAAATTTATGATTAATTAAAATTTTATTTTCAAGCAATAACCACTTGTAAAAAACCCACACTTCGTCACAAGAACAATGTAAAATTTTGAGATTATTTTTTTGCAAATATATGATTATTACACACATAACGTTTGTTTAAATTTATGACATTTACCAAATCATTGTATTTTGGACATTTGCATTCTTCAATATTAAAAATTCTATCATTCGTCGTCAAATAAAATGTATTTCTGTTGAACCACCTTTGTATGCGATCACTTCGTCTTTGCACAAATTTCTAATATACCAATTTAATATGGGGATGACGTTCTCTTGTTTGTAGGCACATTTTAATTCTTCGGTCACATCAAAATATGAAATGCCGTACACGTGTGTTTCACAATAACGAACAGTTTTTTTTTGTCTTTTGACGACAAATAATTGAAAGGATAACTTGGCCGAAACAAATAATGATCGATAAACGCATCATTTTCATTAGATAGTTTTACGTCTAGAATAGCCATTTCTCTACATTGAAAATGTTTATGAGGATATGTAATGTAAAATCCGTCCATGTCGATGATGTATCTAATATTTTTTATATTTTGTGTCATTTTGAACCAAAATGTTAAAAGTATTTACACGTGACTAAAAATATGTTTGTTCCAACAAACTTCACATAACAATGCTTCATTACTTCCCATCATCCCATTTCTTCCTTCTGTTCTTGTCTTCCTGTAATTTAAGTAAACAGAATCACATTCACTAATTATCAAATAATGACTGTCATAGTTAAAAAAGTATTTTTTAACTACTCTAATATTCGTAGATGCGGTACACACACAATATTTAAATATAACATTTGTTAACACTAAATCATACACACGTAAGAAAATAACAGAAATAAAAGTAAGTTTGTCAATAGAATAAACACTTACATCCATGGCCTTTGATGCGTTGAAGTAACACAAATGTAGTATTGATAGATCCACTGCGATCAAACGACCATACACTAACTCCATGACTGCAGTTGCTTGGTCTTATATAGTACCAGTAAGTAATAATTCTAATCTAAAGAATTTCTGCAGTGGAATTGATAGTAACTTTATGCGTCAACAAGCTTATCTCACATTCTGTTGCTTATCTCAGCGTTACTTCATGTTGCGTTTTGTTCAGTGTATTGATGACTCAAATACGTTTTGTATAACACAAAATAATGCAATTTAATATTTAGAAATCACTATAATTGACACATCATTCCTATGTTAGTCATTGAGTAGATTGTACTGTAATAATCTACTAATAGCAGTAATATCATGGATACACTAGATGTAACGACCAACATCTGAAAAAGATTCACCCCAGTCTAGAAAATAATGTTTATGCTGCAAATAGACTGCCCATGTACACCCACGTACCAACGTATATAATATGCAATTTGGATACAGATGATAAACCAGGGTCACATTGGGTAGCTTTATATATCCATACGAATGACGTCGGTCAATATTTTGATTCATATGGACGAGCACCTGTACGATATCATCTAGAGTTTTTAAAAAGGAATTTTAAAAGATGGAACTGGAATGTTGATAAGATTCAGAATGAGTGGAGTTTGTGGAGTCAATGCATGCATATAAGTTTTACGAATATATTTACAGGGAACACATTGTACAACGATATTTTAGTGGATGAGATGTTTCGCTCTTATTTTATAGATAATAAGTAATAAGATTTTGTATTTTGTAAATAAAAATTTTAACAAAATTAGGTAATGTATTTTATTGATGATTCAGATTAGCGTTGTAGCTAGGAACAAAGGAGTATAATACAATAGCACTGATAATCCGAAGCACACGCTGAGGAAGAATAGATAATGACGGTATTCAATGAACAATAGATAAATAGATAAGAACAATGGAGTGCTAATGACGGTTGATGCCCTCACCGGATATCAATTAGATAAGAGTTAATTGATCTGCACATCTCTTCTCTTTTTTTTAGGATCGTGAGTCGACGAACGTTGTACCAATTCTGACTCAGTGAGCCAGAACTGGTACTAACTAACTCCTCTCAGAGATGGCGACGCATATCCATGTAGCCTTTTTGTTTAGAATTTACTATTTGGAGGTTGGCTGTTGCGATGCAAGAACTCATCATCATCGTTTTTAAAGAATAAGAGTGACAATCGAGCACATTAGTCCGCCCTATGGTAAGTCGATGCTGTGGTCCGCTGATATTTATATCTACCCTCAATTAAGTATCAAAATCCAGAATTCATTATTACTTCAGAGAAGTAAAATGAAATGCCTCGGTTTCCAGTAATAGATCACTGAACTCACGCTCTCACAGAACACCGGCGTAATATAGCTGCTTAACGCTATGTTTTGTATGGTGAGTGTAGAAATGCGGGAATCCTTTTTATTGTATACGAGGCATTCTATCTTAGTCCTTAGGGGTGACAGCGCATTAGCATTTTGATTCCTAATCGAGGATAGATGTAGATGTCTATGGGTATCCACTTACCATCAGGTATACTGTGTGCACGTTTGTCGCCTTTATTCTAAATAACAAATATATACCTTAAATAGTCGTGTTATATTTCCTACAGATCTACTCCGGATTATTGGAGTAATGTGACACGATATCAATAGACGAGAGCGTGCCAAAGCACAGGTGCACTCCTCACTCTGATAGTCTGATGGAATGACAATCCGACACGACCGGAGAGAGATCACACGCACGAACAACCGCTTTACGTTCTTTACAAATCACGGGATAACCGCAAACTTCCTGACTCCGGGTTGCTTCTATGAATTTCTTGTCAGACAAGCCTAAAACTTATTTTGGCGAAACCCGAGACATGCAGTCAGCAGTCGCCTTTACGACGACTCGACTTACGTGTCAGTTATTCATGAAAGATCCAATCATTAAAAATATAAATTTTATTTTTGGTTTAATAGTTATTAATATAAGAAGTATTATTATCCTTACTGAATATAGTCTTGAATACTCTAGGAGTGCCGTCTGTAGTCTTGTGTGCTCTAAAGCCAGCGAAAAAGAACCAGGTCGCTTTCGCTCCTATGACGTGTGGTGGGGTCTTTAATATATTGTAGATGAGTTGATCTTCCGTCATCGAGTTCAGCACAACGAGATGAGAACCTTCCGCACGACATTCCTCATACGCTTGGCTCCAAGAGAACGCGACGCGGGAAATCTTGTAACAGCTGCCCACACTCTCGTAGTATTGGTATCCTTATGGGAAAAAAAAGGTGGAAAACATGTAAAGCGGCGAAACGTTTTGCAGGTAAAATGTTATATAAATAAATAAGACTTTTAAAAAGTAAAAAGCGACTTCGAAGCGCTTAAAAGAATATTATAATTTTCACATAATAGTATATATATATATATATATATATATATATATATATATATATATATATATATATATATATATATATATAGAGAGAGAGAGAGAGAGAGAGGAGAGGAGAGAATAGGACAAAGGAATATGACAAGCTTGAAAGTCATTCAGTTACATTAAAAACTTCAATTTTATGTGTCAATCAAAATATTAAAAAAAAAATCATTAAAATCAGTCTACCATCAATTAGGAACATAGACAGTTGAATTTTGACTCTTCTTTTTTTATATCCGACATTTTTTGTTCGTGTGAAAGGTGTTTCGTTCGAAGGTGTTCTTAGCTATGTTTAAAGAAATGTTTATATATAAATGTTTCGTGAAATTTCTTCAGCCGTTTTAAGATCATCTGCTCTTTTTGTTTCGGTTTTTTTTTTAATTAAAGTTATTGAAGACTGCAAAAATAATTAAGGCCGTTAGGTGAAGTACTTAATTATTTTGAGTTTTTCTATAATCAATTGGGCTAGGTACCCTCGACAGAGATCTTAATTGTTGTTAAACAAGCAGGTGGTACTACAGATATGAACAAGTAGCAGCAGTGGATTGTTTCAGAGGTGATGAAGACAGTAAGAAGAATTAAAATTTTATTTTAATGATCAATAACTTTTTACTGTTAAAAATAATACAATAAGTACATTAAGCAAACATCTTTCTTCTTCTCTCTTTAAATAAATTGATTGAAAGCCCTTTGACAGACTTTGATCTACCTTGATGGCAAAACCTAGAAGTGGCCTAAGTTTTTTATACGTAAATCAGTGAGTGAAAAAAATAACACTCGTCTGACCATAATCACTAAGCTACTGTAATAGCTTTATTTTTATAGGATATGGGTAACAAACGAGCACACAATCCACCTGATGGTAAGTGGTTGCTGTGGGCCGTACGTTTGTCCTCGATTACGAGTTAAAATGCAGATGCGTTGTCACCCTTGATGACTAAGATGGAATATCTCGTTTCCAGTAAAAGGGATCTTCGGTTCTCTACACTTACCATTCGAAACACAGCAGCGTTAAGCTGCTATTTTACGCTATATTGTGTGAGAGCGTGGTCCTTACCCAGTCGAGCCGACCCACTCGTGCTACAACTATACGAGTAATGCAGCTGCAACATGGCTTTACCACGTGCATGACTCTACTACGTTTATTCGTTCAATTTGTAATTTTAGATATTCACGGGGTCATCAAATTTTAAGTGAACTACTAGAACTACTAGTTTTTGAATAATGCGTTTCGAATGTAGTACGGCAGTGTGTATTATTTACACGAACCATTCGTGTAAATAATACACACTGCCAGTGTGGCGGATTTTTCTTTTCCGAATTTTGAAAAGTGAGTTACTGCCATGTGTCTAGATTTCAGCAGCATCGATGTTAAAAGACGTCTGGCAATGCACCAACAAAATCCAGAGAAGACTACGGGAGAGGACGCTGCCTTGTAGTATACTTTTACAAGCTGATGAAAAAGAATGAAGATTATAATTAAGGTTAACATCGAAAAATATGGAAACAAAACGCACTTACGCACCATCGCCATAGACATCACACTCTGGGTCATAACGCGCACTCTCAGCTTTAACTTTGCAGATAAAAGGCAAAAGGGAGAAACAGGTGTGAGTTTCTACATCACCGCTACGAGTCAGCACTTCACATTCGTTTTTCTTCGACAGAGTTATATCCGTTGGAGCATCCACTACAAAAAATGACGTAATCGATAAGCAATCCAGTTATAAATTGAAAAACAAAACATTAACTTGTTAAATCCAAATGTGCATGCCTTAAAGAGTGAGTTATAGTGCTGAGGGCCGCGGGTTCGAATCTCGCACGGAACAAGTATTTGTATGGCCTACAAGTAATTGTTCCAGGTTTGGATGTTTGTCCTTGTGCAATCTATGTATGTAAACTACCTCCACGATACAGGAGAAAATCCTAGTATGGGGGTAACGTTTTTTTTTTAATAAGAGGGTATTATCATAAAATCTAGTCAATTTTACCTGACTAGTTAATAATTTCTATTTCTCATCAACTTTATTTCGTTTTCAAAAAGTTTTTCATCTAGTCATATCTAACCAGTATTTTAATTTAGCATTCACTCAGGTCACTCCATAAGTCCAAGGCGTACTCGTATAAGTATATTTATATATAAGTCCTACGTACTTTTAGCGAAACAATATATAGTAATGAAAATCTGATATAGTAATGAAAATTAGCTTGGTCAAGTATGTATCAAATTTGGTTTTTGGAATATTTTGTATTTCTATAGCGATCGATATTTTTCATCACGAGCCGCTGTAAACAAACGATACAGTAACCCGCTCACGGCGGCAACCGAGCCCGCAGCAGTAACCAGTGAGTTAAAGTGGATTTGTATTTTGTAAAATATTTTATTACAAGGCTGCCGGAGGCGGCTTTATTACAATACCCAAAATTTCGGAATTTCACAGCCGAAAAAAATTAATTATAACTAAACTAAACAAAATTGTACAGCCATTTATATCCCATGGCTTCCCACATGATAGATGAAGAGATTAAAAAATAGATTAAGTTGAACAATTGATATTTTAAAACGCTATCGTGTTTACCCCGCCATGCGGATTTGATAAATCAACACCACAAGCTATAACCACTTTTTTTAATGTAAAAATAACAATTACTAAAAAAAAAAAGTAAAAACATACCTCTATGCTTCATTTAATTTATTTTAGAACTACGTTTGCGCTTAAGACTACAATCGAATATATCTACTATACTATATTTTCAAGCCACTACACTCATGAAATATAATATTCTTCAGGAAAATTAAGCAAATTAGTGCTAACCTCCAGCTAATGTGTACATTAGAAGTAAAAATAACAGCCTTCAAGGCTAGGCAAGGAATCAACGACTGATTTTTGTTTGATCGGCCTCACCTCCGGCTTTGCGACTGGAGATGCAGCATAAGTGAAAATTGCCTATTCCTTTCTTATAGACCGGTACCCCCCTTGGCTGCGTTTCCTCTTGTGTTACAGATGGCTTGGTTCACGTTTAACCGATCATGCGGGGAGATCTGTTCATAATTTTGCCTTGGCATATGGTCTGACACAACTGGTTACTTCGCCTACGCGGATTCCAGATGTGGAGGATCATGCACCCTCCCTGTTGAACCTTCTGCTGACCTCTCACCCGGACGGATATCAGATTTCCGTCGACGCCCCTTTAGGCTCCTCGGACCATTGTCTTGTCCGGAGTGTGGTGCCACTCACGCTAAAATCGCAGTTGTATTCTGCAATTCTGTTTGGCACTATAGGTCAGCCGATTAGGATGGGTTGCGGTCTTTCTTTCCATCCTACCCTTGGGGGCGGGTTTGCTTCTCGCCGGACGATCCCAACGTTGTTGAGGATTCTGTCGCTGATGTGGTACTTCAGGGTATGGAACTTTTTATTCCTTCCTCTGTGGTGCCCATTGGAGGCAAATCTTAGTCATGGTTTGGTCTCTCCTGTAAAATATCATCATGCTATAAGCAGGAGTGCTACCAAGCGTGGGCTGCAACGCATCAACGTCCCGGGATATAAACACCAGCGGTCTAAAAAAGAAGTATAATTCAGCCTCTAGGTCCTTCAAAAGAGTCATTGCCAAGGCAAAGTCAGAGCACATAGGCAGAATTACCGAGAAACTAGTTCGCCTTCCTTCTGGAACCCGTGCATTCTGGTCTCTCACCAAGGCTGTCCAGGGGAATTTCTGTCAGGCCCATACCGCAAAGGAGAAAGCCGATCTTCTAGGCTCTTTCTTTGCGTCCAACTCGACTCTCGATGACGGGGGGGTACACCGCCGACCATCCCGCGGTGTGAGTGCCCATTGCCGGAAGTGCAGTTTACACAGCGCTCGTTTCGCAAAGCTCTCCTCTCCCTGGACATCCGCAAGTCGAGTGGGCCTGACGGAATCCCCCCAATTGTGCTGAGGACGTGTGCTCCAGAGTTGGCACCGGTTTTAACGCGTCTTTTCCGGTACTCCTACTCTCTAGGCGTAGTCCCAAAATCATGGAAGACGGCTTTCGTCCACCCGATTCCTAAAAAAGGCGACCGATAAGACTCGTCCAACTACAGGCCTATCGCCATCACCTCCTTGTTCTCCAAAACAATGGAGTCCATTTTAAACTGCTAGCTCATGAGGTACCTTGAGAATTACCAGCTGATAAGGACCGACAATACGGTTGTCGCCGTAGTCGATCAGCTGGTGATCTTCTGGTCTACCTAACTCATAGATGGGCGGAGGCAGTAGAGTCCAAGGGCCGTTAGTTTCGACATTGCGAAGGCCTTCGATCGGGTTTGGCACAAAGCGCTTCTTTCGAAGCTCCCTTCCTATGGGCTTCCCGAGAAATTGTGCGATTGGATCACCAGCTTTCTTGCAGATCGGAGCATCAAGGTCGTTGTAGACGATGCAAGCTCCGATTACAAGCCTATGAATGCTGGTGCTCCACACGGCTGCGTACTACCGCCAACGCTGTTTCTTCTGCATATCAATGATATGTTGCAAACCCGTAACATTCATTGCTATGCAGATGACAGCACTGGTGATACTCTTTACACCGGCCGTGCCAATATTTCTCGGAAAAACGTCTCCGAGTACCGGGACAAACTTGTGTCTGAAGTCGAGTCTTTGCTGAACAGAGTCTCGGATTGGGGGCGACTAAATCTAGTCCAGTTTAACCCCCAGAAGACACAAGTTTGCGCGTTAACCGCTAACAAGAACCCCTTTGTCGTATCTCCTCAGTTTCAATGCACTCCCCTAGTTGCCTCAGCCAGTATCGGAACCCTCGGCGTCGACATATCGAGTGACGTGCAGTTTCGTGGTCACTTGGAAGAGAAGGCCAAATTGGCCTCTAAAAAGCTTGGCGTGCTCAGTAGAGCGGGACAGTATTTTATGCCGGCACACCGCCTGCAACTTTACAAGGCGCAGGTTCGGCTGCACATGGAATACTGTTCTCATCTCTGGGCTGGAGCTCCCCAGTAACAGCTCCTTCCACTTGACCGCAACCAGCGCAGAGCGGCTCGAATCGCCGACGACCGAGTGCTTTCCGATCGGCTCGATTCACTGGCACTGCGAAGAGATGTTGCATCTCTTTGCATTTTCTTTCGCATATACTATGGGGAGTGCTCTGAGGAATTGTTCGGATTAATCCCAGCCGCCAAATTTCGTGAACGTACTAGGCGTCGTCAAGATACCATCCACACCATCTGGATGCTTGGCGGTCCACCACTGTACGTTTCAATAGGAGTTTTCTTCCGCGTACGACCTCTCTGTGAAATAGTTTACCACCGGCGATTTTTCCGGACCGATACGACCTGGGGACCTTCAAGAAAAGAGCTTACTCCTTTCTAAAGGGCCGGCAACGCACCTGCAATTCCCCTGGTGTTGCGGTTGATCATGGGCGGCGGTAGTCACTTAACATCAGGTGAGCCGCATTCTCGTTTGCCCCCTCTTCTATAAAAAAGATTCATTCATGCGCGTCAATGTACACTATCCATCAGGTGAGCTGCATGACCGCATACCCACTTTTCTAGATAACGCCTACATACGATCTCGTGCTAGGTATAGGTGTCCGCTCGTTAAATTTTATCTTATTTTTAAATTTCCTAGGCATTAAAAACTGTGGTCAAATTTTTTTCACCCAATAGTACCTAAAAGCTAATGGCAATTCAACAAATTTAATGACAATGAACAGTTTCATTGGTGTCTGTGCCGGTAATGCCCGCGTGCCCTGTCCGTGGGCTATACCAGGCATCGTATCTTGGTAGATGAAATTTAATAAGAATTATATAAAATACCTATTTTCTATTTAATTTTTTACCTTACAGCGCGAGTTGTGAAAGAACGTAATGTGCATCTCTTAACATCAAGTTAATAGAGAGCTACTTTATTTTTCACTTTTTTGAGAAAACTATTTACCCAAGCTATATAAAAATCGACATAAATCTGAATAATCGTGTTAGTATCGGCTTCGTGCTCATAACTGTTAATTTAACACGTGTTCAGCGGTAAAGGAAATATCCGCGCACAAAAGTCCCGCTGGGTTTCTTGCTGGTTCTTCACAGGACAGAGGTTGTGCATTTAAAGAAACATGACTGTGAAGTCTGACGCCAATGTAGCTGCGCGGGAAATATTACCTACTTCTCCTACTGAGTGGAGTGTGAGTGTGGAGAGAGTAGGTATTCTCTGCACAGTGTGACGTACGTTCTTATCGCACTGTAAATACTAAGATAGTAACTTACAGTTAATTATTGGCTGTTCCTCCGCCGAATCGTGGGCTAAGCCGTCGTTTCCAACCCACGCATAGTCTCCAATATCAGGGAACTCTTTTATCATAGCATGTAACTGCATAATGTCCTGTTGAGAAGCCGTAATCATCAGACTCGCACCCTCAGTTTGACATATGGACTTCGCTCGATTATTCCATACAGTCTCGATGTGTAGTTTGTAGAACGCATCCGTCTTTGAATTGTACACATAATCAGTTCTGTACTGTTTATTAGAACTGGACGAGGAGGCTAAGGCCAACGCTGTTGATCAAAATATTAATGTTTATGTTAAAATAATTACTAATTTACGTCTTACGTACGTTACGTTGATATAAGCACCGAATATAAAAAATGTTTTTTTTTTCATTATCTTGAGGAAATCTCCATCTGATCTTCTTTTTATACTTTTACTTTCATCTATTTTACAAATTATATATATATATATATATATATATATATATATATATATATATTATTTATTTTTATTGTTTTTCTATATGTCTTATACGGATATGTGGAGTGTGTGTGTAAATTTATTTATCTATTGCATACTGGTTGACTGGTAAAGTATGCCATATAAGGCATTAAGTCCGCTCATTGTAAACCTTAGATTTTTATATCACACATTATTTTATAGCACACAGTCCACCCGACGATAAGTGTAAAGTTGTTCAAAACGACTATAAATCAATAGCACGCTACAGACTATAAACTATAAATTTCTAGCGCGCTATTAAATACGCTATGTTATAGCGCGCTATTTATAAAAAAGCGTGTAGGAGGCCGGTAAGCGCGTTAAGTTTTACAGCACGTTATATCTCTTAGCACGTCACATTACATGTCGTTCATTGGGTAGATCGCGTGCTATATAAGAACATTATTTCTTAATAAGTCGCATTTTAGACTAAAATAAAATAAAGCGGTAAAGAAAAACCAGTGCACGCATTTTCATACTTTTCATTCTTACTAATTTCTATAATCCTAAAAATATTTTTAAGTTATGTACTATTTAAAATAGAATTAATTTTATTTATACAATCGAAATAAAATTAATTATTTTTATTATAATTGATGTAAACATTATTTTAACCTTTATATAAATTATAAATCAAATAAAGGTGTATTTAAAAGTTTATTTATTGTATTTATAAAAATCAGTTATTTACATACACTATTATATACACTTTTATATCTATATTTTATTAACATTTAAAAACATTAGTTAGGCTTCTTTTATCACAACTGTGTCCTTTGATCATTTATAAATATACAGTATACACTAACTAAACAACGTCTAACATTAAATTAGGTCGCGTGCGATAAATAGCGCGCTACGAGATCAAATTTTCGTCACACGTCCTCTCCCAACAGCGCTGCTGCTAGAACTAATTGCCGCTAGATATTAATACTTGATAGCGCCAAAGCGCCATAGCGCAATAGCGTCATGGCGACTACTTACATAACACGCGCTATGTGTTATGAAGAGATAGCGCGGTATAATATGGCGCTATGTGCTATATTAACAACCATTAGATAAGTGGAAGGATTGAAATGTAGATGTGTTGTGACTCATTGAAGTTGCATACCCCGTTATCAGGAAAAGGGGATTTCGGTTCTCGTGTCTCACTAAACAAAATACAGCAGCATTATGCTACTATTTTATACTGGTATTCTGTGAGAGCGTGGTCCTCCTCCAGAGGTGCCCATTTAATAATGCCATAGTTATAACAAAAGTAGAGCTAGATGTTTTTAATATCTACATAATTCTTCGTGTGGTGGTGGCATAGAAGAAATCATAACCTCATTTCGTTTCGTGGGTGTTGTAAGCGGCGTCTATGGGAAATGCCAACAAGATGGCTTCCGAATCATTGTGATATAACCATATTGGTTACGCCAGACATATTGCCAGGGCTAGCGACAGGGATCAGGGTGAAAGGTGCCATACTTCTAGTGCTGGGATTGTCAATTTGCTTACAAAACATGGCAATTTAAACAAACCTTGACTACAAGGGAAATAAATTTTTTTACGTATATTAAACCTGGCTAAAAGTTTTCCCAATTGGGGGATATGTACTATGTGCCACAGTTTATTTAATCAAAGTTGAGAGTTGCCATCAGGAAGATGATGCTGCATATCTACTCTTTCAGTTCTCTGTGTCGCCTCTTACGTCACCCACGGGACTGGTGTGAATTCTCTTATGGCGCCATTGATTATTCACGTCTTACTTCGACAATTTTTTTTAAATTTACAATATTTCAGATTCTAAAGGCTATATTTTAAGGAATCTATAATTTATTTTAGATAGGCCATCAAGTATTAATAAAAAAAAATTTAAAAGAATATTAACATTGCTAATATTCTCCTTAACCACTCGTGGTAAGCTTAAATTGCTTGTGTTACGAGTGGTTCACCCCAGTAGTCGAATGGCGGATTCGAACCCACGACCTTTTTGAGTTCGCGATCCGCGCCCTGCTATTAGGCTACTGTCGCTCAAATCTGATTTGCACGCGTTGTACCTTGATTGTTGACGAACAAGTCTTTACTCGCTGTGGGAATATTGACACTGCACTACCAACACGCAAGCACAGTAAAGTGAATATAGAAGAAATATTTCAAGTTGTGTATGCCAGTTGGCGCATTTTTGGATAGACACGTCTATCCAAAAACGATGGACAACATAAAATGGCTGGTAGATATTAATTTAAAAGAATCCCATACAGTGTCAAGACAAAAAGTGTCCATTACCTATCTATATAAAAACCTAAGTTTAAAAATTATTTATTAAAAACAATGAGATCTTTATTATACTTTTTTATTAAAGGACTTTGTCCACACACCCACACATTTCAACCACATCGTCCCGTTCAGACATAATACAAATCACTTATTTTGGCAAGCATTGTGACTTCCGCCGACATTGGATAAGCCAAAATACTGTTCAAGATGACAGTTGTGCAAATTCTTATCACTGCCAAAGCGTGACGTTCTGTTTCATTTCGGATTTCCGGGCACAACATAAATATGTTGGACATCTTCAACTATTGCGCGATACTCGTATAATACATAAAAAGATAAAACCACTGTTTCTTAATACTTTTTAAATATTCATAGATGTTGGAAAAAGTTCAAAATTTCTAAGCTTTCCATACTTTTTACATGCATATCATCCCACGAAAATAAATACAGTTGACCCGCGGTAATCCAATAAACGTTTTACAAGGAGGTGTCGTATTATTTAAACTTGCCTGATTGTAGAGTACAGCCCCCTGGTAGTCCGGAATTTTTTGAAAATGAGTACCTTGTATTCTGACAAATTACGTATCAAATATAAAATAATAATAAATGTCATGTAACTCACAATGAATACCTAAACAGTAGATGATGAATGCCCGTTAAGCGGATAAAGTCACATGGTGCCGAGAACTAATTGCAACTTGTTTATCCACGTATTCGTGAAGAACAGCTTCCTCCGTGGCGGATTCATAACGTTACTCGATTGTACCTATATGTTAAAGGCATGTCGGATTACTAGGGGGCGGACTAGCCAGGCGCTGGATTACCGGAGGTCCACTTACCTTGAAAATTATCATCACTTAATATGAAATTTACGACATACTAAATCAAATTTTTTTGACAACCGAATTTTTTTCTCATAATAAATTACTAATAAAGTTCTCACCAAATAATGCAACGAACGATATGTACATTTTCACTTGCAACTCTTACGAACTATGTCACTAACTGATAACTTTAATTGTAAACAAGCTATATACAACAACAAACTGCCGTGCCGGTGTCAAACTATTAAGATAAGTTGAGTAGTTATTATTAAATGAGAATTGCTCACAAAGAGCAATACATTAATACATGATGTTATTATCATTTAATTGGTTTTCAGACCTACCTACAATAATATCTGGTTTCTATATACCTAATTACAATCGATATTTACTTTGTCACTTTGTCTGCTACCTTTTCACACCTTGATATATTAGATATATTTATTTTTTTAATCTTTATTGTTTTACACCTTAATCTAAGAGTTACAATGAGCGGACTTAATGCCTTATGGCATTCGAAACCAGTCAACCCTGGTAGAATGAAAAAGTTGGTAGGTCTTATAAATATTTTAATGACTAGAGATATATTGTAAATAAATACTCATATATACGCAAACCTACCAGAATGATATATATATATATATATATATATATATATATATATATATATATTAAATATATTCTATTATCTTTAAATATAAGAGAATATTTAAATATTTAAATTGGATTAGAATTTGAAGTTTCAATTTTATTTGTTCTTGGATTATTTGAATGAAAAACTTACCTTAAACCTTGATTTTTTTTCGAAAATTCCTTGGAAATCTCTTAGATTAACTACTTAGCGAATATTTACGGTTGCTGTATAATTTGTTTTAAAGTTAATTTTCACTATTTCATTAAAATATTTCGAGTGTAGTTAATTTAATTTCTTTTTGATTTGTTGTCGTAATAATTAAATATGATTCTTTGCTTTTGATTTGTTATATGTATAATTTTTTTATAGGATAAGGTGACAAACGAGCACACAGTCCTCCTGATGGCAAGTGGTTGCTGTGGCCCATAGACATCTACATATTTCCTCGATTACGAATCCAAATGCAGATGCGTTGTCACCCGTGAGGACTAAGATGGAATGCCTCGTTTCCAGTAAAAAGGTATATTTATTAAACTATAATTATATATTATATAAATATTAATAATATATAACTATAGTTTAGTGTGTTAATAGTTGTATTTGACCTTTATCTCTTTTTTCTTTTTTTTATAATATAAGGATGACAAACTAGCACACGGGCCACCTGATGTTGAGTGCATGCCGTAGCCAATATACATCTACAGTTATCTTTAATTGAAAATCAAAATGAAGGTGCGTTGCCAGCCCTGAGGACTGGGATGGAATGCCTCGTTTCCAGTAAAAAATGTCTCCGGTTCTCTACACTCATCATACGAAACACAGCACCTACACTCACCATACGAAAAACAGCAGAGCTAAGCTACTATTTGACGCTGGTATTCTGTGATAGCGTTGTCCTTCCCCGGTCGAGCCGACCCGTTAGTGCTACAACTATACTAATAATATAACTGCAGCATGGCTCTACCACGTATAAATAATATAAAATATAGGTTTTTGTTTTAAATGTAAAAATATCTGTGTTTGATTGGTTGTCTATAATAATATAGTTTTTTGTTTTAATATAGATATTTAAGTATAGAAGTAGTTTGTGTGAGAAGTTTAATTTGTGTATATTATTTTTCGCAATTTTTTTATATTTATAAATTTGTCCCTGTTTTTCTGCAGAGTTGTTTAACATCAATGGGAAATTAATAAACCTTACTATTGTACCAATAGTGGGGGATATTGCATGCCTTTTCCGTACGCTTTCTTATTTGTTGCACGGCACACAAGAACGCTCAATAGATATTCATAAAGAAATTGTGCGTCATGTGACGAATAATTGGTATGAATGTGCTTTTATGTCTCTTCACCGTCATGACAACAATCATGAGACAAAAGAAGAGTATACATTAGATATGTTACAACACTCTATATAGCGGTTTCTGCGAGTTAGTTGCATCCAGACAAAATTTACCCATTTTGTATTTGAAGTACATCTAAACGGCAATCCATATGCCAAATTTGGTACAGAAAACCAACCCATCAAAAGGTTACGTTTTTCTCAAGATCATTCTAATGCTCCATTGATGCCTACGCTTACGCAGATGGTGATAATAACTCTGATGACCGTCCAATAGCCAAAACACGACGCATTGAAATGGCTGTATCTCCGACGTTTACTCAACCTTCATCAATTTCTAATGTTGTGCAAGACTTTCATTCGCTTACTTATACATTTATTGAATCTGAATGTGAGTCGGATTTGATTTCTTCTTTGTTCACGAATAATTGCACATCCAACATTCACTACCCAAGATTCAGTCCAAAATGTAATTAGTTTGAGAAATAAATCACGTAAGGCTAAGAAACGCAGGGCTAAAGTTATCAATGTGGTCAGAAAATAACAACTTAAGGAACCAAGAAAAAAACAAAATGAACCCTCTAGTCATCGTAAACATGCGACTAATTATGAGAAAAAAGACCCTAAAGTTCACAGGCAGGGTGTTGTTTATTATCAGCGGGAACACCCTGAATTACATAAGCAAGAAAATATCAGCGCAAACACCTCGAAGTATACAGAGTATCACAGTAACGATTTGAACGAAATCATGAAGGGACAGCGAGTTGAAAGACGTCTGCAACCTTGGAATCTAAAGCCTTTTCTGGACTGAGTTATGATAGTAACATAGCGTACGATAGTGATAATACTGTTTTTTTGGGACCCATGAACATCGAATGCAAATGGTGTAAAATTCTCAAGTACAAAAATGAATCTGTGGGAATTTGCTGCGATTCAGGAAATACCCAGCTCGAAACTTTGCAAAAGCTTCCAGATCTTCTTTACTGTTTGATAAAAAGTGGACGCCGCAGTGGATGGTATAATCAACCTACGTCAAATGAAGTTGCTTTAGTTAGCCAGTGTTGGGCAGCAATTTTCTAAGTAGGATCAATTACAATTATTTGACAGCCATGATAACACATTGCATCGAACAAGTGAAATCCGCCGCTCATACGATGCATTGCAGTACCCACTTTTGTTTTGCCACGGCGTGGATAGATACTCCATTTCTATATCCCATTGCTACCCTAAGACCAAACAACCGCTTAAAAATTAGATTCTGTTGTATGTTTATTCTTAACCGTATAATGATTAGGAGAGAAAGGGTAATCATCTGCTATATATTCGTTCGTTGTTTAGCGAGTTTTTAGTTGACATGTTTGCGAAAATCTAGACGGAAAGGTTGAGTTATATTAGGAACAATCAGGTGCACCTTAGAGCGGACAGCTATATACACTTGCAAGATGCGATAGGGAGACATGACGTTGATGCTGATTAGCTAGGTCAAAAGTGGTGCTGCCTTCTACTGTTACAGGGGGCCACGCTATATGCACGAGCGGACATAAGACGCCAAGACGTATGTGCGCTACTACGGTCCTCCCGATTTCTTTATAACATTTACTTGCAATTCTCGATGGGATGAAATCACGAAGATACTTTTGCCTAGGCAAAAAAATTATGATGGACACGACATAATAGCCAGGGTTTTTCACCTCAAAAGTTAGAAAATAATGGTAATTTTATACGTGGTAGAGCCATGCTGCAGTTATATTAGTAGTATAGTTATAGCACGAATGGGTCAGCTCGACCGGGGAAGGACCACGCGCTTTCACAGAATACCAGCATAAAATAGTAGCTTAATGCTACTGTGTTTCGTATGGTGAGTGTAGAGAACCGGAGACCGTTTTTGATGTCGGGCTGTTTAGATGTCCGCGCAGTTATAGTCGGGTAACGACGGCTTGTATGCTAGGGGTTGCCACGAAATTGGGAATAAAACAATTTTGGATATTATAATACTCATTATCGTTTATTTACATTATTATTGCATACTTATAAGTTATAACATTTTTTTACTACTACAAGAAAAAATACACTTTGACAGTAGTAGAGCCACGCGGCAGCCTTTGGTGTTGTACGTATGGGTCGGCTCAAACCGGGGTGGTACCACGACCTCACAGAAGACTAGCGTGAAGTAGAGGCTTCGCTTCTGCGCTTTGTCTGGTGAGTGCAGGTGACCGGAGGCCCAATACCCCTCCTCCCCATCAACATGGTAGCAGAATTAAATCCAAGACTATCCCAGGAGGGTATCAGCACCCCTGGAGAATCCCTCGCTGAGCATCTACGACCAAGCTACTCCACTCCCGAGCGTGAGTGCTCAGGCAGCCCCGCGTAATCTGGGGGGGGGGGAGCGAAATTCCGCTCGATAGCAGTCTCGACCTGCTTGGGGCAACGGAGCAATAAGTCAAAGGCGCCCCCTGCCACGCCATCCGCGAATTTCCGCCGTCCACTACCATCTGGAAACGACGAAGCCGGCCTCGCTCTTTCTAAGCGAGACACAGGTGTGCCTCTGGCTGATACTTCGTATTTCTCCTACCTGGGGTACAGATTAGAACACTCCTTTATGCCTCTGGCTTGAGTTTACGTGTACGTCAGAGAGGACATCTGTTTTCGACACCTCGGCAGCCTTGAATTTACGGACCTGTTCATCTTATGGCTGCGCGTAGACAGCGACGACCACCCCCGCGTCTACGGGTGCCTCTATAGGTTCCATAGCGGTTATACCGAAACAGACCGACTCATCGACCACGTCCAGATAGCTACAGACTCCGTGCTACAACAGATGCCATCCGCAGAGATCGTGATGCTTGGTTATTTTAACGCCCACCACGTTGAATGGCTTAGTTCTCGTTTAACCGATCATGCGGGTAGATCTGTTTACGACTTTGCTTTGGCATATGGTCTGACACAACTTGTTAATTTTTTATTCATAAATTAATATGAGTAATTCTTTGTCACTGGTTTGCTTTAATGTTTTGAACAGCATTATTAAAATTTACATTGCTGACAGTAACACTGTTTTCTGCTCGATTTATTGGAAGTTCAACAGTGTCATCATGCCTCATCATGTGGTGTAATAGAGTCAATTTAACTGTTTTTTTTTTTTATTAATTGTCCTTGATTCACCTGTAATAT